TGGGGAAACCGAAGCACTCGGAGAAAACCCCTTCTCTAGCCAAAGTGAGGCTGTAGAGTAAATTGGACATGAGGCGGGACCTCAGGCCTCAGGGAAAGTGGAGTCCCTCCCACCCAGCCTCTTCAAACGTACAGGCTTTTTAGTCACGTTTGAAGATGCGGGTGAAGGGTTTAAACACAGACTTGAAGAAGCCTTTGACTCCACTCTTTTGTTTGGGGCTCAGTTCTTCTTTAAAGGCCTCAATGATGCGGGTGAGGACCTTAGGATCCTGTACAACGGTGAACTTGATGAGCTCGATATCTAACTCCTTGGACAGTTTCTTGTGCACCTTCTTTACTATCTTCCTCATGTCGGCAAAGGACAGTTTAACCTCGACTTCAGAGCCCTCCATTTCTGCCCACAGAGCCTCTGTCAAAACCGAGATAGCCTGGTCTTCTTTGACATATATCCTCCAGGTGTCCATCAGCATTTTTACCAGCCCAGCCACCAGCATTTCACATCTTAGTCTATCCCAGTAATCCAGCCAAGCTCCACCGCTTAGCTCAGCTTCTTCACTGATATTTGTCTCCTCAGTAACAGGAGCTGGTGTAGCTGCAGACTGGGAGATCTTGGTCATCTGGATTTTTGGGAAAGCTTGATTTTCGTACACAACTGCCTCGATCTGCCTCAGAGCAGCGGTGGCTTGATCTTTCCCTCTATTGTGCTTCTCTGCCTGTGCAACCAACCAGTTCCACATCATCTTCATGAACTGGTCCACCTCAGTGCGGATAACACCTGCAGAAAAGAGCTTTTGTTTCTTCTCACGATTCATCAGCTGGAACAAGACGAATGCCACCAGTTTGTTTTTTTTCTTCAAACTGGTCCTCAGTGATGTTTCTGGCCATCCTCCTGTAGAAGCACATCACATTTGTGCACTCTCTCCCCGTTTCCTCGATCATGTCGTCCACAATAGTTGAAACCCCCGTCATGAGTGGCGTCATGACAGAATCTCTTTCTTCTACAGAGATCTTTCCAGTGAGTTTGCGGAAAAGTTTAATGATAGACTTTTTTGCAAACCTTTTTGTGAGAAACATCTTGATCCTTCTCATGATATTTCTCTGTCTTGCTTTCTTTGCTTTGGCGGGTGGTGTGGTCTCTTTAACAGGTGAAGCTTCTGGCTCCTGTGAAACGTTGTCACCCCAGACAATTTTTACGATTTCAGAAGCTGTTTCGTCTGTGTCCCTGTCAGAGATGGACAGATGTTTGGATACTTCCTCCTCTGAAAGGTCATCTTCAATGTCAGTACCATCCAGGTAATCTGTGTGCTTTGACAAGATGGACTTGACCGCCTTCAATGTTTCATGTTTGAGGCTTTCTGTGTGGAACATTTCAGGTTCGTCCTCTACAAAGGGTGTCACAGGGGTCTGAAAATGGTCCCCAACTGGCTCTTCTTCCTTTACGTCTTCTTCCTCTACTTGTGTGTTCGTACAAGTCAGACTGTTAATAGTAGTCGGACAGCAGAGGCCGTTAAGGGCAAAACCACATGCAAATTTGTAGTTCGTGACTATGATCTTTCTGATCTTTCTTGCCATCTCCTTCAGTCTGTAGCAGAAAGACTTGGTGGCCTGCTGCTCTTTGTTGGAGTTGATCCGCTCTGTAACCTCCTCGACCACGATAGAGTTCACCTTCTCTGGGATGCCCAATGCATCTGCAATGGCGAAATTAATGCTGTCTCCCAGGATTGCGTGGACCTCTTTCTTTGAGATTCTGTTCTCTGTTGATTTGGGAGGACCTTCTTCACTATTACTGTTTTCAATTGCAATGGAGATGTATTTGGCTACTGTGTCAACAATGTCCACACACATGTCTCTGATCATGTCTTTGGTCCCCTGGTCCAGAGACCCATGCGCTATTGTGATCCATTGATTTCTAGCCAGTTTCCTAATGAATTCATTCACAATGGGAAGAAGGACGGTGGGCTCGATCATACGAATGTTCCCGACCATGTTCATCATGATTCTTATGTTCGGCCCTTGCCTTACTGTGATCCAATCATTATCAAACTCTTGCCGAACTAACATGTCCACTTCAGGAAAAGGGACGGTGGGCTCGGTAATAGGAACGGTCCTGACCGTGTTCATCGTAGTTCTTGGGCTCTGCATTGTTTCTTCTGTGTTTCTGTTTGTTTGTAGAAATGTAAACCTCTTATCTCTGCCAACTCTTACACTGGTTCAAACAACGGAACTCTCACCTGCAACATTCTGTTGGCGCGGAAGTCGAATCCATCTGATGACTTCAAAGAGAGTGATGATGTCATCAAAGAAAGTGATGATGTCACATTCTTTGTTTTTCTGATGACATCATTGCATTTTTGATGACATCATCACATTTCTTCAGATTTTTTTTTATGCCAGATCAATTCAATAATCGTTATTGACACAAAGGAACTGAACAGAATGACAGTCCTCAGACAACCTCAGACAGTTCATCCTAGCCGTTATTATTACTGACACTAGTTTTGATAACATTTCAATTTAAGTCCTTCGAATTGTTATTAAGCCACTTATTTGATCTTGTAAACTTGATAAGATGTTCATCAACAAAAAAAATACATGTAAATGAAAGAAAATTAACATCATATGGATGTTTAAGAGAAGTTTTTGTATGTGTCTCATAATCTATTAAGAATGTGTAAATTAGCAAAGTGATTTCTGTGTTACTAGTGCGCTTGCACTTGACCCACATTTAAAGGGTATTCCAGGAATGGATACGATTGATCGCTGTTTTGGTCTGGTGGCTGCACCGCTAGTTGTGGCTAAACTGTTAATTCTACTCGTACCGTCAGCAGTGACAGGCTGTGCAGACTCCGCTCGCATTTTCATGTTTCTTCCAATGATTAAACAGATCTGTTGTGTTGCCGGTTTATCGGCTTTATTACTCTACGTCACTTTGGAGAGACGTTAAATAACTTCTCAACAGTACCATCTTCTGAGGATGACTCAAAGTCACGGCTCACATCTACTTTGCTGCCCTCAGCTCTGCGTGTAGCTCCACGTTAGGTCATTCTGTTCACTTCTCATGTTTATTTTTCCGGTAACTTACAGAAGTGAGCAGGAAAAGCTTGACTCTGATTGGCTGTTGTGACGCACATTTCCGCCATCTTTGATCGAGTAAATAAGCTCACAGCTGATCACCGTGATCGAACTGAATTTGATCGCGATCATCGATCACGGTCATATAATCGCCCACTCATAGTGACTGGTTGACTACACCCAAAAATACTGAAACAAACACCAACATGTTAATGAGCATTGTTGACCCTTAGGTTGGGGTTTAGAGTTAGGGTTAGGGTAAGGGGTTAGAGGGTTGAGGAGAAAGTTAGAGGGATTAGGGTTACCCCCAATTACCACTGCATCCGGTACAGCTGCGAAAAGGCCGTACGAGCCGATCACATCTGATCATCACCATTCAAGTTCACGTGTCAATTTCCACCGGCTTCTTTCCGTTCCGCTGCAAGATCGATAAGGAGAGCAGAAACGAAGAATCAGAATGTCCTTTATTGGCATCATGCTGGTGTACAACGAGTTTAGAGAGCTTCTCCAAAAGAAGTGTAGTAGAAGTAAAAAAAAGAAAAAAACAGAAACAGAATTAAGGGGTTCAATAAAAATAGGTACAAAACATATAAAAGGAAAAATTCTTCAGTTCTATCAAGCGATTGCATGTGAATTCGCGGGTTCTTGTGAATCCCCGCGATTCCCGCTGTCCAAAATCTGCCACGAAATTCGCCTCACAAACGCATTCGGTGGGAATTGGCAGACTTACTGTGCAGTTGATACACCCAAGTACACCTCTATATGTGCATTTTTGAGACACATATAAACAAAACGAAAGTTTGCTGCTCCATTTGACATGTCATGATCTAATACTCATGTTTTTTTATATACGAGATCATTTTCTTCCACTTTAAGAAGCTAATAGGTGGAGGGGATGCATTCTACAGCATAACACCGGTCTTCTGCTAACCTGCCAGAATCAGATAAGTGAAACAATAAATTCTGTCTTCTAACTTTGAAGCGTCAAACAAATTGTACTGTGTACGGTGGGTCAACTTAAATATCCGACTATTGTTAGACCTTGTACTTTTTCATAGACAATCGACCTGACAACAAAAATATATATTTATATACTGACTGAAAATAGCCCTGTGAGAAATTCATAGGAAGGTTCTTAAAAAGTTAATATGATTTAAAAATTCATCCAAAAAGAAGAACCCTGGTTAGCGCCCTCATTTAAAACATGCATTTTTTTTAAATATCCTGCCTTTTAAAAGAATCAAAATAGAGAATCGGAATCATTCAAAATCAAACAGTACCCAACCCTATTATCACCTAAAGTAGAGCTGAAGAAAGCACAGCCAGATTTTAAACCAGATCCTGTTATAATTAAAAAGCATAATCTGGTGTTGAAATCCGCAGGATGAAACTAGTCGGCTAACTAACCGAGGCCACATATGAGCTCACAGTGAGGTGTTCAAGGTCAGGTCAGTAACGTGAGGATCCAGGAAATGATGTTTAGTGAAAAGAAATTCATATGTTAGGAGGATATATAAACTCTACAGATGAAATTGAACCCTGTTAAACTTTTATCAGGTCATATTTTTTCTTAATCGTTGGGATGAAACTGTTGCTGCTGATTTAGACTTTCTGCAGTTTTGGTCTGATCAAGAGAAGTCTCGGTCACAAACTTCACTCCAGCTTCTCTCCTGTGATGGCAAACTTGTCAGAAATGAAAATATGAAGTAATTTGTTCGACTCGATCATATTTGAGATATTCCTCTGAGGTCCAGCAGATATGGAAGCCCTCCATAAACGCATCAGGAAGTCTCACCATGTTACATCATCGGGCAGTTTTATCCTGCAGTGACAGATGGCCCGGGGACAGGGAGGGAGGGAGGGAGGGATGGGCGAGAGAGGTGCTCCCTGAGTGGTGAGTGGAGGTCTCTCTCTCTCTCTCTCTCTCTTTCTCTCTCTCTCGGGTTGTCATCCCCTGATGGAGGTGAACACCCGATCTACCTCGGCTCTAATCTGTTTGAGTGTTATGGAGGATAACGGGACGGGGAGATGGATCTGACAGGTCTGTGCGGGTCTACACTCGGACCACTGTGGACTTGGTTCTCGTCCAATCAGAAGGCAAACTGAACTAATGAGCTCAAAGAGGGGGAGAGAAGGCGAGAAAACGCCGGGGAAATGCGAGCGGCGAGCATGGAGGAAAGTTAGCAGAGTTGGACGTTACTTTTCCTGCCTTTGTGGATAACCGACCTCAGGGAGTATTTTTGGATCAAATGGTTGAGGAAGGGTAAAAAAGAAGTAGAGTAGGAAGAAGAACCGAGCTGGGATTGGAACTTTAACGAGTTTTATCCGTCTAATGAAGCACTGGAGAAGTTTGGCGTTTCTTTGTGAAAGACCAGGCTACTGTTTTTCTACTTCCATGTTTCTGATTTGAAACTGGATTTGTACGCAAAAAGGAAAATTTGTAAAGTTTCGCCAAAGTTATTGTTATTGAACGTGACTGATGCTGCAGCTTTGACTTGAGGAGGTTGAGGTCGGTGCAGAGAGCGTGCTGAGTCGAGTGTCTTGAGTTACACTGAGAAACAGAAGCTGGCGCCCGTCCGCTCTGGTTACCAGTCGGATGAATAATAACGCGGATGTGACAGGAGCAGCAGCAGCGGCGGAGAGGACGGGACAAGGTCCAGCAGCTTTTATCAGTTCTGTGGAAATGTGTTATTGACTGTGACTGTGGGGGCGGGATCCAGGACAGAGGTGAAACAGGTGAGAGGAGTTCTGATGAGCTGCGTTTACTCTCAAACCTCACAGACTTGAAGATGTAACCGACACACCTGTGAGCGCCCACCTGAGCAGGACTGACTCGTTTCCAACCTTTCTGAACCGGTTACAATGAAGCTTATCACTCGACGAGATCAGCCGTCCGCCTGAGCTGAACTGGAGGATCCGTGCAGCGGGGTCATGTATGTCCTGTGCACCCTGGCGGTCTTGACGCTCAGCAGCCTCATAAAGAGCTGGACCAGCAAGGCGGTGGAGTCCCGCAGGAACTCGGAGGCTGGTGGTCTTGAAGGCGGTGGGTGGGGAGAGAAGGGTGGTGGAGGAGACCTGGGGGAGAGCATGGAGAGTGGAGGAGTGAGGGGCTGTGGTGCTGAAGGGAAAAGGAGGCGAGGAAGTGGTGTACGAAATGTCCCGGACAGCAGGAAACGAGTTCAGGTCAGTGTCCTGTAAACAGAAAAGCAGAAAATAAAGTAGAAGCTGTTTGCAGTGTGAAGAAATTTGATCAATCGGGGAGGAGCTGCAAGAACTTTTGATCTAATATTGAACTTTTCAGTACGGCGTACTCTTATATCCATCATATGTCCCTTGAAAGTGTCTCTGTTTGTGTGTCCATGTACTGTGAAAAGGAAAATCCCCTAATTCATCCAGTAACGTTAGTTGGCGTGACTGTGGTGAAAATACAAATTGACTGAATATGGCCTGATTTGGAGCGTCAACGATGGAGAAGAGACGTAAAAACTGAGACGAAACTTTCCTCTTGTATAAACAAACAGTAGAGATGTTGTTCCGTTAGCCTCGTGTGAATGTGGTTTTGTCTTTTTTATTTTTTTTTAATTGTTTTGGTACATGATACTGCTGAAATGGGGCGGGTCCACGCACATATCAGAGTCAGTTATACTTCTGTCTATAACTTGATTATTGCCCAGAGCTCATAAACTGGGACAAGGACAGCGGTCACGTTCAAATGCCTTTAAGCTCTGATTGAAGCTGGTACGATTGAAGCATACAGATGAGTAATTCTTTCAACAAAATTGGTTGAAGTTAATTTGACCCGAACACTAAACCAGGGGATAGAGCAGACGGGATTATTACAGTATTCGCCAATCGCAACTATTTTTCATATTCGCGATTACATCAATTAGTTATTTTATCCACAAAGTTGCATAAATTAACCCTGAATCCGAATCTGATGTCATCATGTTGTGCCAGCCGCCGCAGCACGCATCGTCGCTGTCGCAGCCACTGCTTGTTTAGCGCTCGTTTTGGTCAGATGGGCAGAGACTAGAGGTTAGGATGGAGGATGAGGAGGTTCTGGTTACAAAGTCAAGTACCATGGCATCGCTGTGGGTGCATTTTGAGACGGTAACGTGAAGGAAGCGGTTTGTAAACACAACAAATCTGAAACAGCATCTCCAGACCGACCATCAACAGCGATACACCTAACTCAGAGAGATCACACGAGCACAATCAGCAGCTGCCGCATCCCGTCAACTGGCTCTTGGCAAATCTATTACTCAATATAATATACAATGTATTTGTCAATCGCAATTATTTGTCTGACAAATAATCGTGACAGACTGACTAGGGGGCGATATCTGATCCATTATCTGTATTGGCCGACAAACTTAATCGGCTGAAAAGCGACTTTGTTCCACTGCGTTTGTGTCCTCCTTTTGGATCTGATTTATCGCCGGACTTTGTTTACTCTCATGCCCCGCCCACAATAACCTGATTGGCTAGATGCCACTTGGCTGTACTGTAGGAGTAACTGGGTGAATGTTTTGATCAAACATCAAAATAATATCAGCATCAGTCCTGATGAGCAGATATGGGTCCACTACGTCACCTTCGGTTCTGACAAAGTCCTCTTTCTCAGACTATAAAACTCACCTGAACCGTCTCCTCTTTGACGCCGTTCAGGATCTTTACGTCACCTGATTAATCAGAGCTTTCTGGCCTCCAAGTGTGACCTTGTCTTAACCGGATAAATCATCCAAACTCATGATGAGAAACATGAATGGCTGAAATCCTGTTACATGGTCGATGCCGAGTCGGCGTCAGTCAGATCAGGAGTTATATAAGAGCAGATTTATCATCGTCTGATCATGTCAGTCTGACGGTTCAGAGTTTTTGTTCAGAGGTTGTTTTCTTCAGAGATGACACAGTTTCATCTGTGCCGGTCAATTTTCTATCTTTTTTATGGTGTCTATTAAACCTTGAACACCACTGGATAAAAATATGGTGCGGTTTTACTGCCTGTTTGCTTCCTTGTTGCTTTATTATCGCTCTCTTGTAAACTTTATTTTGCTGTTTTTTAGCTGAGGCCAGGAGAAGTGGGGATGTTGTATCAGCACTTTTAAATGTTCATTTAGTGGATTCTGCTGCAGACTGTCGATAAGGAGTGGACATAAACTCTGCGGCACTGCTCAGAGGTTTGGGATTGACAATTTTTAAGCCTGAGTGAAAAATTCAAGTGTCACCATCTTGATCTTTTGGAGCTGAAAAAGACTGTGAGCCTTTCTTTGGCGTTCTTGTCTGTCATTGCATTTTTGTGTCACACCTGTGATCATGTGACACTAGCGCAGAGGTTTTGCTATTCTATTGTTATTATTATAACCCGCCTTTCAAGATGAAATGACTGTTCTTGGTTTTGGATTTTGTAAAATCAATTTCCCCCAAAAATGCGACTTATACCCGTTTATGTTTTTTCTTATTCATTTTGCATTTTTTTGGCTGGTGCGACTTATAGTCTGTAAAATATGGTATTTGGATAAAACATAATTTTTTTAGTTTCAGTGCAATTATTAATGTACAAGAGAAAATAAGACATTAAACTTATTAATAACCAATCATTTGTTTTCCTTTTTTAAAAACAAGGAACGTGGAACAAAGTGTGTGAGTTAGTGGATTTTATTGTTCTTTGAACAGCTGAGCATAATTTCATCCGGCCAGTTTAAATAGAACTACTTGTGATGCGTCATATTTGGCTTTGACTGTGACTAAACATTTGCTCTCACTTTGCGAAAACAATATCAGGATATATCGTACATCAATATTCAGCCTAAATATATTGGGATATGACTTTGGTCCATACCGCCCAGCCCTAATATCTCAGTTAACCAGTGCAGTCACAAAGTTTAAACAACAAAGGTGCGAGAACACCGCCCTGTGGTACCCCAGCGTGTTTCTGTTCTTTTTTCATCCTGTGAAAGATGTTTAAAATCTTTTTTTTTAATTTGGAGAGGAAGAACTTCTTCAGAACTCGTTTTTTCTATAAATGGGGTCGTCTGTGTTTGATGGAGTAAAAATCAGGTCCCCACAGATGAGTTCTCTCTTGTTTTTAGGGTCTCAGCTCCTGCAGTCGTTTGTTTTCTCGTAGTTTTCTGGTGTTTCAGCTCAGAACAGAGTACAACGTTTTTCCCTGAAATACATGTTTGATATTTTCCCTGCAAATTTCATCAGAGCGGCGTTCACTCATCATTGTTTTGGTAGTTATTAGAAGATGGCAGCCAATCATTTACAACAATAACAACAGACACACACACACACACAAAAACACACACACTGGGCTGTTGAATATTTCAGCGGGGGGGTGGAGCAGCTCCTCACGCTTCCCTTGAAGCTGAAATATTTATCCATCAGTGTGACGGAGCGAGAGAGAGAGGGAGGGAGGGAGGGAGTGAGTGAGGAGGGGGCGGGGCTAGAGGAGGTGTGATGCTGCTGTGCTGTTGCTAGGGGAACAGAGAGGGAAGAAGCTGTTGGTGTGTGTGCGTGTGTGCCTGTGTGTGTGTGTCAGTGAGGGGGTCGGCTGGTGGCGTTGACACTGATCCTGCTGTGAGAGTTCGTGTGCGTGTATGTGTGCGTGTGTGTCGGCGTGAAGCAGCAGCAGCGAAGAGCGGGGATGCGGCGATGATGTGGACGTCCAGGCCGCAGGAAGGGAGGTAAGAGGCGAGCGGACGGACACAAAGACGGATGGAGGGATGTGGGGATGGGAGACGGTGGTCTGAGGGTAGAGAGGCTGCAGAGGGAACAGACATGTCGAAGAGAGACGGGGGTAATCCAGCGAGATGGAGGTCTGAGTGAAACCTGATGCAGAGTGTCGCGTTTCCTCTCATGACCTGAATATCTGCCGTATGTTCAGAGGAGACCCGCTTTAAGCCTCCATTTTCTCTTTATTTTTATTTGTTTGGATTCCTCGCCCACCCTGATAATCCTCCTTTTGTCTGATAACGTTTCCTCCTCTTGTTTTTATCCTGCATAACCGTGTAGATTTTCTTCTGCGCTTCACTAAAGCAGATCTTTCTCTAAAAATCGCCTTTTTTATTAAGAGATTTGGTCTGCTGGGAAATCTCTGTCTGCTAAGCTTTAAGCAAGAATAGTGTTCACACCCATCTGCAGGTGAGGCCAGAAATCTGCAAACAGAGAGGATGAGGAGGAGGAGGAGGTCGTCTGGGTGCTGAAATCTCTCTCTTACGGTCAGGTAAAGAGCCGCGCAGCATCTATCAGATATTTTTCGCCACACAAGGTCGCAAAGTGACTCGGACGCTTTCAATGACTCTGTGATTTCCTGTCTGTCTGTGAATGCTGCAGTAAAGAGCTGAATGAATGACGCCTAAAATCTTCGTTTTTGTACCCTGGCCCACCTGCAGAGTTTCTGTGGTGTGGTGCTTCAGTGTGTGAGGACGGACAGGGTTGGACTCCGAGCACATGGAGACTGAAAAAAAAAACAAAGATGATTTGACCCAGTTTTAGAGAGGAGGAGGAGGAGGAGGAGGAGGGAGGAAGGGGGTGTCTTTGAGCCTCTCTGGTACATAAACACAGGATATCGTGCACATTTAGGGGGATTGTTGGGATCTCTGTTGAAAATAACGAGTCACAGTTTTATTTGATGTAGAAGATCTGATAAAAACATGCAGAGGGGGGACTACATCGGGTCAGACTTGCACCAAGCTTTGAGGAGGTGAAAGTTGAAAATGTGCTGCAGGAAAAAAAGCAGCGCAAATAGCCAATCATGGTTCAGGCTTTTGGGCCCTCTGAGCAAATCTGAGGAGTGAGTGAGGATTTTAATTTCAGTCTAAATGACTCTGAAATGAGATGCTCCAAAACATCTCTAGTCATTATGTCTCCACTCATACCTCCATCTGCAGCTGAATAGAGGCCTACAGACATTTTGCAGTTCAGAATAGGGCCGGGCGATAAACCAAAATTTAACAATACTGAAATTTACGACAATAACTGACGTCATTTTGCCAAAATATTCGGTGTCAAAAAATTGATAAATAAAAGTTGTTTTTGGATGTGTGTAGGTAGGCTATGGTCTCATGTCCCTTTAAGGCGCTGTCCTACGTCAGAGACGTGACTCCGCCCCATCCAGTCCGTAACAAAGAGGGAAAGACAGGTGAGGAGATGGAGGACGGTTCAAAAGTTGTAGCGGCTGAAGTAGACGAAGTTAATGTGGGAGGGGGTGAGCAGCTTGTGGAGTAGTTATCGTCCATTTTTCATTATCGAGGTGAACTGATCAATATATCGTGATATTGATTTGAGGACATATCGCCCAGCCCTAATTCAGGTTCTACTGCCAGTTTTCCCACACAGACGACACCTGTGAGAGTAACATAGAGACTTAACAGGCAATATAACGACAACTTCAGGTGCATCTTACTTATCAACTTCATTGTCTCGTGGAAGTACCTTCTGCATCCTTTCAAAATAAAAGCATGATGCAATCAAAGCAGGAAAAAAGTTAAGGTGAAATGCAGGAGAAAATGCTGAATCCAAGGCCACCTCTTCTCTAAAGCTCTAGGACTGTTATCCTGGTGTGTTTAATCACACCATATTGTGGGTTCAGTGTGTCATTACATCAGCAGTAGACTGTAATAGTGTCTGTGTGGTCGTCCGATCCAGAGTGTTGGTAAACCATCTGTTAGACTGTGAAGGTGTCAGACTGCCTCCGCTCACAGCCAGCAGGAAACATTAAACTGCTGGTTTGAAAGTGTGGTTGGAAAAACTGTGAGTCTCAAAAAGCTCCAGGGTGGATGGAGACGTGGAGCCGACCCGGCTGAAGTCCGACTGCATGTATGTGATCAGAGACAGTTAAGGTTAACCTGAGTTCTGCAGTCTGCAGGGTGACGAGTGTCAGCAGCTGTCAACATTAATAAGACTTTGTGTTACTGTGTGAGTGTCAGTGTGTCATTCAAGCATCTTACTGCGTCCTCTAATCCACCGTCATAGTGTGTGTGTGTGTGTGTGTGTGTGTGTGTGTGTGTGTGTGTGTGTGTGTGTGTGCGTTTCCTTCTTAAACGGAGGGTTTGAATATCAGGGATGCTGATATGGATTCTTGTTAAAACCAGAAAACTCCGACATTTATGGATTATTTCAGATTCTGGACTGTAAAGTATAAAATATTATTTATTTATCATTTATTAGCTTTTAGTAAGATTTTAAAAAGGTGCTGTTGGAACATTTGAAACAACATCAGTCACTTTTTTTGAATCCAGATCATGGACTACAAAGAATGGACACCGTCTGCCCCCTCGCTGGTGAAGCCACCGCAAGAACAGCACCCTCTAGTGACGGGCTGCAGTATAGGTCATATGGAGCTGTGGGCAAACTTTAGAAATTAATAAAACAGAATATACGTTTTTCTCCCCCCTGGTTTTGATGTTGACATGTAGTTACTGTCAGACTGGTTTGTGCTCAAGTCCTCTTTTTTCTGTACAGCTCCATTTTTAAAAGTTAACGGGGGGTTCATGTTTTCTATGATTGACACTTGATACAGCCTATGGGTGTACGAAGATAGCGTAGCTCATCCAGGGGATACGCTGCTAGAGCCGAGCGACTCTCAGCAACTCATCCGCTGAATGCGTACAACGCTACTGCGCAAGTGGTGGTTCCAGGAAATGGAGAACATCCCAGAAATACCGAGAGCAATTCGGCTTCAAATTTGTATAATGACGGAAGGCGGCGCCAAGTTCGCCATGTATACAGTCTATGATCCTGATAGTGAAATGATCGCTCCAGCCTCTCTTATCAGGATCATTCTGTCCTTTTTCAGACACTCCTCCTCTCCCTGCTCTCCTCTCTCCACCTACCTGAATATCTGCAAAGATGCTGGTTAATCCTGTCAGAACAGGTCAAACTGCAGCCAAACGATAAAGAAACTCGACTAAATTCGAACATTTGATGGATAAGAGCGGCACCTGTGGATCGTACAGGTGTTCTGGATTAAATGACCTCTGAGTTTGTTGTCGCACCAGGAGTGAGAGTTTCAGTCAATTATTAACTTCTTGAGTTTGAACCTGTGGTCAGTCGGGGGGTTAAACAGACCCATCTGCTCGGAGGATTAACAGATTACTCCCATGGCGACACCAGCCTCATCCCAGGAACGTCTGCCATCAGCTGCTCTCAGATCAGATGTTTGTAATCCTGCCGTTACGCCACACTGAGACTGCAGGGGGGGTAAACTGACTCCAGGCTAGACCGGGTTGTCTCTGCTCAGAGCGCGTCAATGGTTGTGTGTAAATGGGCTGAATGGGACCAGTTCAGAGGTCGGTGAGTGAGCGTGAAGCGGCAGCATGTTCGGCTGGCTTGGGACGCTGATCGGCAAGAGTTTTCGAGACAGAGAACAGTTTACGTGTCCGTCAGAGCTGACGTCCCGCTGTGGACATGAATGGGTAAGAAAAGAGGGTGAGGTTGGAGGGTGTCGTCTGACTAGTGAGGTCCCATAGGTGACCCGGTGTAACCTTTTACACATGGATGCTGATGGCTGATATCACCATTGTCTTTGTTTGTTTTTGTGAGGCTCTGGTGGACCCAGTGTGACGTTTTAGCATACATGTGCTAACAGGTTCAAAACAACAGGGCGAACACGTTTTTAAGAAGACGTCTCCTGATGTGGACCACGCTCACCATCTAGATTTAAGGTTGTTTGGTTAGTGTGACGTTCGCCATGCTCAGCATTTACTGAGTTTACTGTACGAACATGTAGGAACACACTCTCAATGAAAGTTGTGACATGCTAATGTTAAGAAGATAAGGAGACCCAATCCTCACCTCAGCCTATATCCGGAGCGCTAAACCCCTTACAGACTTACCTGACGATAGAAATGCAGAGTGAAAATATGTGAGACCATGAGGGAGGTGGAGGTGTTGGACACATTAAACCACATTTAAGAAAGACCTGGTTCTGGTCCAGGTGTGGTTTTGGTGAACACTTAAGTGGACACTGATGGTTCTGGATGCTTAGTGACTCTGGTGCAGGTCTTTGTCATGCTGCTCTGCTCTGCTGAGCCAGTGAACACAACAACAGAGCCGTCCCCAACCATGAAGAATAACCTGCAAACACTGATTTTACTACTACTTTATATTCATAAGAAAATGCCTGAACTAGGACTGGGCGATTATATGATCATGATCGATGATAGGGCGAATAATACAGGTGAAAATCGGCTAGTTTTGGCTGATTACCGATTAGTCTCGAACGGGCTAAAATTGGCCGATTTAATCGACTCGCCGATAAATTGATCGGGCCCTAGTCTTCATTATCTCTGAGGGGGCGATTTGTTTATTTCGGGTGTTTCATACCTGCGAAAACACTCAGGACTGTAAACAAGTTCACTGTATTATTTAGTATTTATCAACATTTGTTGTATCGTTGAGTTAAAATAGTTTTTATATTTTTCTAAGTGTATATTATTCAGTTTGCTTTGTTATTTACTTTATATGTTAATAAAATGTTGAACTAATCTCTAGTTTCTTTAGTTTTTAGTACAGATGCTTTAAAACTGGCGGTTAAAAAAAATCGTGATTATAATCAAGATCGGACAGGTCAGGTCTAGCCTGAACTGCGTTTGTATTCTTGTAAGAAAAGGTTTTATGACTCTACACTTCAACTTTTGTATCATAGGAAAACAGTTTTAACTTCAACAGTTCAACTTTAACATTATTCTCTTTAAAAAATGGTTAATCTACGACTTCATTCTCACAATATAGAAACTCGTCCACAAATTTATGTACATAAGAAATGATTTTACTTCGACTCAATTCACATAAGAAAACAGTTGAGGACTTATATTTTTTAAAAAATGTCTTAAAGCAACAATAGATAGACTTGACTGTGGAGACTCACAGATTGGAGAAGGTCATCTTCTCTTAAACTCTAAACACAGAAAAGTTTAGTTAAGATGAACATGTTGTTTTGCTGCTGCTGCCTGTCTAAATTACGACCTTTTTATTATGACCTATTTTTAAAAGCAATTAAAAAACTAAATATTTTTAAAAAGGGTATACTAAAAATTCAAAATTGCAGATGTATGCATACTTACACATCTGACAATTTTTTATGTAAAAATGCATCATATTGCAGTAGAAATACATTTTAAAAAATAATGAAAATGGCCTGAATCTAACCCTGTACTCTTATGTGCAATATTGATTTATATTTTTCACTGTTTAAGTTGGCAGTGAATGTGAAGTAAAATCAGGGCATGTTTGGGATTTTTTGAATAAGGATTTATTTATCATTTATTTCCATTTTTCTACACATATTTGGTTCTTGAGTGCTTAAATTTGTGTTTTTTGTACAATGACAGTAAGGGATCTTAACTTAGTCAGCTGTTTGTGGACCCCTTAAACACATAAAAACATATAATAATTTAGCATATGAATGAAGTATAATAAGTGGAACATGTTTTTACCCAAGAGGGGGGTCCTTTGAGGCGATTCTGCAGCCGGTCAGTAGGGGGAGCTCCAAATGTTCTGGCTTCACTTTCAGGAAGCTTTCATATTGTTTGTTGTTATCAGTAAAAAGTCATATATTTTATAGATTTGATAGATTTTATTTGTGTCAGTTAAAGTGGAACACAACCCCGGTCTAGACAACAACTGTCCAACCTGTAAACTGTCACCTGGGTCAGACTCCCGCAGGTCCATCTGTGGTCCTGTCTGCCTCGTTACTCCTCTGTGGATAAATAAAGATTCATTTGGCCCTCTGTTCATGCTAAAAGCCTTGCTAACAGTCTCTCTCCCTGTTTCCAGCCGGTCCAGCGGTCCAGCACTCTGCTCAGCCCGGCGGTCATGTTCAGCACAAGAAAGACCTGGGACCTCGGCCACGCCCCCTGCCTGCAGGAGCTCTGGAAGAAAGACATCTCATTGGACGGTGAGTCAGAAACTGTGGAGAAGGAGGAGGGAGCTTTAAACAGAGGGAAAAAAACCAGCAGCGTGGCCGCATTTTTGTCATGACAGCAGAGTGTGTGAGTGTTTGTGTAGGTGCGAGTGTGTACAGAGACATGAGTCATACCTGAGAGAAATGAATGAAGCAGGACGCTGAGAGGAGGAAGGGGACACCTGAGCGATTGTGGTTCAGGGGGACGAACAGGTGAGCTGAAAATATTGACTTATTTATGTAAATTTGCTCTCTGAGGGTTTTTCTCAGCTGATCGGTTTACAGTCGGAGTCCCCGGAGAGTCCAGGGATCAGGTTTACAACACTGGAGCTTTTGTCGAGCAGAGGGAGAGTTTTTCATTTTCACTGCTCGTCTTTAACTTCAGCAGAGTTAAAACGTTTCCTCCTGAATTCATAAGTTTGTTCTTAACTGTATGTTTGTGGGATTGGATTATTTTGGCTGTTTTAGGGCTGAAACGGGTCGAGGTTACATGAGCTTAAACTTAAAAAACACTTTCAACACTCAGACTGTCTTTTACGACTAAAACTGACTGATCGATTACTCATAGATATAATAATCAGATTTTTCAGCAGCCATTGAGTTTCTGAAACTCGCTCTGACACCATAAATTGTGTAGTAGAGGCCTCTTGGTGGCGTGTTCGGTCATATATGAAGGGTTTTCAGTACATTGTGTGCTTTATTCACTGTAAACACAAAGACAATCGAGTATAACTACGTCAGCATATAAACTGATTTAGACAGAGATGGAGGATGCAGTTCGAAGTGTAAACATCGGTGTAAACATGCAGCTAACTAGTGTGATAGCTACTTGGTACCTGCTGCCCCCACTGGACTTAAAACAGATTAATGAACCTCACATACCCGAGAATGTCATCATAAATACTATTAGAAACTGAAGCAATCATAAAAACTTCTTGTAACGATTAATTTCTTAACCTGGTGGCTGTTAACAGGCTAGAGTTGCTGCAAAAGACGGAGAGTGTGTCCAATGAAAGATCTTCCAGGCTCAGATAGTTTTTCTAAAGGTTGGATAACTTTGCAGAAATAATTTAAAATACAACACTCTTTTCTCCTAACCAGTTAAATCCTCTTCACCAGTAACCTCGTCTCGGTTATTGGTCCTCTCGGCTTTTTGTCCGTGTGTGTGTTTTAAAGGTATGTCTTGGCTTAGTATTGCTTAAGAGGCAATCGCACAAAGGGATTAACAAATGAAGGCAGCTGTTGGACAACAACTCCTGTGTTCCACTTATTTGCAGCTTGAGACTGTGATGTTTCTTGAGAGCTGAATGTGCTGATCATTTATATTTGACGCTGAGACAGACCTCAGTTCTTATTTTTACCTTTCTGTATGTCAGTCTGGGATGACGTTCTGGGGTGTTACTTCTTCCACAGCTTTAAACCCGAACGTTCTCACAGAAAAGATCTAAATCTTGCAGTTAGCACTCATGCCAGCCCCCAGTTTCATGTTAGCTGTTGTTATTTTCCTGCTGTGATAATGTTGTTTGCAGCTTGTGGTTCTGAGCCGTTAAGAAGGTCCTGATAGAGGAAACGGTCAGTCCCAAATCCAGCTCCTACTGGACTTTGTTTAGTGGTGAGCACGAATGACGACATTGTGGCTCTCATCCTGAAAACCTTCAACTGATTTCTGTCGTCTTTGTTAGGGTTGGGTATCGTTTGGTGTTGAACGATTCCGATTCTGATTCTGATTCCTATCGATTCTCTATTTTGATTCGTTTAAAAGGCAGGATATTAAAAAAATGCATGGTTTAAATGAGGGCGCTAACCGGAGTTCTTCTTTTTGGATGAAATTTCTGAACTTCTCCGTGAATTTTCAAATTATTTTAACTTTTTAAGAACTTTACTATGAATTTCTCACAGGGCTATTTTCAGTCAGAATATAAATATCTATGTTTGTTGTCAGGTCGTTTGTCCATTAAAAAGTACAAAGGCACTCGGGTATTTCTCCTCCATGAATCCCGAGGTGTTTAATCATGTTGACCGTTCACCCTCCTTTACATGATTTAACTGTATTGCTAATGTTGCACTGAGATAAGAGTTCATTCTTCCTGCTAAAGTTAGCCAAACTTTTGACCAATGAAGAAGAAGCCGCCGAAAACCAACGAGGACAGAGCGTATAAGACGAAGCCACAGAGAGAGAGAGGAGAGAGACAGAGAGAGTGCATTGGTTTCTTCTTCGTTGGTGTTTGGCGGCTATTTCTTCCGGTCGGCAGACTTTGGCATCGAAACTTGGAATCGGAATTTTAAAATTTGAACGATTCCGGGAGAACCAGAATGTCAGTCCTGGTCCCTATTGTTGCTCGATTCTCGATTCTCGATACCCAAACCTAGTCTTTGTAGCCGTGACAACCAAAAGAAGACCTATGAGCAGCCTCCTGACACAGACAGAAAGTGCAGAGCAGAGGAAAACGCAGGGTGGTGAAATTGACTTGGCAGAGCTACCCACTGGGCGTGTCCTCCAGCGTCATCCTAATTGGACGGCAGAGCCTGAGGTCATGTTTAGGCCCAGTTCTGCAATCACATCTGACGAGTACGCCGACATTTTCGTGTTTTTTTTATGTTTTGAACCTGAACGTCAAACAATGTGGTATACAGGTTTTTATTTACATCCAGATCAGTATCTGTTGTGAAGATGGGTCCACTTTCTTTGTCGGTGAAACCCTGAAAACAGTCTGTAGCAGAGGTGTCTGTTTCCTAAAGCTGCTGTTAATCTTTGCCATTCAAAGTCTCGTGTGCTGATGACTTTTGCTGATAGCGTTAACTAGAATCAGTCCTTAATGACTAAGTAGTTGGAGTCCAGCATCCTGGTTCTTTGTTTGCTTCTTCAGATCCACTGTGGGCTCCTTATTGGTCGACCAATCACAGCAGCTCTTGTACAGAAGTAGCATTAGAGAAAAAAACTTAAACTGTTGTCTGAATAGAATTTTCCAGCATTTCAGCACTTCCTGTAAGACGCCTTTGTGTCAACATTAGCCGAAGAAAGCGAACGCAGCATTTTCTCCTCTGTGTGTGTGTGTGTTTGTATACATGTGAGTGTGAGTGTGTGTAATCCTGCTTCCTCGTGTGTCAGTGTGTCGGTTCGGTTCAGCACAGTATTAAAAGTGTCTGTGTGAAAAATAGAGCATTACACAGACTTAACTCACACACACACACAAACACTCACTCACACACACACACACAGAGGCCTGATTGTTCTCAGGTTGATAAGATTTGAGGCCTTATAGAAAACTTGTGACCGCACACACACACACACATTCACACTTACATTCATAGTTTGGAGCAGGTTAATGTATCAGCCTGTTATCACCCGCTCTTATCTGGTCGGACTGGTTTCCATGGTATTCAGGTGGACTGTAGGTTTACTCAGCAGCAGCAGGCGGAGCGAGGAACTCTGAGCTGCTTCAGGAATTCGGGTTATTTGGTTTTTGGGCCAAAACTCCAATCTGCTCACATGGATTCTGTTGATTTGGAAAATACTTATTAGAGACTAAAAGCTTTTAAGCTACGCAGACTTAAGTGTTTTACTCGACAATATTTCAACATCTGAGGTTGAGAGATCGATGTGTTTAAACGAAGGTGATATCATTTAGAGACACATTTACAGTGTAGGGATGAAAGTAGAAATGATCCAAAGCAGCTAATGTCCAAGAGATTTACATCACAGCCAGCTGAGTAATTAAAGTTTAGTAATTGTGCCACATGTCCACTCCCCCCTCTCTCTCCCCACATTTCATCTTATCCCAGTGGTTCCCAACTGGTGGGTCCGGACCCTAAAGTGGGTCGCGGACATGTTATGGATGGGTTTTAACAGCTGGTCAAAAAAGTAAATATTTAATGCACATCTGATGTTTGACATGTCTTTTATTTTGAAAAATAGCTTATTTTGAAAGGCATGTGTTATCTTATTAATGTGGTCTAAATGCTGTAAAAATACATGTTTTTTTTTTATTTGTCTTTTTTTGTGCAATTTGATATTTATTCACTTTTGTCCATGACGTTGCATGGTCCTCCTCAGGTTCGTCTGAATGCAGAGATGCATAAAAGTTAATTTTCTAATTTTGCTGGTTTCCATTTTGTGCAATTTGATATTTTCTGTACATGCAACTTTAGTCGTTGTTGTCCTCAGTTCATGTGCTTTGAAATGCACTTTACTCAATAAAGTGGGTTTATTTATGTTAAAGATTTGAGTCTTTAAATTTTATTTTTTTTTCTTCTAAATTGCTTGGTTTGATTTTTATAAAAGTGGGTCGAGACTTAGGGATCATGGGAAAATGTGGGTCCCAGAGTTACTTTACGTTAGCACAGATGAACGTTAAAACAGAGAACATTGTCATATCAGAAATCTGACACTATGACTCTCCACAAGTTGTCCTTCAGGTCGTTATCTTTGTAATGTTTGTTTAAACGATCAAAAACAATCAGCTGGTCGGCCATGTTGGATATACCGGTGAATCTGACGTCGCAACAACACAAAATCTGATTGGTCAAAAGTGGACACACAGTATGTGAAGCTTTAGAAAAATCGACCGTCATCCAATAAAAATAAATGCCGCAATATCGCAGGAAAGATTCTTGTCTGGTGCTTATAAATTGGGACACAGACAGTAGTCGAGTTCGACTCACCTGAGCATGTAAACGTACTGACCCAACCACAGAAACCCCAAGTCCCCTCTTCGATTGTTTGAAGAAGTGCCACTCACAGACTATTTTCTACGCCTCATTTGCTTTTATGTTGATTAAACTGTCTGAATAATGAGGATGTGTTTATCAAGTATCAACAGACTGAATCTGGGTGATGTTATTCCACTCAAATATGCTGATTCATCACTTCATCTCGTACAATCTAAAGCGCTCTGTGCCGTAGATGAGATCATCATTAAGTGACCGGCTCGCTGCAGCGACACTAGTGCGGTCACACAAGTTTAAGACGACATTTTTGTCCCTCCTGTGTGTCCATAGCGAGCTCAGTTGACTTCCTGATGAGTGATGGTGAAGACGACAGCTCCTTTCTATCGCTGCCCACCGCCGCCTTCTCACAGCGCCCCTCTCTGAGTGCAGAGCTGAACGAAACAAACACACCCAGCCAGCAGCTGCTCATACAGGTAAGACCCAACGAGAACTGTGTGTGTGTGTGTCTGTGTGTGTGTGTGAGAGAGAGAGAGAGACTTGGTGCAGTGACAGCGAGGCTGCTGACTCACCGCTGACTTTAGCACAAACTGTCTCTGTCTACACTTTGAAGAGACTGCCTGTCGACCTGCTCATCAAACCTGAGACACCACTGTTGATCCAGTCTGATGGTTTGTCACTGCATGATGCTTTTAAACACACACACACACACACACACACACACACACACACACACTACTGCTGTCCTGCTAACACCAGCACTTAACGTTTTTGCTAAATTCAGCCCAATTTAAGGCCACCTTAACATGACTCACTTTTTTAGAAAACAGGGACGTTCTTGAGTTCCTGGTTCAGTTTTTCACTCCCTGATTCACACTCTGATACTTACATACATGTTGGTCTTCAAAGTAAACTCCATTATAGGGGAGAGTGGGGTAAGTTGAGCCACCCCCTGTCGCTTGGAAATGGTAAAAGAAATTGATCATTTGACCAAATATTTAGGAGATGGGCATAGAGATGGGAATCGAGAACCGGTTCCAAATGGTTCAATCCGTCGACATCATTTACATTGTGTCTTAACGATTCCTTTCTTCTGGGTGCCTTGAAAAACGGTCTTGCGAGAGCCAGTCTACGCGAAGGGGGGAACAGAGACAAAGAAAGAAACATGGTGGACGGTATGAAAAGTAGGCAGAAACGATCTAAAGCGTGGCTTAATTTAACTAAGAAAGACGACAACAGCGCAAACATGCAAAGGTGGAAACACGCTTCAACATTTGTCAACGGGCACGGCATCAAATATAAGGAGTCATGTATTCGATGCTCTCCGCCAGTTGTCAGCTGCTGCAGCTCCGTCTCAACACGGCATGGAAGGTTAGTGTGACCATAAGTCCTCTTTTACCCGGATATGTCCTCTTTTGGAGGGCTGTCCAGGGGGAGTTTATGTAATCCTTTAAATGTGTGTCCATTGATTATAAAACAGTGCAGAGCATCAGTGCTCTCTGCAGCTCTGCCCCTCCGCTCACTTCTAAACAAAGCCTCTGACGTGACGCACGCATGCGCTGTCTTTGGGAATTCAGAATATGCCTTTAACCGATTTAGAAGTGCATAAAAAACTCTCGACCCGACCAAAAAAGAAAAATAAATTTTAATAAAATTATTTTTAGACTCTGACTGAAGGTGGCATACATCTGTTTCTGTTATCAGAGACTCAATAAAACTTTGAGTTAACCGTAAAAACCTATCATCTACTTTCTTTTTTTTAATTAAAGAAAGGCATTGATAAGGGAATCGTTAAAGAATTGAATCGATAAGCAGAACAGATAATGGCATAGATATTGATAAAATCTTATCAATTCCCATCCCTATACATGGGGTAAGTTGATCATAGGAGACCACTTTTTTTGGCATGCTGCATTATCAAGATTATAGTTCTGTTTACACTCATTCTGTTGGTTTGCAGGGATGAACAACATCTTAAAATATATGCAGATACACCAGTAAGAGACAAAACTATGATTGACTTGATGTAGTGATCTGAAATATGAAAAATGGTTCATCTTACCCCACTCTCCCCTATATGTGGAGAAGGAGGAGGCAGAGGCTGCAGCAAATATCCACTCCCTCGATCAAACGTTAGCTGAGCTCTGCAGTGAGCGAATCTTCTGAATCACAGTATATTACAATCACAGATTTAACTGAACACGCTCTTTTTCCTTCACTTTGCTCTTCAGGTGAATTATCTCTCTTTAACCTTCTGAATCACTCGGTTGTAGTTTTGTGTAGCATTACTGTTTTAGACGTGGAGAAAAAGGTGCATGTTTTTGTGGGGCTGGTTATTTTTAGTGACAGATTCTTCTTCTAATGTCTTTGGTGTGTCTCCGTGGTTGAGTTCTTGTGTGCCTTGTTATCTGTCGTTTTTCATATGTCTTGTCTCATGCTGCACTGTCCTCCTTTTTTTCGTCCATTTTTCCACGCTGCTCATTTCTGCAGAAAGTCACCTGGTCCTATATGTGGACCTCTGCCAACGTAAAAACCTTCATCCTTTCCTCGTAGCTTCTATTAGATATGTTCATACAACAGCTCCTCTTTAGCTTCCTTGTCTTTTGACCTCTACGTCTTCCTGTAGTTTCACTGCCTGACAGATGTCTAAGAGCCGTAGATCTGTTGTAGGAAAAAAAACTCAATTTCTTCAGCTACTCCTCCTACAGATAGCAGAAAAGGTTTCAGCTCATAAAAAAGTGAAAATGTTTGTGTGTTTGTGTTTCAGACTCTACAGGACAAAGTGAGTGAGTTTCAGGCTCGTCTTCGCTCTGAGGAGGTCACCCGTCACCTGCTGCTCCAGCAGCTGCAGCAGCAGAGCGTCCAGGAGAAGACAGGTGTGGGTGTTGGAGGAGTCCAGACATCGGCCACACAAAACGGTGAGGACAGAGCTGTGGCTCTAATTAGGGATGTCTCGATACAACTTTTTTACACCGATATGATTCCGATATTGTAACCTTCAGTATTGGCCGATACTGATATTGATCCGATATTGGCACAAACTCAACTGCAATGTCTTTTCCGGACTTTAATGAAAAATCCTGCCACACGGCCGACATCACTCCTACTCCTTGCTCATACCTTAGTACAAACTTTTGTTGTGATCACATGGGCTCTGCATGCTGGATCCGGGCGCTGCAACAAAGAGGTGCTGGAGCGGAGTCTGAAATGGACTGTTTGTATCAGAGTGCTGATATCTGAGATTTTAGACGCAGGCCAATATAATCGAATATTCGTCTTTTTGCTGATATCAGACCGATATCAATTACACCCCTAACTCTAATCTAAGGCTGTGTCGACAGGTGTACGGATGTTTTGAATAAAGAAGTAGCTGTTACAGTTATGAAGTGGACCAGTTTTTCAGGTCCTGCTGGGACACAAGTCCTTTAATCCAGGGGATATTTTTCAAGTGGTTGTGGGCCGACTTTTGTAAACATCTTTATGTGATTTTTAAAACTCGGGTCTGAGTCCGTGACTACACCCAGATTTCTGTTTTCAACTTTAACCTGCTCTGTTTGGCTCTAAAAACAACCACCTCAGCCTTGTACACACACAGGCGCTCAGTCAGGGCCTGTGTGTACGTAGCCATGGCTACCTGCTGATGTTGTAATGTGTAACTCCGTGTCATCTGCATCACTTAGTTTGTTGTTTTGTCTAATATGAGCCAGTGGAAGCCTATAGATGTTAAACAGAAGAGACTCCTTTGTCCGCTCAGATTTAAAGTGCGACACAAAGTAATCACCTCTGTCTTAGTTTGAAAACACCTGAAAATCCCACACGGTTGTTCAGTCCAGGATCTGAACACACAAGAACCGACCTGGCTTCATCAGAGAAACGAGGAATAATTTTCCAGACACTTCTTTGATAATTATTTTTATTGAAGTTTCCATAACCTCCCTCATACTTACAGCTGTGCCTGACTGTGTGTGTGTGTGTGTGTTGTGTTGTACAGGTGTAAGGGTTTTGCAGCCAGGTGAGCAGCTTTCAGATCATCTCAGCTGTCCAGAAGAAGAGCAGCTCGTTTCTCGGCTGCGCACACAGGTACGTCTGCAGAAACACGTCATCACACGTGTGCAGCAGCTCTTAGCTTGTTGGCCCAGAGAAAGAGTTTCATGTTTTGAAGTCATTATGAGTACGTTTACACCAGTGGCGATTGCTCTAAGACTGCAAGGGAAGCTCGGCTTCCCTTAAAATGTCACCCCTCAAAAAAAAGAAAAAGTGGTGAAATACGTACTGCTGTGTGTACATTTCATTAACTAAATACGCACTAGAAAGCCTTCATCTTTTGTTCAGACACTGTGATAAGAAGCTGATAATCACAGGTAACCGGCATAACTTCGTTCTCATTCATCCTCGCAGCGCCTCAGCGCTTTAAACAGCCGGACGCTGGGCTTCTGCTGACTTCAATGTGGAAGCTAAAAGTGGGTTGTTCCAGCAGCGAAACTAGACGCTCATTGGATAAATGCTGGGCTTTGTCCCGCCCATCGGAAGCCCAGCTTCACTGGAGTTCTATGGCGAGAGGGCGGTCCCGACTTTCTCCCGGACTCCAAGCTTCTGCATCCATGATTGGATGAGCTGTCTGAGGCGAAATCCTTTTTTGATTGACAGCTAAACAAGCGAATCAGCGATCTTGAAGAATAAAACATCTACCAGAGCATTTTCCAAGTTATTTATTCCGTTGTTCTTAACTGCTCTGGAGACTTTACCGATCCTCAGCGACTTTTGTCTTCATTAAAAACGACTGCCGTTGTGTTTGGTGACTCTGTTCTGTTACATACTAATAAACAAATACAATTATGATGTAGGCCAGAAAAATGAGCTTCCCCTCCTTGAAAGACCAGCAGCTGCCACTGGTTTACACGTGCCAGGCTGTTTTCGTAAACGGACCTTTCACCCTCTCTGTTAACAAAAAAAAACTGCATGCACACCACTACGTTTTCAGGAAAGATTTTAGTTTACACTAACTCACAGAATCCCACAGCGTCAACAACAACAACGTCACTTCCTACTTTTGGAGGGATCGCACCTGCGTAAATGTTACTGCTATTCTGCATGCGTCCATGATCACCATAGATTGTAAACATAGACTATAGATCGTAAACAACGTCGTACAATCTGCCGTCGGCTACCCAAATCTCAGTTTTTCTCTGTTTACATGCAAACGTGCAGACGGAGTTTGTAATGTCTCCGTTTTTAAAAAATAACCAGGTATGTAGAAACGGGGCCTTAGACTCCTCTTCAAGTTCAGCAGCAGCACTTGAAAACCTCCACCTTCTTTTATCACACCTCTCTGCACCTGATCCCTCATTGGCAAACAGGCGCTGCATCATCATGCGCGCTGTCATCTCTTTGTCTCGTTGTAAAATACCAAGTTGAAACTCTCCCTGACATGTGCGGTCACAGGTGTCTGTCAGACTGATGTGCACACGCCAAACCTCCCTGACACCATGACAGTTTTATTAGATCTTTCAAACCCTGATAGGTGAGCTGCTGCTGCTGCTGCTCTTCAGGTTCGATTCCATTCTTCTCAGCATGTGAAGATGACACGTTGGGTTAGATATTTGGGACCTTGTGGTTTTATATGTGTGTTGTCATGGTGCTCGCAGGTGGAGGAGCTGGAGGAGAAGCTGTTGGATCAGACCCAGGAGGTGGAGAGACTTCGCTCTGAACTGGTGAGACTTTGCTAGACCGCATTCCTGAGGAACCCTGGGAAAAACCACACACACACACACACACGCACACACGTGATAAGCTGAGTCAACGTCACACAGAGCTGCAAAGAATGAAGTATCTGCTGAGGGAAGAGTTCATGTCGTACAAATCTGTTGATTATAGGTACAGTGGCAATGAATTCAGAGGATTTTAATTTAAGATCAAATGTTTTGTATGTTTTTTTGCATCCTGCAGGGGGCGACAGACCTGGAGAAGCAGCTGGAGCTGCTGGTGGTGGAGAACCAGCGTCTGAAGCAGGAGCTGAAGTCATGCAAGAGCTCAGAGCTTCTGAACGTCGACGCTGCTGCAGAGACCTGCAGCTGCAGCCACTGCCCTCACAGCCAGGTTTGTTTCTACACACTCACTGGGGTCTAAAGTACAGACTAGTCCACAGTTTGTGGACTATATTTAGATTTTAGCTGTTGCATCTTGTTTTGGAGGCAGACGAATATGAATTTAGCTGTTAGCTGTTAAAATAGCTTCAAAGACCAAAACTGCTATGTGCTCCCAGCTGTAAACATGTTTCATAAATAAACCCTGACATACCAGGAATCGCAGGTTTGGACACGTCACTATAAGCTGCATTTGTCAGTCCAAAGTTTAGTGGATAAAGCTTATTCTTGAGTGATGCATTTACTTCTTTTGGGTTTGAAAGTTGCTGGTTGGTTCAGAGAGAGAGAGGAGATGAATCTATGTCTTCATGGTCATCAGTAAAAGGTAAAGTCCTAAATGCCTCTGAAAGCCTGACTGTGTCCCTGCGCAGGATGTGGAGTCCCTGCGGAGGGAGGTATCCCGCTGGGAGGGTCAGGCCCGGCACAGGGAGCGGAGGCTGGCTGAGCTGGAGCGGGAGCTGCTGGAGAAAACCTCCAAAGTGGAGAGTCTCCATCGGCAGCTGGACGAGTCAACGCGGCAGCTGGAGGAGAGCAGGAGACAGCTGGAGGAGTCGAGGCGGAGGCAAGGAGAGGCCGAGCAGAAGCTCACCCTCCGACTGCAGGAGTGTGAGGACGAGCTCGCCAGGCAGGCAGCGACGCCCCCCAGAGTCAAGGTGAGGAGGAGACATGATTTAAAGTTTTATTTTGACAGGATATGAGTTGGAAACATTTGAAGGTCTCTCCTTTGGCATGTGAACTCTGGTCAGGGATTTTGTTTTGCTCCACAGTATGTGACTCAGACGGTAGAGGTGGAGTCAGCCGACTCTCAGAAAGCTGTGGCTGAGCTGCAGGTGAAGAACGCCGGTCTTCAGGAGCAGCTGTCCGTGCAGAGGCAGCTGCTGAGGGAGCTGGAGACCCAGCTGCACGAGTCCCAGAGGAGCTGCGCTCAACTCAGAACACAGGTAACACCAACAACCAACCTCATCTGCTTCAGGTGGTCAAACTGAAGACCCTGAAATGACCCTTATCGGGCGAGCCTGTGTGTGTTTATCATCTTAGAGACTTTTTAAAATGTGGATTACCTGAGTAAAAAGTGAATTTCAAACATGTTCATATTTTAGGATAAAGGCAAGCTAACATTGATCTGTCTTCACCAAGACCAACACCCTCTATAAACCAGCTTCATGCAAGATTTCTCATATCAGCATTTTCTCACTTTATGAAGCAGGTGTGCAGCACAGGTTAGCATGGTGACAGTGAGAGGCCAGCCTGCTCCAGAACTTAAGGGGGTGATGAGGTTGAAACTTAATATATCAGGTTGTGTTAAGTAGTGTGCAGGTTAGTGTGAACCCCATCTGCCTCCCCCTCAGTTAACCGTTTTCCTCTCTGCATGCTCGCGGCTGCAGCTGCTCACCGATCAGGGCCGTCTGTGCGGCCTCCTCGCCGAGGCTTTCGGCAGGCGAAAGAGTGAATTGGTTCACAGGTTGTCTAAGGTTGGAGACCCCCTCCCCCCTCTCCCCCCATAACATCGCTGACATCAGGAGATGACAGTCAGTGGAACTGTCTCTGCTGACTTAGAGCTTTTAGAGCTCAGGATGCAAAGCTGCCAAATGAAACACAAACACACCTCAAAAGTCAAGAAATCCTCATGAATGAATACAGGATGGAGTTTTGGATAACATGAATGCAACTCAATGTAAATATTTTATCTGGAAACAAATTCGGACAGACTTTCAAAGTAGTTTCTGACCCCAAAAATGACACATAATGCTATTTGGAAGATTTACGGCTCTTAAATAGGAATTTATTTGTATGCTAAGTATTCAAATATGGTAACAAGTCAGACTCTCTGGAGTAAATTCTCCACGCTTGTTTTTAACGGCAGGAAAAAAATGAAATGGAAAAATAAATCAGAAAACCTTGTTTGAACTTGTTTCATTGGGCGGCTTTGGAGGCTGTTAAAACCTGTTAGATGTCCCAGTTTGAGATGTGAACCAGGTAACCCCCCCTTTCCCTGTGCTCCCTGCTTTGTCCCTGAAGACTACAGCTGCACTATCTGATTGAATCACAACTACACTATGTAAAATGTGCTGTAGAAATATACAGCTGTCACGCTAGCAAGCAGGAAACCAGCTAGCATGTACCATCCTTAGCACAACAAAGACATGCTGCCTGAATGAACGCTGCTGTTTTTGACAGTTGTGTTGATCACAACCGTTACATTTATTATATTACACACAAAAACGGAGAGCCCCAACCAGCTGCTACATTAAGGTTTAACTTGACAAAATGCATTTATGCGTTTATATTTGTGTTATATACTGGTTGATGTACACACGGTGAAAATGCTAATAAGATATGCAAAAAAAAATAAATAAACACTTTATCAGCTGGAAAAATAAATAAATAAATAAAATGCGTCACATTCTTCTTTTAGTCTAGATTTTTACTGTTTTTTCTTCTTTTAATTATATACTAAATAGACTAATTCAAAGGCTACACAAAAAACCTTTTCTTTTATTCAGTTAATTTCTAACTTTATTCTCAAGATTTGGCGTAGTTAAAACCGACAACAACCGTGACTCTCAGCCGCGGTGTAAATGTGGCCTCCCGATTCCTCAAGCTTTGCCTCCTGAACCTTGTACACCTGTGTGGTCAGGTAACCTGTCTATTCTGTAGTGGTAGCAGCTTTTCTTTTCTTTTTTTCTTTGTACATAGAAGCTGTTGTTGTTTTGTATACGATGTCTATTCAAGTTTCCATGTCCAGTAACGCAGGTATGATATGTAGTTTTGTAGTAGCACATGGGAGTGTTTAGCGTCCCAAAACTAATGAGGATCTGGAGGATCTGCTAAATAAGAGAATTGTCTGCTAAATCTGCTTGTATTTGTTTCTTGGGATTAGAGATGATTAAATTGGAAAGTGAGACCGAAGAGTGTTTGCTACAGGAATGTTTTGTCAGCTGCTGTCTGGATTAATTTTTTATGTCTATCATTAAATACGCTTTAAAACTCCTGTGAGAGGAGCTGTTTGTTTGTGTCAAATTTGGCATCCCCAGTGGACAAAGCAGTCTTCGTTTCTGCTTGAGTATCGTCTCCTGACAAAACATCTAATTCTGCTGACTTTAAGTTCATCATTCATCATTAAAAGTTCATGTGAAAAAAAAAAAAAAAGAATTGTTTCTTCTTAAAACTAAGATTTGAAAATGATCAATCTTGTCAGCAATGCTCTTTTTTTTGCTTTTTAAAATTATTTATTTACCATAAAAAGTCATTGAAGAATCTCCCTACAGGAGCTTTAAAAGATTTAATGAGTCTGGTGGCTTTGGAAAGAGCAATGCAACATCTTTTTGGACACTGTTTCAGCTTGGATCTTAAAGCACATACTCCAAATCTAGAGGCTAAGGTCCTAGTAGTGGACTCTTTACTGCATCTTATTTCCCCGCGCTTTAAACCTTACATTTACTGTCCCGTCTCATTAAGTGTAGCAGTGTAGATTTGGCTCTTCCTGCTCCGTGTGTCCCTCTTTCCTAAATCTGTCCCCTGCCGTCCTCCAGATCCTGGTGTATGAAGGAGAGATGGAGCGAGCTCAGGGCCAGCTGGAGGCTGAGATGCAGAACCTGGAGGAAGAGAAGAATCGTGTGATCGAGGAGGCGTTCATCAGAGCCGAGAGCGAGATGAAGGCGGTTCACGAAAACCTGGCAGGTCAGACCTTGAATCACTTTTTGCTCTCTCTTATCACTGTGTGTGTGTGGACTCATCTAATTGGTTGTTTGGTTTTAGGAGTGCGTATGAACCTACTGAGTCTGCAGCCGGCACTCAGAACTCTAACCTCCGATTACAACTGTCTGAAGAGGCAGGTGCAAGACTTCCCCTTCATGCTGGACAAAGCTATCACAGAGGCCAAGCGGGAGGTGAGTGAGCATGCTCGCAAAGTGTTGATGTACAAATGACCTCCTGAAGCAGACAACCCTACCAAGCGCTGTGGGGGTTAACCAAGCGGCAACCTCCAGTCTTATGGGGAAAAAAAAACAGATGCCAAAAAAACTGCAGTTCTCTAGGTGTCCACTTGAGGCTGTCCGCTTAAGCACCAGAAACCACATGCACAGCAACCCAAAAAAGGCAGATGTTAGAGCAAAATTACGAATATTAGAGCTACATTAAGAGAAAAAAAATTAAGACTTAGTTATTACTTCTGATAATAAAGTTGTATTAAAATCATTACTTACGAGAATAAAGTCGTAGCTAATAGCTATTCTAACCTGCTGTTAGTTATTTAAATGAGCGCTGTGGAGCGTTTAGATGAATTGAACTTCAATAGCTAGGTTTCACAAACAAGGAGATACTGAAGCCTTTGGCGTTTCAGCATCACATTTTTAGAGGTATCAGGACATATGCAAGAAGTGCATCTTTTCGGCAGAAAGAACCAGGAGCACTTGAAGGGAATCGCTGTTTTTGAGGAGAGGGAAATGGCTGGAAATGGATGTGCAGAGGCTAAATCCCTCAATGCAGCCGTTTATAGCAATAGTATGTGGCTTTAGTTTATCGTATCAATCTAAGGTGTTGGTGCCTCTGCAGGTGTAGGTTGCTGCCGGTGTTGTGTCGGCATCAGAGACAGACGCAATGCTCGTTGGAGCTCGACTCCCTCTGAATCGCAAATGTTGATCATCAGTTGGATTGTTTCTTGAGAAACCACAAAAGCCCTCTGAATGGCCCACTGAACTGGTCCACTGCAGCGTTTTCAGTGGGTGCATCAGACATTTCCTCCTCCACAAAAGCAGCTTTAAGACTTCGTTTACTTAACGACTTTATTCATGTAAATAATGATTTTATTACGACTTTATTCTCATAAGTAGTGATTTTGTTACAACTTTATTCTTGTAAATAATTATTTTCCTATGACTTTATTCTCATAAGTAATTACAAGTCTTATTTTTCTTTCTCTTTATGTGGTCCTAATACTCCCTCGTACAAAATAAACACAAGGGTTCAAAGAATTTGTGAATCAGAGGCATGGCTTACTTGATAGGCTTCGTAAGTCCACTATGTCCAGATGTTAATACAGTGTATGATTTGCACAGGTGAATTGATTATTTTATAGATGGCTACTTTGGAAGTGCCAGTGTTTATGTTGGTGTCTTTTTTTAATATAATTGTAGCTTTGGACAATACAGTCTATCACTGAACGTCTGCCTTTCCAAAACTCTCAGCAAAATGGCGGTGATGCTAGCTGAAGAACCATCGCCATGGCTATAAAAACTGATGGCATCCCGTCATTTAGTGAAGAATATTCATGATAATTATTACCGCAATAAAGGTCCTGGAAATAAGCATATACATTAGTTATTAAGCCATTTATTAGACCTTATAAACACAAATCTGAAGTGTTGATGAGGAATAATTTACACATTTCTTTTTTAAACTTTATTTTTATGTTGGGGTTTTTATAACAAATACATAGAACAATAAACAGACATGGTCATCACATAACAGACAGAATTTTTTCCAGTATATGCTATTGAACTCAGACTACATTCAAAATAAAATAAAACATAAGAATTTTTAATAAGGTTACAATATGGTATGCAGATCAGTATTTCCTTAGTCTCCTTTACCAAGTCAAATGATGTCCCTTGTCCTCTAAAGTCTCCTGGGGGATATTCCGGGGCGGATTTCTTAAGGAACAAGCACATCACTTCAGGTTGCAGTATGATTTCTAGTTTTCCAGTCCTCTGAATGCATGTCTCTGTGATTAAACACACTGACACCATACTTGGAGATGGTTTCTGGTAGTGGTGCAACGGATCACAACACTCACCGATCGGATCGTTCCTCGGATCAAGAGTCACGGATCGGATCATTTTTCGGATCAGCAAAAAGCAGTTTTGTCTGTATATTAAACACTTAAATGGTTGAATTAAAATATATAAAAGTAGTGCATACGGCATAATATCTTCTTTTCAACATAATTATTAATGAAAAACAACTTAAAGTGCAATATATAGGCATATCTCCTTCCTTTAAAATGTAACAATGAACCAAAAATGAAGTATGTGCGCGGTGGGATATTGTAACGTGGCTCAAGCACTTTCAGCATGTTTTTAAAGCCCTCGTTTGCACAACTGAATATGGCCTCGTGTCTGTAGCTATAAACACACCGATAGCGTTTGTGATAGCTTTAACCCGGTCGGATTGCGCAGGAAGAGGCTGCTTAAATGCAGCGGTGATGAGCGGTTGCTGGCCAGCTTTCGTTTTATCTCAGGTGTTGTGACATAGAATGCACCCCCTGACGGGAGCGCGGTTTAAAGTACATAACGAGGCGAAATAATCCAAGTTTTTCTTACATTGGATGGATTCAAAAGCGTTTGCCTGTAATAATTTCATTCAGGCTATTCAAAGAAGCCAAAAAAAACAGCCCTTGGAATATTGCTGTCCCAAAAATATAATGCTCTCTACCTGGACAGCTTTCTGTACAGTTTATACCCAAGTACACCTCTATATTTGCATTTTTGAGACACATAAAAAGAAAATGAGTTTGCTGCTCCATTTGACATGTTGTCATGATCTAATACTCGTGTTTCTTTAAATATGAGATCATTATCTCCACTTTAAGAAGCTAACGAGTGGAGGGGATGCAGGGGTGCGTTCTACGGCAGGGGTGCAGTCTACGGCACAACACCTGTCATTAAAACACCCGGGTGATGTCGCTTTCAAATGCGTGAACATGCTCGATGTGTTTCCACTGTCATATGGCTTTCTTATGCCACAGTGCCTACACACCTTCGCAGTTTTGTCCACTGACCTCTTTCCTTCCTCATCATAGTTGACAGGGAAGCCACATTTTTTTTTTCAGAAATCGAACCGCGGGTAACGTGTGTGCCGAACCGATGACGTCGATCCGAACGGATCACGGATCAATGATGATCCGTTGCACCACTAGTTTCTGGAGACCGCCTCTGTCTTTCAAATGGATGAAACTGTGTTTAGGGCCATCAGTTGTTGAAGCCTGTGGGCAAGGAAAGCAGGTGATTTTGTCTTTTACCTTCTTTACAACAAATCCTGCGATGTAGTTAATCACTGCCTCTTTGCCTCTCTGCCACTGCCTGGAAACATTTGGAAGGTCAGGAATGGTGTCATCTTGTGACACATCACCTCCTGCAACTGCAGTTCCATTCTCTATGCAGCATTTCCTGCTGCAGGTGTTGAGCTGAGAATGTGGGCGTTGTCTCGCAGTAAACAACTGCCTATGTCTGTTTTTACTTGGTGCCTCAGAAGTAGGCGTTTTTAGGCCCCCTGAGCTGCCTAGCTTTGGGGTGGCCACCCCTAGCTCCTATGGCAGCAAAGAAGAGCTCCAAGTGACCCTTACTCAGTTGTAGGTAAGAAGATACCTGCATGGAGGATTGGCTCTTTGCACAATGTCATGGTAGATGTTGAGTGCACTTCATCCATTGAGAATGAAGCAATATACGGCAGTCTTCTTTTTTGGGGTGTGAAGTGGCACGATCTTGTTGGACAGCTGGACCTGTGCATCCTTTTTGCTGCAGACCGATGTTGAAGACCACGCCAAGTTTTGCTGGTTATATGGTCTGGAAGCGAAGCGCCTTTTCCTTTAGGGGAGAGTGGGGTAAGTTGAGCCCCTGTCGCTTGAAAAATGGTAAAAGATTTTGATCATGTGACCAAATATTTAGGAGATGGGCATCAATTCATGGAGTCTGTGAAGGTTAGAAGCACATGGGTGAAGAGGTTAGACATTTATTTCCAAAAAAACATTTAGTCTGTCATAAGTTTGATTAGAATTGTGTTCAGACCAAAAATGATCATTTTAAATTTGTTTTATACATCAATTGCGGTATCTATCAGCTACAACATGAGGTCAAAAACCTTACATAAAAGTCCACCATTTTAGCCTAGAGGACTAATAAATTCATAACAGTAGTGCTGGGTTAAGTTAAGCCATTGGCACAACTGAGAAATTAAAGGAGTCTGATGAGAGGGTCAGAGTTTCAGTTCAGATTGTTGAAATGTTTGACTTTTTCTTTTAAAGAATACAGCTGTGAATGTTCTGAATCACTTAAAGACATTCTTATGTTAAAATGGCTTTTTATGAAACAGTTTTTTAGCAGTTATATGCAATATTAATAAAAATAATCACTGTATCAGTTGAATAGTGTATAATAGATATAAATACTCATGCATGTGAAGAAGTGACTGGGGTGGAGAGTGGGGGCATAGTAGGGATACGGCTTAACTAACCCCGCTCCTATGGTCAACTTAAGTTGACCACTTTTTTCGTCATGCGATATTATCAAGACAGTTATGTTTACACTCATTCTGTGTTTGCAGGGATGCACAACATCCTGAAATATATGCAGATACACGAGTTAGAGACAAAACTATGATTGATGTAGTGATCTGAAATTTGAAAAAATGGCTCATCTTACCCCACTCTCCCCAAATGTCTTTCTAATGGTGGAGTTATTATTTTTTTTCCACAAAAGTAGACATGAAGTAATTACATATTAAAACAAAGAAGTTCAGCCAAACTTTGCAGGAGATGACAGAAGCCTAAAGGGCTGATAGGGAATCCTCCCCATCAATACAAGTAAATTAAAACATGCTGAATCTGAAACAAACTAAACGACAAGAATATAAAGAAACATGTTAAACAACAACAACAAAAATGGAAAAATGATAAAACAAAACGGAATACCCTTTAAATGTGGGTCAAGTGCAAGCGCACTAGTAACACAGAAATCACTTTGCTAATTTACACATTTTTAATAGATTATGAGACACATAATAAACTTCTCTTAAACATCCATATGATATTAATTTTCTTTCATTTACATGTATTTTTTATGTTGATGAACATCTTATCAAGTTTACAAGATCAAATAAGTGGCTTAATAACAATTCGAAGAACTTAAATTGAAATGTTATCAAAACTAGTGTCAGTAATAATCACGGCTAGGATGAACTGTCTGAGGTTGTCTGAGGACTGTCATTCTGTTCAGTTCCTTTGTGTCAATAAAGATTATTGAATTGATCTGGCATAAAAAAAAAATCTGAAGAAATGTGATGATGTCATCAAAAATGCAATGATGTCATCAGAAAAAGTGATGATGTCATCGAAGAATGTGACATCATCACTTTCTTTGATGACATCATCACTCTCTTTGAAGTTATCAGATGGATTCGACTTCCGCGCCAACAGAATGTTGCAGGTGAGAGTTTCGTTGTTTGAACCAGTGTAAGAGTTGGCAGAGATAAGAGGTTTACATTTCTACAAACAAACAGAAACACAGAAGAAACAATGCAGAGCCCAAGAACTACGATGAACATGGTCAGGACCGTCCCTATTACAGAGCCCACCGTCCCTTTCCCTGAAGTGGACATAAGCGACATGTGGAACATGGTCGGGAACATTCGTATGATCGAGCCCACCGTCCTTCTTCCCATTGTGAATGAATTCATTAGGAAACTGGCTAGAAATCAATGGATCACAATAGCGAATGGGTCTCTGGACCAGGGGACCAAAGACATGATCAGAGACATGTGTGTGGACATTGTTGACACAGTAGCCAAATACATCTCCATTGAAATTGAAAACAGTGATAGTGAAGAAGGTCCTCCCAAATCAACAGAGCAGAGAATCTCAAAGAAAGAGGTCCACGCAATCCTGGGAGACAGCATTAATTTCGCCATTGCAGATGCATTGGGCATCCCAGTGGACATCCATAGCAGGACCACAGAGAAGGTGAACTCTATCGTGGTCGAGGAGGTTACAGAGCGGATCAACTCCAACAAAGAGCAGCAGGCCACCAAGTCTTTCTGCTACAGACTGAAGGAGATGGCAAGAAAGATCAGAAAGATCATAGTCACGAACTACAAATTTGCATGTGGTTTTGCCCTTAATGGCCTCTGCTGTCCGACTACTATTAACAGTCTGACTTCTACGAACACACAAGTAGAGGAAGAAGACGTAAAGGAAGAAGAGCCAGTTGGGGACCATTTTCAGACCCCTGTGACACCCTTTGTAGAGGACGAACCTGAAATGTTCCACACAGAAAGCCTCAAACATGAAACATTGAAGGAGGTCAAGTCCATCCTGTCAAAGCACACAGATTACCTGGATGGTACTGACATTGAAGATGACCTTTCAGAGGAGGAATTATCCAAACATCTGTCCATCTCTGACAGGGACACAGACGAAACAGCTTCTGAAATCGTAAAAATTGTCTGGGGTGACAACGTTTCACAGGAGCCAGAAGCTTCACCTGTTAAAGAGACCACACCACCCGCCAAAGCAAAGAAAGCAAGACAGAGAAATATCATGAGAAGGATCAAGATGTTTCTCACAAAAAGGTTTGCAAAAAAGTCCATCATTAAACTTTTCCGCAAACTCACTGGAAAGATCTCTGTAGAAGAAAGAGATTCTGTCATGACACCACTCGTGACGGGGGTTTCAACTATTGTGGACGACATGATCGAGGAAACGGGGAGAGAGTGCACAAATGTGATGTGCTTCTACAGGAGGATGGCCAGAAACATCACTGAGGACCAGTTTGAAGAGAAAAAAAACAAACTGGTGGGATTCATCTTGTTCCAGCTGATGAATCGTGAGAAGAAACAAAAGCTCTTTTCTGCAGGTGTTATCCGCACTGAGGTGGACCAGTTCATGAAGATGATGTGGAACTGGTTGGTTGAGCAGGCAGAGAAGCACAATAGAGGGACAGATCAAGCCACCGCTGCTCTGAGGCAGATCGAGGCAGTTGTGTACGAAAATCAAGCTTTCCCAAAAATCCAGACGACCAAGATCTCCCAGTCTGCAGCTACACCAGCTCCTGTTACTGAGGAGACAAATATCAGTGAAGAAGCTGAGCTAAGCGGTGGAGCTTGGCTGGATTACTGGGATAGACTAAGATGTGAAATGCTGGTGGCTGGGCTGGTAAAAATGCTGATGGACACCTGGAGGATATATGTCGAAGAAGACCAGGCTATCTCGGTTTTGACAGAGGCTCTGTGGGCAGAAATGGAGGGCTCTGAAGTCGAGGTTAAACTGTCCTTTGCCGACATGAGGAAGATAGTAAGGAAGGTGCACAAGAAACTGTCCAAGGAGTTAGATATCGAGCTCATCAAGTTCACCGTTGTACAGGATCCTAAGGTCCTCACCCACATCATTGAGGCCTTTAAAGAAGAACTGAGCCCCAAACAAAAGAGTGGATTCAAAGGCTTCTTCAAGTCTGTGTTTAAACCCTTCACCCGCATCTTCAAACGTGACTAAAAAGCCTGTACGTTTGAAGAGGCTGGGTGGGAGGGACTCCACTTTCCCTGAGGCCTGAGGTCCCGCCTCATGTCCAATTTACTCTACAGCCTCACTTTGGCTAGAGAAGGGGTTTTCTCCGAGTGCTTCGGTTTCCCCAATTTTATACAGTTGTATTAAAAAAAAAAAAAAAAAACCTCAGTAACTCCGCCAAATTGTCTCAATTGGGTCATTTTTGCCGGTCCCAAGCCCGGATTAAGGAGGAGGGTTGGTATTGTGACAAAAAAAAATAAAATACACGACTCGACAGAAGAAAGTTAATTTGTATTTCTAAACGTATTTGGGGTGTTTGTTACTCACTTTTTGTTGTTTATCTCACTTACAGCGTCCATTACAATTTGTCCAATTATGCAAATTAGCAGATGAAATCATTTAGCAACTTTTATGACAGCCAATAGCTACTTTCCTTACTGAGGAGTCAGCAACACTGTATAGATATGCACAGCCACATGAAATTTGGTACACAGATCAGGAGGGGCGTCCTCTTGAGGGCGCCAATGTCAAAATGGAGAGCCAACTAATATTGGCTCCATAGTGGCCCCTACAAAATTTAAAAATGTAAGCCCTGCTCCTGTGTGTGACCCGAACCCAAACCCCACCTGTGGGATTTTATAAAAATCAGGTGGACAGTTAATAAGAATCTTACAGGGTCAAATAAGAGGTGTCATCACAAACTTTTGATCTTTGATTGAGTCTGATGAGAGGGTCAGAGTTTCAGTTCAGATTGTTGAAATGTTTGACTTTTTCTTTTAAAGAATACAGCTGTGAATGTTCTGAATCACTTAAAGACATTCTTATGTTAAAATTGCTTTTTATGAAACTGTTTTTTAGCAGTTATATGCAATATTAATAAAAATAATCACTGTATCAGTTGAATAGTGTATAATAGATACTCATGAATGTGAAGAAGTGACTGGGGTGGAGAGTGGGGGCGTAGTAGGGATACGGCTTAACTAACCCCATGGGGTAAGTTGACCACTTTTTTCGGCATGCGATATTATCAAGACAGTTATGTTTACACTCATTCTGTGTTTGCAGGGATGCACAACATCCTGAAATATATGCAGATACACTAGTTAGAGACAAAACTATGATTGATGTAGTGATCTGAAATTTGAAAAAATGGCTCATCTTACCCCACTCTCCCCAAATGTCTTTCTAATGGTGGAGTTATTTGTTATTTTTTTCCACAAAAGTAGACATAAAGTAATTACATATTAAAACAAAGAAGTTCAGCCAAACTTTGCAGGAGATGACAGAAGCCTAAAGGGCTGATAGGGAATCCTCCCCATCAATACAAGTAAATTAAAACATGCTGAATCTGAAACAAACTAACCGACAAGAATATAAAGAAACATGTTAAACAACAACAACAAAAATGGAAAAACAATAAAACAAAACTGAATACCCTTTAAATGTGGGTCAAGTGCAAGCGCACTAGTAACACAGAAATCACTTTGCTAATTTACACATTCGTAATAGATTATGAGACACATAATAAACTTCTCTTAAACATCCATATGATATTAATTTTCTTTCATTTACATGTATTTTTTATGTTGATGAACATCTTATCAAGTTTACAAGATCAAATAAGTGGCTTAATAACAATTCGAAGGACTTAAATTGAAATGTTATCAAAACTAGTGTCAGTAATAATCACGGCTAGGATGAACTGTCTGAGGTTGTCTGAGGACTGTCATTCTGTTCAGTTCCTTTGTGTCAATAAAGATTATTGAATCGATCTGGCATAAAAAAAAAATCTGAAGAAATGTGATGATGTCATCAGAAAAAGTGATGATGTCATCGAAGAATGTGACATCATCACTTTCTTTGATGACATCATCACTCTCTTTGAAGTTATCAGATGGATTCGACTTCCGAGCCAACAGAATGTTGCAGGTGAGAGTTCCGTTGTTTGAACCGGTGTAAGAGTTGGCAGAGATAAGAGGTTTACATTTCTACAAACAAACAGAAACACAGAAGAAACAATGCAGAGCCCAAGAACTACGATGAACACGGTCAGGACCGTTCCTATTACCGAGCCCACCGTCCCTTTTCCTGAAGTGGACATAAGCGACATGTGGAACATGGTCGGGAACATTCGTATGATCGAGCCCACCGTCCTTCTTCCCATTGTGAATGAATTCATTAGGAAACTGGCTAGAAATCAATGGATCACAATAGCGAATGGGTCTCTGGACCAGGGGACCAAAGACATGATCAGAGACATGTGTGTGGACATTGTTGACACAGTAGCCAAATACATCTCCATTGAAATTGAAAACAGTAATAGTGAAGAAGGTCCTCCCAAATCAACAGAGAACAGAATCTCAAAGAAAGAGGTCCACGCAATCCTGGGAGACAGCATTAATTTCGCCATTGCAGATGCATTGGGCATCCCAGTGGACATCCATAGCAGGACCACAGAGAAGGTGAACGCTATCGTGGTCAAGGAGGTTACAGAGCGGATCAACTCCAACAAAGAGCAGCAGGCCACCAAGTCTTTCTGCTACAGACTGAAGGAGATGGCAAGAAAGATCAGAAAGATCATAGTCACGAACTACAAATTTGCATGTGGTTTTGCCCTTAATACCCTCTGCTGTCAGACTTCTATTAACAGTCTGACTTCTACGAACACACAAGTAGAGGAAGAAGACGTAAAGGAAGAAGAGCCAGTTGGGGACCATTTTCAGACCCCTGTGACACCCTTTGTAGAGGACGAACCTGAAATGTTCCACACAGAAAGCCTCAAACATGAAACATTGAAGGCGGTGAAGTCCATCCTGTCAAAGCACACAGATTACCTGGATGGTACTGACATTGAAGATGACCTTTCAGAGGAGGAATTATCCAAACATCTGTCCATCTCTGACAGGGACACAGACGAAACAGCTTCTGAAATCGTAAAAATTGTCTGGGGTGACAACGTTTCACAGGAGCCAGAAGCTTCACCTGTTAAAGAGACCACACCACCCGCCAAAGCAAAGAAAGCAAGACAGAGAAATATCATGAGAAGGATCAAGATGTTTCTCACAAAAAGGTTTGCAAAAAAGTCTATCATTAAACTTTTCCGCAAACTCACTGGAAAGATCTCTGTAGAAGAAAGAGATTCTGTCATGACGCCACTCGTGACGGGGGTTTCAACTATTGTGGACGACATGGTCGAGGAAACGGGGAGAGAGTGCACAAATGTGATGTGCTTCTACAGGAGGATGGCCAGAAACATCACTGAGGACCAGTTTGAAGAGAAAAAAAACAAACTGGTGGGATTCATCTTGTTCCAGCTGATGAATCGTGAGAAGAAACAAAAGCTCTTTTCTGCAGGTGTTATCCGCACTGAGGTGGACCAGTTCATGAAGATGATGTGGAACTGGTTGGTTGAGCAGGCAGAGAAGCACAATAGAGGGAAAGATCAAGCCACCGCTGCTCTGAGGCAGATCGAGGCAGTTGTGTACGAAAATCAAGCTTTCCCAAAAATCCAGACGACCAAGATCTCCCAGTCTGCAGCTACACCAGCTCCTGTTACTGAGGAGACAAATATCAGTGAAGAAGCTGAGCTAAGCGGTGGAGCTTGGCTGGATTACTGGGATAGACTAAGATGTGAAATGCTGGTGGCTGGGCTGGTAAAAATGCTGATGGACACCTGGAGGATATATGTCGAAGAAGACCAGGCTATCTCGGTTTTGACAGAGGCTCTGTGGGCAGAAATGGAGGGCTCTGAAGTCGAGGTTAAACTGTCCTTTGCCGACATGAGGAAGATAGTAAGGAAGGTGCACAAGAAACTGTCCAAGGAGTTAGATATCGAGCTCATCAAGTTCACCGTTGTACAGGATCCTAAGGTCCTCACCCACATCATTGAGGCCTTTAAAGAAGAACTGAGCCCCAAACAAAAGAGTGGAGTCAAAGGCTTCTTCAAGTCTGTGTTTAAACCCTTCACCCGCATCTTCAAACGTGACTAAAAAGCCTGTACGTTTGAAGAGGCTGGGTGGGAGGGACTCCACTTTCCCTGAGGCCTGAGGTCCCGCCTCATGTCCAATTTACTCTACAGCCTCACTTTGGCTAGAGAAGGGGTTTTCTCCGAGTGCTTCGGTTTCCCCAATTTTATACAGTTGTATTAAAAAAAAAAAAAAATACCTCAGTAACTCCGCCAAATTGTCTCAATTGGGTCATTTTTGCCGGTCCCAAGCCCGGATTAAGGAGGAGGGTTGGTATTGTGACAAAAAAATAAAATACACAACTCGACAGAAGAAAGTTAATTTGTAGTTCTTAACGTATTTGGGGTGTTTGTTACTCACTTTTTGTTGTTTCTCTCACTTACAGCGTCCATTACAATTTGTCCAATTATGCAAATTAGCAGATGAAATCATTTAGCAACTTTTATGACAGCCAATAGCTACTTTCCTTACTGAGGAGTCGGCAACACTGTATAGATATGCACAGCCACATGAAATTTGGTACACAGATCAGGAGGGGCGTCCTCTTGAGGGCGCCAATGTCAAAATGGAGATCCAACTAATATTGGCTCCATAGTGGCCCCTACAAAATTTAAAAATGTAAGCCCTGCTCCTGTGTGTGACTTAAACCCAAACCCCACCTGTGGGATTTAATAAAAATCAGGTGGACAGTTAATAAGAATCTTACAGGGTCAAATAAGAGGTGTCATCACAAACTTTTGATCTTTGATTGAGTCTGATGAGAGGGTCAGAGTTTCAGTTCAGATTGTTGAAATGTTTGACTTTTTCTTTTAAAGAATACAGCTGTGAATGTTCTGAATCACTTAAAGACATTCTTATGTTAAAATGGCTTTTTATGAAACAGTTTTTTAGCAGTTATATGCAATATTAATAAAAATAATCACTGTATCAGTTGAATAGTGTATAATAGATATAAATACTCATGAATGTGAAGAAGTGACTGGGGTGGAGAGTGGGGGCATAGTAGGGATACGGCTTAACTAACCCCGCTCCTATGGTCAACTTAAGTTGACCACTTTTTTCGGCATGCGATATTATCAAGACAGTTATGTTTACACTCATTCTGTGTTTGCAGGGATGCACAACATCCTGAAATATATGCAGATACACTAGTTAGAGACAAAACTATGATTGATGTAGTGATCTGAAATTTGAAAAAATGGCTCATCTTACCCCACTCTCCCCAAATGTCTTTCTAATGGTGGAGTTATTTTTTTTTTTCCACAAAAGTAGACATAAAGTAATTACATATTAAAACAAAGAAGTTCAGCCAAACTTTGCAGGAGATGACAGAAGCCTAAAGGGCTGATAGGGAATCCTCCCCATCAATACAAGTAAATTAAAACATGCTGAATCTGAAACAAACTAACCGACAAGAATATAAAGAAACATGTTAAACAACAACAAAAATGGAAAAATGGTAAAACAAAACTGAATACCCTTTAAATGTGGGTCAAGTGCAAGCGCACTAGTAACACAGAAATCACTTTGCTAATTTACACATTTTTAATAGATTATGAGACACATACATAAACTTCTCTTAAACATCCATATGATATTAATTTTCTTTCATTTACATGTATTTTTTATGTTGATGAACATCTTATCAAGTTTACAAGATCAAATAAGTGGCTTAATAACAATTCGAAGGACTTAAATTGAAATGTTATCAAAACTAGTGTCAGTAATAATCACGGCTAGGATGAACTGTCTGAGGTTGTCTGAGGACTGTCATTCTGTTCAGTTCCTTTGTGTCAATAAAGATTATTGAATCGATCTGGCATAAAAAAAAAATCTGAAGAAATGTGATGATGTCATCAAAAATGCAATGATGTCATCGAAGAATGTGACATCATCACTTTCTTTGATGACATCATCACTCTCTTTGAAGTCATCAGATGGATTCGACTTCCGCGCCAACAGAATGTTGCAGGTGAGAGTTTCGTTGTTTGAACCGGTGTAAGAGTTGGCAGAGATAAGAGGTTTACATTTCTACAAACAAACAGAAACACAGAAGAAACAATGCAGAGCCCAAGAACTACGATGAACATGGTCAGGACCGTTCCTATTACCGAGCCCACCGTCCCTTTCCCTGAAGTGGACATAAGCGACATGATGAACATGGTCGGGAACATTCGTATGATCGAGCCCACCGTCCTTCTTCCCATTGTGAATGAATTCATTAGGAAACTGGCTAGAAATCAATGGATCACAATAGCGAATGGGTCTCTGGACCAGGGGACCAAAGACATGATCAGAGACATGTGTGTGGACATTGTTGACACAGTAGCCAAATACATCTCCATTGAAATTGAAAACAGTGATAGTGAAGAAGGTCCTCCCAAATCAACAGAGAAGAGAATCTCAAAGAAAGAGGTCCACGCAATCCTGGGAGACAGCATTAATTTCGCCATTGCAGATGCATTGGGCATCCCAGTGGACATCCATAGCAGGACCACAGAGAAGGTGAACTCTATCGTGGTCAAGGAGGTTACAGAGCGGATCAACTCCAACAAAGAGCAGCAGGCCACCAAGTCTTTCTGCTACAGACTGAAGGATATGGCAAGAAAGATCAGAAAGATCATAGTCACGAACTACAAATTTGCATGTGGTTTTGCCCTTAATGGCCTCTGCTGTCCGACTACTATTAACAGTCTGACTTCTACGAACACACAAGTAGAGGAAGAAGACGTAAAGGAAGAAGAGCCAGTTGGGGACCATTTTCAGACCCCTGTGACACCCTTTGTAGAGGACGAACCTGAAATGTTCCACACAGAAAGCCTCAAACATGAAACATTGAAGGCGGTCAAGTCCATCCTGTCAAAGCACACAGATTACCTGGATGGTACTGACATTGAAGATGACCTTTCAGAGGAGGAATTATCCAAACATCTGTCCATCTCTGACAGGGACACAGACGAAACAGCTTCTGAAATCGTAAAAATTGTCTGGGGTGACAACGTTTCACAGGAGCCAGAAGCTTCACCTGTTAAAGAGACCACACCACCCGCCAAAGCAAAGAAAGCAAGACAGAGAAATATCATGAGAAGGATCAAGATGTTTCTCACAAAAAGGTTTGCAAAAAAGTCTATCATTAAACTTTTCCGCAAACTCACTGGAAAGATCTCTGTAGAAGAAAGAGATTCTGTCATGACGCCACTCGTGACGGGGGTTTCAACTATTGTGGACGACATGATCGAGGAAACGGGGAGAGAGTGCACAAATGTGATGTGCTTCTACAGGAGGATGGCCAGAAACATCACTGAGGACCAGTTTGAAGAGAAAAAAAACAAACTGGTGGGATTCGTCTTGTTCCAGCTGATGAATCGTGAGAAGAAACAAAAGCTCTTTTCTGCAGGTGTTATCCGCACTGAGGTGGACCAGTTCATGAAGATGATGTGGAACTGGTTGGTTGAGCAGGCAGAGAAGCACAATAGAGGGAAAGATCAAGCCACCGCTGCTCTGAGGCAGATCGAGGCAGTTGTGTACGAAAATCAAGCTTTCCCAAAAATCCAGACGACCAAGATCTCCCAGTCTGCAGCTACACCAGCTCCTGTTACTGTGGAGACAAATATCAGTGAAGAAGCTGAGCTAAGCGGTGGAGCTTGGCTGGATTACTGGGATAGACTAAGATGTGAAATGCTGGTGGCTGGGCTGGTAAAAATGCTGATGGACACCTGGAGGATATATGTCGAAGAAGACCAGGCTATCTCGGTTTTGACAGAGGCTCTGTGGGCAGAAATGGAGGGCTCTGAAGTCGAGGTTAAACTGTCCTTTGCCGACATGAGGAAGATAGTAAGGAAGGTGCACAAGAAACTGTCCAAGGAGTTAGATATCGAGCTCATCAAGTTCACCGTTGTACAGGATCCTAAGGTCCTCACCCACATCATTGAGGCCTTTAAAGAAGAACTGAGCCCCAAACAAAAGAGTGGAGTCAAAGGCTTCTTCAAGTCTGTGTTCAAACCCTTCACCCGCATCTTCAAACGTGACTAAAAAGCCTGTACGTTTGAAGAGGCTGGGTGGGAGGGACTCCACTTTCCCTGAGGCCTGAGGTCCCGCCTCATGTCCAATTTACTCTACAGCCTCACTTTGGCTAGAGAAGGGGTTTTCTCCGAGTGCTTCGGTTTCCCCAATTTTATACAGTTGTATTAAAAAAAAAAAAAAAAACCTCAGTAACTCCGCCAAATTGTCTCAATTGGGTCATTTTTGCCGGTCCCAAGCCCGGATTAAGGAGGAGGGTTGGTATTGTGACAAAAAAAAATAAAATACACGACTCGACAGAAAAAAGTTAATTTGTAGTTCTAAACGTATTTGGGGTGTTTGTTACTCACTTTTTGTTGTTTATCTCACTTACAGCGTCCATTACAATTTGTCCAATTATGCAAATTAGCAGATGAAATCATTTAGCAACTTTTATGACAGCCAATAGCTACTTTCCTTACTGAGGAGTCGGCAACACTGTATAGATATGCACAGCCACATGAAATTTGGTACACAGATCAGGAGGGGCGTCCTCTTGAGGGCGCCAATGTCAAAATGGAGATCCAACTAATATTGGCTCCATAGTGGCCCCTACAAAATTTAAAAATGTAAGCCCTGCTCCTGTGTGTGACCCAAACCCAAACCCCACCTGTGGGGTTTTATAAAAATCAGGTGGACAGTTAATAAGAATCTTACAGGGTCAAATAAGAGGTGTCATAACAAACTTTTGATCTTTGAGTCTGATGAGAGGGTCAGAGTTTCAGTTCAGATTGTTGAAATGTTTGACTTTTTCTTTTAAAGAATACAGCTGTGAATGTTCTGAATCACTTAAAGACATTCTTATGTTAAAATGGCTTTTTTATGAAACAGTTTTTTAGCAGTTATATGCAATATTAATAAAAATAATCACTGTATCAGTTGAATAGTGTATAATAGATATAAATACTCATGAATGTGAAGAAGTGACTGGGGTGGAGAGTGGGGGCGTAGTAGGGATACGGCTTAACTAACCCCGCTCCTATGGTCAACTTACCCCATACATGGGTTAAGTTGACCACTTTTTTCGGCATGCGATATTATCAAGACAGTTATGTTTACACTCATTATGTGTTTGCAGGGATGCACAACATCCTGAAATATATGCAGATACACGAGTTAGAGACAAAACTATGATTGATGTAGTGATCTGAAATTTGAAAAATGGCTCATCTTACCCCACTCTAATAAGTAACTTTAACTTTCAAGTATGTCTAAACTATTAACTATCAAAGTGTTCAGGAACTCCTTACGATGACCACAGAAGTTTTGTCAGAGTAAACCCAAATGTGAGAAAACAATCAATCTTTTTTTCTGGACATTTTGGCTGCCTCAGCGTGGCAACCTGTGAGCCTCATCACTAATCAGGGACATCACTGCCTCATTGAATCACTTTCAGAGCAACTTAATAATGATAAAACATCTCTATCAGAATCCTTATTAGGGCCAAAGGGGCAAACGCACCGAGGCTCCAATACAAGAGAAATGCATTAAACTTTACAGCAGGCTAATCCTATACAATAGGGTAACACTAAAGATGGAATTTTCTTTGTGTGCATCAGATCTGTCAGGTGATCAGTGAGGTGAGCAGCACCAACCAGGAGCTCCTGAGGAAATACAAGCGAGAGATGAACCTGAGGAAGAAATGTCACAATGAGCTGGTCCGACTCAAAGGTCAGAGACAAAAAAATCCGCAGATTTACTGCGTGTCTTTTAACATCAATCAGCCATCACCTTTCCAAAGTTTGTAAAAGTTTGTTTGTGTCTCAGGTAACATCCGGGTTTTCTGCCGAGTTCGGCCGGTCAGTTTGGAGGAGCAGGACTCCACTGATGCCAAAACAATGCTGAGCTTTGACTCGGAAGACGATGCCATCCTCTACCTCTCCAACAAGGGCAAAATCATGACCTTTGAACTGGACAAAGTCTTCCCTCCTCAGGCCACGCAGGAAGAGGTGAGTCAGCCCTCACAACAAGTGACATAGGGGAGGGGGTATCACGCTCTTAAGTTAAATTTTTTCTTTATATGATGTCTGATGGCTTTCTGATACACTTAGATGAGCTCTTACAGTCTCTGATCTGGGTCTCCCTGTTTCAGCTTCTGTCACTTCACCTGTCTGCTTCTAGTTTGCTCATTGCCAGAGTTTGTGACTACATCTCTGATTGGTCCACCAGGTGTTTCAGGAGGTCCAGTCTCTGGTCACCTCTTGTATTGACGGTTTTAACGTCTGCATCTTTGCCTATGGACAGACCGGCTCTGGGAAAACTTACACCATGGAGGTAAGAAAAGAAAAAAAAAAACACAGTAGAAATGAGTTTTTACTGTGCAGCGGCATCTGGTGTGAGACTTACACATGTTTGTGTGGTTGTGTTAGGGCGTGTTGGAAAACCCCGGCATCAACCAGCGAGCGCTGCGCCTGTTGTTCTCCGAGGTGACGGAGAAAGCTCCAGATTGGGACTATAAGATCACCGTCAGCATGGTGGAGATCTACAATGAGACGCTGCGGTGAGACAGACACAGAGCCGGTCCAGAGTCAGTCAGATGGGACTGGACTCTGGGTGTACAGGTGTCGTCATTTTTGCAGGACTTTAACCCAGTGCCCTGTTACCCATGAAAGGGTCCCAGATGACTTAGTGGTGACATGAACAGCCTCACTAAAACAAAAAAAAAATACTGTAATATGTTTCGCTCAGCCTAGGGGTTACTTGGGCTAACATAAAGTGCGACCACTCCAAGATAACCAGCACAAAGAGAAGAGAAGAAACTCTGTTGAATTTACAAGAAGACAAAAATTAATTTATGATACTTCTTGTTCAAATTTACGAAAGCTCTCAGGGAAGAAATAGCAAACTAACAAAATAACTAACAAAAAAATCTTACCCGTTTTTATGAAAAGAAATCTATCTACAAACCTAAACTGTCTCGCTAAACACAAAAACAGGAGAAAACTTCACTCACTCGAGCTGTTCTCCCAAATTCTTTAGACAAAAACACGCGCCGCAGCAGCCTCTCTTTAAAACTGCCGCCATCCTCTGCCAATCGCAGCCCGCCACACAACTCCGCTCCTCCAGTCAGCCGCTGATGCGCTCGGCTGCTGTCCAAATAGATCGCACCACCCCTGCAGCGGTAGAGCACAAGGGGAGAGAAAACAGGAGCGCAGGAACACAATACATATGACCCACAGTCATAACAAATATCCCTTTAACCTTTTCCAATTTAATCTAATCTGATTGAAGTCTGACAGTAATATTGTTTGAAGTTTTAAGCTTTCAAAGTGAAGCCGGACTTCATTGGAATGGCAGGTTCCACATCAGGATTAATGCACTCGGGGTGAAGATGTAGTAAAAGTTAAGCTCTATCTGTTTTTATTAATCCTTCCTGATGTGTTGTGAACGTCACCGCCGACGTCACTGTGACACTTAAGACGGGGACAAAGCAGCGTCAGGTTTCCTGCTGTTTCTGCGAAGTTACATAAAGAGGATCATATTAAACGCCGTCTGCTGAACGCCATCTGTCCAGCTGTTGTGTAACGAAATATCTGTACGCTGGACGGACGCTTTTTGGCTGAAAGGTTCTGGGTTCTCAGAACAAACATCCGGATTAAGAGACGGCTTGGCCTTTTCCCTCTTGTTTGACAGAAACTGTATTTAAAATACCTCCTGAAAACATTCAAGTGATTCTTTCACCGAAATACCCAAAGTTTTTATGATCTAGTTTTTTTTTTTGTGCCTATTTTTATTTTCTTCTTCCAAGCAAAAACATCCAATATGTGAAGTTGTAAGACCTCTCTTTACTGAGTAGATAAAATGACATTAACACACATTTTTTACAACAAATTAATTGAAGAAAACATTAAAGGGGACCTGCCACCAAAATTTCATACCCATTTTTATCAATTTTTCATAATCCTTGATGTCCTCTGATCATGTTTGCAACATAATTTTAGCTGAAAAGTTATTTGATGGTTTGTTTTAGTATGCCCAAAAAACCTTACAGGAAAACCAACTGATTTTGGCTCATTAACATTTATGGTAATGCGGTTTGCTCTGATTGGATCGCTGCTGTGAAGCCTGCTGTGCTCTGGTTGGCTCAGCAGTGGAGGTTCGGATTTCGGTTTATCCATCGTCATTATGCTAATGCTAATAGCATATGCTAATGTGTGCTAAAGTAAGGTGCCCAGATGTCTGTAATGATATCCGGGGATATTTGATGCGGCGGCGGCGGCGGTGCAGGGCTGCAGGGGCTGTGTGATCACAGACAAAGTCTCGGTACTATTTAGTAGCAGCACATGCCCCTTGTAATACCCCCGTAAGAACTGTTGTTCAGGACTGCTAACTTGTGCGTCCTACCTAATCGGCTACTGTAATAACCGTTGTTCGAGCCCACACGCAACATCTTTGCTCTCATTCATGAAACGCTTAAATCGGGGACATTTTCGGGGACAGGTCATCCAATACGGGGACTGTCCCCGGAAATCGGGGACGTCTGGTCACCTTATGCTAAAAGCTAAAAACGGCAGGTATTAAACCATATGTTTTAGACCCCGAGTCCGAAGAGGAGGTGGAAGTTGAGGAAGAAGCCGGAGATCTCAAGCGGTGTTTTCTCATTCATTCTGCCCGGCTTTAAGTTCATTTTCCCGGCAGTCAACCGAAGGAAACACCGGTCGTTTGGCAGAGACCCATAGCGGATACAGTGGTAGCTGGGTCTCACTCTGGCTGTGACTGAGTACGAGAACGAGAGAGTGGGCGCGGCTCACCGAGGACGCGCTCGTGAATAATAATGAGCAAGGTCGGCGCAACGTAACACCGACCTGCTTTTTCTATTGGCTTTACTCCTGGTTTACCCGTTCCTTTATTTTAAACCTTTACAGAATGCAAACGACGTAACGGTTTGTTTTCACATTTACAACATAAGACGAACATAATATGGACCTTATCTAACACAAAAAAAACCCAAAAATTACATTTTTATGGCAGGTCCCCTTTAAAACTGCTCTAAGACATCACAAAGCTATGAACAACTGGCACCAATTTTGCACCTTTTTTCCATCATGATGTTCAACAGTCTAATCTGCTATAATCGTTCACATTGTGTTTATTTTTTTAGGAATTATGCTTAAGGTCCCTTTTGCCATGTCAGCTCTGCAGAAATTTCCATTACACTTGCAGATAGTACAGTTACCATGGCAACATAGCTAGTTTAGAGACATTGATTGAAACGGAGCAGAGAGGAGGGTTCCCTTACATGAATAAAACCCTGTTAAATCTTTATATCATCCATTCAATGCAAGTTAATGTTACGCTGACACACCTGCTGTCTTGAGCTCTTGTGCCCCGAATTTAAAGCTCCAGTGAGGAGTTTGTTTGTGTTTTTTTACACGAATGATACAGACTGAAATCCATATTAATGATTCTGTATGATGATATAAAAGACCAGCAGCAACAAGATACATGACTTGGACACCTGAAACCATTGTGAGAGTGTAGGTGTCAGTGGAGTGGAGCTCACATTTTTAACATTACTTACAGTAATAATAATAATATGACTGTTAAAAATCAGCAGGATGAGGACTTTTGAGAAGAAAAGCAGAGACTGCGCTGTCCACACAGAGCTTGTATCGGTTCTGCTTGTGGACGACAGTGTGGACTCTGAGTTTTGGTCTGAAGGTTTTAAAGGTCTCTGTTGTTCATCAGGAACCTGCTCGGGGAGAATCCCACCGACAAGCTGGACATTAAGATGAACCCAGACGGCAGTGGACAACTTTACGTCCCTGGACTGACAGAGTTCATGGTTCAGAGCCCCGAGGACATCAACAAGGTGAGAGCTTCTTCTTCCAGTCGTTCCTTTTGAGATTGAGACGAGTGAAGGGGACAGGGGAAACAATGACAGCATGTAGGTGTATGAGTGATTACAGACGTGTTTCTTACCTGTCTTCAGGTGTTAGAGCTGGGTCACATGAACAGAGCGACAGCCTGCACCAACCTGAATGAGCACAGCTCTCGCTCACACGCTCTGCTCATCATCACTGTGTCTGGATTCAACTCCACCACTGGAAACCGCACCCAAGGTACCAACCACCCTTTCCTCTTCAGGTGTTGGTGGTTGAGGTTTTCCCGTGTCGGATAGTTTGTCTTCTTTTTTTACCGACATGTTCTGGTTGCAGGTAAGTTGAACCTGGTGGACCTGGCGGGCTCGGAGAGGATCGCTAAATCCGGGGCGGAAGGCAGTCGCCTCAGAGAAGCTCAGTGCATCAACAAATCTCTGTCTGCCCTCGGCGACGTCATTAGCGCACTACGGAGCAAACACTCACATGTCCCGTTCAGAAACTCCCGCCTCACCTACCTGCTTCAGGACTCTCTGAGCGGGGACAGCAAGACCCTCATGATGGTGCAGGTGAGACGGGGAGGAGATTAAGAGTTGATCTGAAAGCATCAGCTAATGAACGCCGTCTCTGATATTTGAAGGTCGATTTTAACTTTTTTATATCGTGTTAAATCATGCTTTTCTAACGGACTGCTCGTGATGCCTTCAGGTGTCCCCCTTGCCCAGTAACTTGAGCGAATCGGTCTGCTCGCTCAAGTTTGCTCAGCGTGTTCGCAGTGTGGAGCTGAGCCTCTCCTCCTCCAGGAGACACGAGAACTCGTCCACCTCGTCCTCGCCGACGCACGACAGCGTGGAGGTAACACACGCACACACACAGAGCCGAAGTCAGAGATGTGAATATGTAGCATCATCAGTCTGACATTAACCGGTTTGTTTGGGGTATGAAGTCTTTTTTTTGTTTTGTTTTTTGATTATACACCCTGTTTCTGGTAAAAGTTTTTTTGTAACATTAAATACCGTTCAATAGTTGCTCTAACTTCTCCAGATGTTGCAGAATTTTTTACATTTTCATATATAAACATCTTTACTTGGAGAAAAAAAACTTTCTAAAACTATGTCAGGAAAACTGAAATTTTAATTTACATTAATCAGACATGCAAATGTTTGAATATTTGATTTATAATCATTTAAACACATGTTGAACTTTGACCTCTGCGCAGCTGGACTCTCCTCCGGTGACCCCCGTCCCTCTCCCCATCTCCCGGGCCAGCAGCGCTGGCTCCACCCTCTCCTCAGCCTCCAGAACTCCCAGTATCTCCCGCAGGAGATCCCAGTCTCAGCTCTCCACAGGTATGCGCTTTATTATTAATCATATGACATGTACTGGCTGTGTGACCCCCCCCCCATAGACCCATGTATATCTCCTCATAGTATCTCCTCGTTAGTATAGTGGTGAGTATCCCCGCCTGTCACGCAGGAGACCGGGGTTCAATTCCCCGACGGGGAGTGGAAATCCTTTAGGGAATTTCCCAGTTTGAGATCAATAGAGTATATCTATCTATTTATCTATGTATAGCATTCAGAAATGATGCTTTCACTGACCTCCCGTAAACTGCAGAGAGAAGCAGCCCTTTGTGGTTTTTGAACACGTTTGATGATGTTTAAAGCAGAGCTCCAGTCTCTGCTCTGATCTGTGTTTAATTAGCTGAACTGGAACCTTCCTCTGTGTTTTTGTCTCTGTGATAAAGTTCACCTCTGCAGTTTGAACTCCATCGCCGCAGCAGCAGAGTCATGTCATCGCTCTAAACACTTTCTCTAATCGTACTGTTTCAGTGTTTCCTCTCATTTGGATTATAATCTTATTTAATCCGAACTTTCCTACACATGTGAAGAGCGGTCAGAGTGAGCTCAGGAGCTTTTCCTCACGTTAGAGTTGCAGAAGTGACACCATGTAAACGTATGGGAAAGATCATGTTGCCACGGCGACCATACTCTTGTGACCATAGACTGTATATAGGATGGACAGCGTCTGCCTCCTCGCTCCTCCTGCAGTATAGGTCTTAAATCCCGCCTCCTCCAGCTATCCCAATGGAGCTGTGGACAAACTTTATAAATTAATTACACAGAATATAAATGTTTCTCCCCCCTGGTTGTGATGTTGACATGTAGTTACTGTCAGACTGGTTTGTGCTCAAGTCCTCTTTTTTCTGTACAGCTCCGTTTTTAAAAGTTATTAGGGGGTTCATGTTCTCTATGATTGACACTTGATACAGCCTATGGGCGTACGAAGATAGCGTAGCTCACCTGGGGGGGATACGCTGTTTCAGCGACTCTCCTGAATGCGTACAATTCTACTGCCCAAGTGGTGGAGTGAGAACAACGTTACTGCGCAATGTTGGTTTCAGGAAGTGGAGAGAAAACGTGGAATTACCGAGAGCTTTTCAGCCTCAAATCCGTTTACTGGCAGAAGGAACCAAGTTGTCCATAGTATATACAGTCTATGCTTGTGACATGGGACAGTCAGATTTAGAGTTCACCCCAGGGCATTCTGGGAAAAATAGGGAACTGAAACTAAGTTTGAGGTGAACTTCGATTTAAGAAGCAGCATAGAGAAGCTCCTGAACATCACAGGTCTGACCTGTGAGAGTAAGCGAGGGAGGGAGGCAGGACTTGTCACCTTCTTCTTCTTCCTCTTCTGTTTCCTCATTCTGTGATCTGATTGGTTGGTTTCACAGACAGACAGGTAGACAGAGCCAGCCCATTGGTTGGGGACGGTGGGCAGGTAGGTTGGGGGTGTATGCTGATTGGTGGATAGCTTGGCATGGAAGCGCTCAGCATGGCATGGTGCCCCTTCTCCCTACATCCATCTAACACACACCCCCACCTCTAACCACAGAGCTCCACCAGCTTCCTGTCTGTGCGCCCGCTGGGCCGTGAGCAGCGCCCACACCGCCCTTAGGCCTCCTGTGTGCAGCCGGTTGTGTTTGTTTGTGTCGCCTGTTTGGATGCTGGAGTCTTAATCCTGTCTAATCTAATCTCTCTGTGCAGAATTTGGTTCATGTCACAAGGAAACCTGGTTATTATCACAGCCTTTAAAGGAACAGTCCGTCATTTTAAAAGTCAGGAGATTTCTCTTGATATGGGTTTTTAGCGTTTTTTCTGTGTGTTTGATTCAGAGAGAGAGGGACTATGATCACTGTTAGAAAGCACTCAGACTGGAAAGAAGGAGAAACTGCTCGCCTGCTCGGCTCAAGTCTTTCTTAACGTCAGATGTTGACTTCTGCTGGTTCACTAGAACTCCTGGAGGGTATTCTACGACGCTGGCTTAGCGATCCTATGAGCGGTTACTATTTAGAAATATCTGATTTTCTTTCTTTTATTCTGTCAGTCAACACATAACAGAATAACGCCGTTAATTCTGCAGTTGACTCTGCAAAGTCGGCAGAAATCGTTTATATCCGCAGAAGACGTCGGATCTAAACGATTTCTGCCGACTTTGCAAATTCAACTGCAGAATTAACGGCGTTCTGAATGAACAGGGCTTTGAAAATTCCCGCAGCATGTGTTAGACGTCACCATCTACACATGGACCAATCAGGGGCTGCCTTTCCCTGTTGTCCGGGTAACAGTGGAAACATGGTCTCTGATTGGCCCGGTTATTTTCTGATCGGGAATACACGCCCCCAATGGGCCGAAGTCCAGACTGTTGTGGGAAGGAACGGCAAATGATTCGCGCAACAGGATGGCCCAGCCAGGCTAAGAATGATCGTCTGTGAAGAAAAGCTGAACCTCGTTAGTGGAACGAGTTGCGGCTCATCTTAAAGGTCCTTTCACACGGGACTGTTTTTTTTTTTTTGTGCGATTTTTTCGAACGTCAATATGTTTTTTTCGAACCCGTATCCTGTCAATACAAGCGTTGACATCAGCGGCCGAATTTTCTAAAGTTTCGCATACTGTGTGTCCACTTCTGACCAATCAGATTGCGTGTTGTTGCGACATACCATTTGTATTTTCACGGTCTCAAACTCAATCACAGCGTTGCTGTCACAGCACCATTAGGTCTCGGTTGTTACCTTACGTTTATGGATTATAGTTTAATGTTCTTATCTGGTACTGACCCCTACTCAGTACATGCTATCATGACAGACAGATATCTCAACACTAGAGTCTAATCAGAACTGAAAAACACTCAGGCCCGAACTACACGAAGGCGGATATATTTCAAACCGCACATATTTGTGTCCGATTAGGCCTCCCTACCACACCAAACCGGGAGTTTGGAGCACTCAAACCGGATAAATCTGAATCCGGAAAAACAAGCGGAGAAATAAAAAAATTTCCGTATCCCGTATCCGCAGTGGATTCGTGTGGTCGGACTTTTACGGATCGATGACGTCAAAACGCAGCTCGCACATGCGCATTAAAAACAATAACAACAACGATGGCGGACATACAGGGTATTCTTTACGTTTGTTTTGCCCTTTTCGGGCTAATTTCAGCCTTGCAAGTGAACCTTATTTTATACAATTACATCCACCAGTCAGTTTTTTTTAAGCGGCACCAGATAGGATTGAGTTTTAAGCCTGCGTGTGGACGCAGATATTTTTTTGAACTAACACGTGTGGACAGGTACATTTATTTAGACGGGAGTACAAAAATATCCAGATAAATAAATATCCGCCTTCGTGTAGTTCGGGCCTCAGTCTGCTGTTGGGTCAGTCTTCTCGCTTCCACCCGGGACGCGTCTTTTTTCCCCCGGAAAGTTGCTAAATCGCATCGCGCTTGATGTGTATGGTCAGGCACGTCAAAATTCGCCTCCAAATGTATATATGCGTCGGTCCAGTGGCCACTTATTCAAGCCAGCTTCAGCTTTGTGTAATAACCCCCAGGACTTCACGTTAGTTTACAGTAGTAGTTTGTTAACATTTAGCTCCAAAACAGACTCCGGTTCGATTAGAAACACAAAATATCATCCTTTTTTCCAGTAAATTTAACGAAAAATCATCAAAAATCTGTAAATTAGCTTCTCAGCCAGCCGTGGTTTAGCATCAGATGTGTTGTGATTGTAGTTCTCTGAGCTTATTGAGTAATAAGCAGAGGTTACTGATAATATGACCATTGTAGTTTATTGTCTTCAGGTTTCGGGGCTAAAAATTGAGTTGTTGGAGGATTGTGGACCATTTCGGTTTGGATAATTACACTACATATTGTGGCTTTACGTCACTTATAAATCTCTATGTAAGACCACTACAGCTGCTGACACATCCGGCTGAAAGGCATCAGATTACATGGTCACTGTTTATACCAGAACACTGGCAGAGGCCCTGAGGTACTGAGGTCTGCGCCTCGGCCTCCAGAGTAACACTGTGGGCGAGTCGCAGTTTCCGCCTTCTTCCAGTCTCTGTGCTAATCTGGGCTAAAAAGTCCCGTACCTGTCTCTGTATCTGACACTCAGAAATACCTGAACCTAGAAACAGCTGATCGGGCCCCCCCCTCTTTCTTGTGACTTCAGCGTGTGTGAGTGATTTGGTGTCTTTGGTGTCCCCCTCCCCCTCTTCCTTTTTGTTTCTGCTGCTCTGTGGCCTGGGCGCTCTCCTGACGAGCTGAGGATTGTGGGATTATGTGTTCTTATTATATTGTATTATTGTATAGCTCCATGTCCACACTGATAAATCTGAAAACGTCTGAATAAAAAAGTGTCATCAATCATTTTTAAACTCAGGATAGGGAGGGTAAAGTTGGCCAGAGGGGGGCGCTACAATCCTACTTCTAATAGATGTTATTTAGGCGCAGTCTTCAACAAAAACAAAATAATTATGTACATTTGATAAAGATCATGAGAGGCTAACTAAGACATGTCAGTGATCAAAATGTCAAAAAGCTGTTAATAAGATCCTGTATATTCAGATTATTCAGATTTGTTGAATAAAATAAAAACAAGTCAGAGGATCACCAAAGTTTGTTGGGTTAACCCTTTAAGGAGCAGGACTGTCTGCTCAAACTTTGGTTCTGGTCTGTCTGATTGTTGATGAGACGGTTTTCACATTTATGGACGGCAGTGTGGACATGGTTGAACTGCAGAAGAGCTCACATAGACGCTGACTTTATGGCCTTTTTTCCTCTCCGCAGGACGACTGAAGCTGACAGCGTGAGACCAGAGGACGCTTGTGGGGTGTCAGCCAACACCCCGGGGTTTTCTCTCTGAGGGGACGTTGATCCTGGATTTGTTAACCTCTACAAACTCTTAAGCAGGGAGCAAAGACTCAAGAGGACTTTAAATTAACCGGACTCTTTCTCGTCGAACCTTCTCTCTGCGATGACGGACATTTACAGACTCAGAAGTGAAGCCTGGAACTTTCTGGAGCTCCTCAGTCTGGACTGAAATCTTCAAAATAATGTCTAACCTCCTCCTCCTCCTCTAACAGTATATGCTTTCCAATCACAGTATTTCTTTGTATTGTTTCTATTTAAAGTTGCACTTTAAACTTGTAGATTATTTTCTAGCCCACAGACGTGGTTGATTCTAATATATGCATAATATGGTTCTATATTTATGTTGACATGCTTTAATCTTGTTGTTGCTTTCATTCGGAGATTATTTTTCTTTTTTGGTAAGGATGTGCATCATGAGAGGATTTCTCCCGTCGGGTCAATCTCTCGTCTTGGATCCTATTGTGCTTTTTCTGTGGCTGTCCTCGCTGTCCTTTAACCAATCACGGTACGCCGCCGATACAGAGCAGAGGACGCGACGAGCAATACGAGAAACCCTCCTGTGGACATGATTGTTGTTTCCCTCTGGATGTTTTTTCATTTTCTCTCCAAGCTGAGAAAAACTTTGCCTTCCTTCAGCTCCTCCATTTATGCTCATATCTCCTCCTGAGCTCCTGCTGTCGTTCGATCACCTCTGGAAGGAGAAGAAAAACGGATCAGGTGATCTCTGACAAAGCGGACATGTAGCTTTTGACCTGGTGCTGAGCGTGACACGAAGTAGGCGGAGCTGGTAGTTAGCTGTAGTTTTAGTAACAGGAATGCTTAGAAACGCGATGAGCTGCTGTGCGTTGTTGAACTGATGATTAAACCGTCTGCTTGCTTTGTGTGCGCTGTAGATTTCTACAGTTTGTTTTTTTTGTATTCCCTTTTTAATAAACACTAAAAAACAAACGTGTTACTGGTTGCCTTGGTTACAAATGGAGAAAATAGATCAACATATCGGTTGATTTGTAAAAACGTGATTAAATTGAGAAACAGTGTTCACAAAAGAAGATTTTTAGGAGCGATTCAGAGCCAGTGTAGTCATGACTGTTTTAATGCAGCGCTGACTCCGGACCTGAAAATAAGACCATCCAGTACTGGTTCCCCTAACATATACAGGAGCACTAGTCCAAAACTGTGGAGCTGTGAACCTTCTCCTCTCTTTATTCTGAGACTCAACATGTTCACAGCGTCCCAACTCTTTGAATTCAGGTGGATGTACATACAGGTGTTTGAATTGAATTGAATTTCCCTTTTGGGCTCAATAAAGTTCTTCTTTTTTGGACCTGAGCAGCAGACAAGATTATTATTAATGGTATAAGTTTTTCAACTTAACAACACCTAGACGGGCTTAAAACCTCATGAAATTTGGGAGGCGGGTCAGGCCTGACTTAAATTAGTGCCACTTTGATGCTTGGGGAGTTTCCTGTATAAGTTCCCGTACACTGGTTCCACCTCCACCAGATTTTAGTCATTTGATAAAGGTCCAACCACTCTGGTAACAGAGTGGCAAAAAAATCAGCACCATGTTTTGTTTAACTGCACCTAGGTGGCACTATATTAAAAAAACAATCTGTAATATTGCTATAATTTTGCATTTTGAAATTTTTGCCCATTTTTAAAGCTTCCTTCAAAAGGTAAGTCCTCCGAGGGATTTATGAATAGAAAACTGAAACTGCAGCTATGGGATTTTAATGACACTATACCATGATGTTTTTTTCATACTTATCTATGATTTTTTTAACATACTTTGACTTTTTTTTTATCATACTATACTACATTTATTTAACATACTATACTATGACATTTTTATGTTAATACACTAAGACATTTTTAACAAACTGTACCTTTTTTTTCATTTTTATAATACTATACAATTACATCTTAAAATAATTTACTGTATCATTATACTAATCTATGAAATTTTTATCTTCTTGTACTATCATATTTTTATCAGACTTAACTATGTTTTTTTAACATACTATGACATTTTTATAAAACTATACTATGATTATTTTATTATACTTTTATCAAACTCATTCTTATCATACTATACCATGACATTTTATTGTACTATACGATATTTTTATCATACATAACTATGAATTTTTTTTAAACATACTATACAATGCCTGTTTTATACTATAATATGTTTTTATCACACTATAATAAATATTTTTTTCATAATTTTTATGACATTATCATACAATACTCTGACATTTGCTGTCATTTTTATTGCACTTTACTATGATTTTTATTTATTTTTTAACATATTATACTATGCCATCGCTTTCCTTAATGCCGTACAATATTTTATATTATACGTCGATATTATTAACTTACTTAACTATTATATTTTGTAATACTTAACTATATTTTATCATACTATACTGACATTTTTACATCCTATACTATATATTTTAAGATACTTAACCATGATTTTATATCATACCCTACTTTTTTTTTATCACACTATAGTATGACTTTTTTAATATACTTAAATGTGATGTTTTTTCATACTATACTGACATTTTAAACATACTATAACTATGATATTTTTATCTAAATATACTGAGACATTTGTATCATACTATACTAAATTTTTGTGACAGGCCTAAGGTTGAAGGGTTGCATCAATAACTTAATTGTATTTTTTTGGATGAACAGAAACACTGAACAGTTTGTTTTTCAATCCCATTGAGACCCATAACCCCTTTAACTCTTCGCAGCAGGTTTGATCATTTTTGAAAACTTTATTAGTACTTCATGAAAGGGCAGACAAGTTACACCAATCTGTCCGTGTAGGTCTTTCATTTTCTTCTTCAATCCCGTGTCCCGACATAAACAACTTTATTTCTTAAATAAACAGTAGAACTGTACATTTACAATAATGTCTGAAAAGTGTGAAAAGTTGAGAGAGTAGAAAAAGACTTTGAAAATGTTGAAATCAGTGTGTAGGAATGTGGTTCTGCTTTTCCTCCTCAGGTTTTTTTAGTGTTAGACGTCCGAAAACAAAGTTAGTCTTCGCCTCAGTCGGTCTGTGTAAAAAAAACAACAAATCTACAGAGTGAGACAAAGTGATCGAGTGTTCAAGTGTGACAAGAAATGTGACAGACTCTCTGTCGTCTGAGCAACGAGTGTCCGAGTGTTCATTAGTGAGCGTTAGGGGTGCACAGGTTTTGGTCGACCAGCTTCTTCGGAGAGTTTTTGTTCAGAGTCAGACTTCTCAGATTGTCGTTTTATTCTCAGGCAGGAGGCCTGACTCTGTTTGAAGAGCCGAGCCTGCAGGAGGTGTCCAGTCTGGATGCTCAAAGCTGCGTCCGTCTCGGTCAGGACGCTCTCCAAACAGCCGTTAATCTCAGTCTCTGGATATGTTTTTTTTTTAAGTAACACTTTTGTTCACACAGTTCCTCTCCCCACGTCCAGTGTGTGACCGAGGCCTCCGGAGCGTTTCAAATTCAACTTTATCTTTTTCTTCATTTGTCTCACGTGACCATATCGAGACACAAAGTGCAGAAATGTCTGAACCTCAGGTGAATGAGCTCCTGTTTGTGGTCAGCTGACACCTGATGGTCCCCCGTCAGATAGGTGGGTTAGAAGCAGTCCAGTGGTCGAGTCCAGGCGCTCTCAGAGGGCGTCATCAAGCGGCGCCATCAGTAGCTGCAGTTCTTTGAAGGCGCTGCCATGACGACCGACCTGCGCCGCTCTGTTCTTCACCAGGTTGCTCAGGTTCTTCAGCTGCTTGCAGCACGCTCTGCACTTGTGGTGTCTGCAGAAACAACATCATCATGAAGAGAGTGAGCTGCGCAGGACAAACGCTTGCTCTGCTGTCTCTTAGATCGCCGTTTTTTATCCGGCTCCAAACCACAAACAATGACAGATCTGACTCCACGCTTTCATTCAGACGGCTGTGACTCACCGCTCCTCCCGTGTGATGTCCACTCCTACAGAGGGCGTGGCCTTAAGCGTGTCTGAGATCAGCGTCCAGAAGTGTTTCATGATCAGCTTTAGAGACGTGCAGCCGGTCTGCATGTAACTGATAACACACAAAGACAGACAGACAGTCACAAACACACAGTCGCACATCTTCATCTGATCTTGTGACAGGGAGTGTAAAGCTCTCCTTCTGTCTCCGAAAAATATTTTTTAATCTTTATCGTTCCACATAATCCAGAATCAGGTCTAGAGGAACACTGGAGGTTCACTCAGAGCCGCTCACCTCTCATATTTACTCTGCAGGAGTTTGTCGATCTGAGGGAGGACTGTTGTGCAGAGGTCCAGCTTCCACAGAGACCTGAAAGAGATCAGAGTCAGAATAAAACACGAGCTCTAAGTGCTCCTCCTTCATATTTATTCACATCTGACTTTATGAATCCATGTGTGTTTCATTCCAGTCCAAAAACGATCAGATTTAGTTTATATCTTACCAATAAAACTCAAATCACAACCATGTTATCCAACATATTATGAACAAAAGTTTGACAAATTCAAAAACATAAAGGTGTGAAGGATGAGTTTGTCGTGTCTTACGGTTGTAGGTTGATAATGTTGAGGATGTCCACGACGATCGACAGGTCGTTCATGGCGACAGCAGCATCCAGAGCGCTCTGCAGAGAGAGAAGACACAAACACGAGAGCAAGTTTGACTCAGAGCTGCGTCTAAAAAATAACAACGAGGACAAAGTGGCCGAGCCCAAATCGAAAACAACAATCCAGCCGAGCCATTAGTTCATTTGAAACCCAGCAACAGAGAGCGAGAAGATGTGTGTGACGACTCAAATGCATGACAACTCAAATCTGCTCCTAACTGGGATTTTGTGATTCGTTTACTAGGAGTGAGTGAAGCATGACTGTGAGGATGTGAAATCTGGGGGGAGTTTGGCGCCGGCCACTACCAAGTCCTGGGTGCTCATCCAGCAGCTTTCTTTTCATTGGCTGTCAGAAACACAGGAGAGTCTCACCTTGACGTCCTCCCGGGCCCACACGGCTCGGACAGTCTGCAGGTTTTTGTGTCGGCTGCTCAGCATCACACACATGGTGTCGTGACCTTTCTTGATCTGGGACAGAGCCTCCTCGTCGCTCAGAGCGCCGGCTCGGTTGTTGGGAGGAGACTGAGGAGAGACACAGTAGACAAATATGGCCTCCTCTCTCAAACCCAGACTGAATGATCACAAACGTTATCAATCTAACAAATTCAGGTTCTGATCCAAAGTCTACAGAGCTGCAGGACTCTGAATAAAAACTGAGGAGCTCACTGGCAGGAAGTCGGCCACGTTCAATCCGATGGGCTCGTTCCTGGTGCTCGGGATGATCTTGGGTTGTGGTTTGGACTTTGAAGTGATGACCGGAGGCTGCGAAGGAGGAGGCGGGCCTGAGGAGGGAGGGGGGTTTGAGGGAGGTGGGACTGCAACTGAGGGGACGGGCCGCGTGGCAGAAGACACCACTGTGGGCTCCACCCTCTGGACTGGCGTGGAAGACGCCTGTGGAGCAGCCTGGGACATAAAAAACATGGCTTTATGTGAAAAAGCAGAAACACTCACTCATTAAAAAAACACTGGAGACGCTGCGTTCACTGACCTGCATCTTGTCAGGAAATGGAGAGACCATGTCCTTCAGCTGACGACTGATCGCTAAAATTGTCTCTGAAGAAGAAGAAGATGAAGAGGTGAAGTCAATCTTTGTTTTTAAAATCAGGTGAGTGCTGAATGTGAACACACTGTTAACTCGTGTCTCACCGTCCTCTGGAGGAGCGGGAAAAGGCTCGGACATCTTGGGAGGAGTGCGAGCTAAAAGACAGAAGAGCTGAGTCAGCATATCGATCATAAATACGGAGGAAACGAGAGCGTGGATCAGCTGATCGTGAACTTACAGATGGCGTTCTTCGGCTGGAAGATTTCTTTGTAATCTTCGGCGTTGTGGATTTCAGCGGACGACAGTTTCTCCTCCGCCTCGTCCTCACTGGGGCTCCGCCTCTCACCCTCGGGACTCCGCCTATCAGCTTCTGAGCTCTGCCTCAACCTGACGACACCACAACGTTTGACTGAGTGACGCACAACTCAAATAAGAACAAGTTCATGTTGTAAAATAATCTGGCTTTTAATTTTAAAACGTTATGATCATAAATGTTCTTCCTTGAGCTGCGTCACCCCGCTGTAGTCTGTAATAGACTGGCCTGAGGTCTCTAGAAACAAGCGGCTGCTGGAAGAGAGTAGGTGAGTTGTGTTTAGTCTCTTTGCTAAAGAAATGAGTCAAAGTTAAAAAGATGTTTGGTGTCTAGTACTATGTCTGTGACCCTATATGTCCTGTTGATGAAGTTAGGTGCTGTTCTGAGCATTATTTGTGGCTATAGAGTGGCGTTTTGGTTGAGGGCGTGGCTCTCTGTATTACTATCCTGCAGTCGTTACTAAAGTTGGTATAACTAGAGAAGCAAGCGGTCGACAACATTCATCTCTGGAGGGGGGGTCTAACTCGGTGTTACGGTTTGACCCTAAATTAATTTTACACGGGAATGTCCCTTTAACTCTTTTTTGGTGAACTTTGAAGCTTCACAAAGGCGTCAAAAGAAAGAACAGAGTTTCAGTTTCTTCTACTTCATGTGAAATCACTGACGACATGATTTAAAACCTGCTCCTGTGGACTGATTGTCTGTGTGCATCAGATGAACCTGCAGCTCTGACCATAAACATGCCATAGACCTTATGTTCTTACAGTGACCTTAATGACCTTAGTAAGCCCCTCCTCTCCGTCTGTTGACAGGTGTTTGTTTTGATCTAAAGAAGCGTGTTATACCTGTGCTTCACCCTCAGATCCAAGCAGAAACTCAAACTCTTCCTTTCATGGCAGAGTAGTAAAGATCGCTCTGATCTGTGGCGTGTGAGCTCTAAGATCGGTGTAACTGTGAGTCGAACCTCTGTGAGCTGCAGGTGGTCGTGGGTCTGTCGTAGTTTCTGCGCAGGGCTGCTCCTTTGGCATCCTTCGGCTCTGAGAGCGGCTGGCTGTCCTTGATGATTCCCTGGATCACGGAGCCGCCGCTCTTCTTCACCCGCTTCAGATCCACCACGTATGAAGACACACTGGAGAGCTCGTGAGACACGCCGATCTGACGAAAACAGGGGAGAGATGAGTTTTCAGGATGTGTTCATGATCAGCAGTGATGTTTCTCTCCCGCGGGTAAAGCTACGCACCAGCTGTTGGTTGCACACGGCGAGATCAGCGACTTTTCCCCAGCCCACGGGAACGACATCGAAACAGCGGTCCGGCTCCCAGCCAAAGACCCGCAGAGAATCTGTGGCCCCGCTGTACAGACAGCTGCCGTCTGGGCTGAAGAATATACACCTAATATACAACACAGAGACAGAGGTCAGAGGTCACAGTCTGCCGACATGTTGCTCTACTCTGACGGTGATAAAAACTCACCTGACAGGAGTGGTGTCTCCCTCTAATGAGCCGATCATCCGGAACTTCTCCAGATCCCACAGCTTGATGGTCCTGAGGAGGTCAATGTAAACAAAAACTCTGTGAGCGTCCAGGAGCAGGTTCACAGTAACGCAGAGCTGCTGCGATCACATCATGGTTCATCTGAAAGCAGAACGAAACCATGTCCCCGAGGACTGACTCACGTCCTCAGGTTGTTGTCGTACCTGTCAGAGCTTCCCGATGCCAGCAGATACTCGTTGGGGTGAAACTGAACGATGTTGACGGCTGCGGTGTGAGATTTGAACTCTGTGATTGTCTTTCCCTGAGTGAGATCCCAAAGCTGACAGAGGCGAGAGAGACGCGATCAAAAAGAGAGAAAAGACACTTCACAAACTAAACCAAACCAAACCATGAATACTCATCAGATTCATTATTTATAGACAGATTCACTGCTGGTTTGAGTCTGAATATGAAAAAGTATGTTTAAAGTCATCGTAGCCATCCTTAAAGCTCCTGTGAGGGGCTTTTGGTTTGTGTCAATTTTGGCGCCCCCTGTGGACAAAGTAGCCTTTGCTTATTTTTCCCAGGAAAAGTCCTCTGGCTGATTCTCTGAATGCCCCTGGCCTCTGTCTTATTGACAATAAATGAACACAGCACTACAGTCACCACTGTATTTCCTGTATATTTAAAGATGAAACGCCTCTTGTTACTGAGAGAAAATAACATTTCAATACTGTGGGAGTGGCCAAGAGCTGCTGTTAAGCCTGAAGTAGATAAAATACAGGTATAAATAAGTGCGCCCCCCTCTCATTTGTTTCTGCAGCCAGGTCTAAAAGGCACCAACGTAAATCTGTCAAAAAAAACTCCCTCATAGCAGCTTTAAGGATAAATTAATTGATCTTATATTTCTTTTTGAACGCTGTACAAATAAATGCGGCCACACCAAACTTGTGTCTTTTAAATCAACCTTCCTTCTTCTCCAAACTTTGTGATTTTCGTCTCTCTGTTCTGTCAGGTCAGTTCGTACCTTCACGGTGCAGTCATCGCTGGCTGAGGCCAACCACTTCCCGTCTGGACTGAAGGCCAGACTCCTCACCGCCTGCGTGTGACCCTGCGACGCAAATACAAGCAAGACTTGACTGACCACATATGTAAGAGAGGCTCTGTCCTTCAAAATAAAACCTCTGACGCTCAGAAAGTTAGCGCTAAACAACAAAAATACAGTGAAAACATAAATAACTGAAACACAAAAATTTATTTCAAAATAAAATAGATTTAAGTAAAAAAAAAATTGCAGCAAAATATTTTTACTTAGAAACATATTTTTCCATTTTCTTGAATATTTTTGTGTTCGTGTCATTTGTTGTTTTCCGTTGACCTTCAGCGCTGTTTTTCACACTAAAAGCTGTAACGTTTTTTTTACATTACAGAGAATTTAAAAACGACCTAAACCTTAAAGTTTTAAAATGATTACAAAAAAACACAACCCGCTCAGCACGCCGCGGCTCTTACCTTGTATCTGAACACGTATCCTTTCCTTCGCACGTCCCACAGCTGTCAGAGACGCCACGTTCACGTTCAGGGAGAGAGAGGAAAACCATGAATGCAGATTATGAATAAAGATGTTCTCGCCCACAGGTTCATGTTCATTTGATAATAATAATAATCCTAAAAACTGGCACTTCCTCAGATCCTGACTACCCCACCTTTAAAGTTCTAACAATGTAACGAATGAAACTCAAAAACTGGACCCTGAAGTGCACATCGACTTCTCTACCTTGATGTTTGTGTCCATGGAGCTGGATGCGAGGAAATCCCCAAAAGGATGGAAGCCTAAACTGGTGATGTTGGCTTTGTGTCCCATCAGAGTCCTTAAACCTGAAGACAACAAGAACACATGAGACGTTACTGAGAAACTGAAGTACTGAAGGTACTGAGAAATCATTGAATCTGTTCACGATCACTAACGGAGAACAAACTAGATCTCACTCTTTGCAGCCTCCAGGTCCCAGATTCGTATTGATCCAGATCTGGAGCCGGCGACCACCTGCTCCTCTGACATGTTGAACAGCACACACTCCACCGGGTTTTTATGCCCAGTCAAACTCTGAGGGACCGCAAAAGAAGCACAAGAAGTAAGTAAAGCAGTGAGCGGTGCATACAGCAGGTGATCGGTGTTGAAGTGAGGATGTCCCACCATGATGCAGTTGACCTTGCTGATGGCCCAGATGTTGACCGTGCAGTCTTCTCCTCCTGTGGCGAGCAGGCGGCCGGAGCTCTTTGCCAGTGACAAACAGGAAACGCTGCGGGAGTGAGCCTCGAACCCCTCTGTACAAAAATTCAAGAGAGTCATCTTCAGTTTTGTTCTGTTTGTATGAAAATAGTTTGTAAACAGCAGGTAAAAACGGGCGTCAGGTAAAGTTTCACGAGTATTTTCAGTCAAATTTCAAAGAGGAGATTTTGAGACTTGACTCACGCAGCTTCCAGGAGATCTTGGTGGGGTTGGCAACAGCCATACTGGTCAGACTGGGAGCCCGGCTGCTTCTTAGAAATCCTCGACCCCGGCTGAAGTTAAAACATCAAGATGAGTCTGGACCTCTGAGGGCAGACATCAGCTTCTCTCTCACCCTGTGCACTGAGCGTCCTCCCCCTGCACAGACAGAAACCACAGAGATATGACACAGAAGATGAGATCAGTGTCAGGAACTGTTTTTTATTTGATTATATTTTTCCTCTTTTCTGGCCTGAAATCAGTTTCCAAAACCCAGAAGAGTCAGGAGCTTTATCAGAGTAGATCACAGAGCCTCTTAAAATGCTGCATGGACACTTGAGTGTTGCTCCAGGGAAGATTTGTACTCTCCAAATCCTCCTCTCTCCAATGATCTCGATCGGTCTGTCAGTATGAACTCTTAACATTTAAGGTTACACTCAGAAATGACTGAATATCAAACTGCAGGATAGTTTTAAAAAGGGTGACCTGGTTCTTTTAAAAAGGCAACAACAACAACAACAACAACGTCGGCCAAGCTGCAACAACAGCTCCTCGAAACACAGCAGAGAAGTGGGGGATGTGAATGGACTCAGTGTGGTGCCTATAAGAAGATAAAGAGGGGCTGTATAACATGTTGGTCTGCAGGTCGGACTCCATTACTAAAGCTGATTACTTAAGCAGTTATGTTACATTCCTGTAGACCACGCTGTAGCGAGAGGACATTTGAATTATCGCAGAACAGCAGTTTAATGAGATGAGCTCCAAACCAGCGATCCAGGAAACTGAAGATCAAATCATTCATCATTGTGTAGAGTGAAGCTCAGGTCAAAGGTCAAACATACAAATATAGACTAAAATGATCAATGCAGAATTTTGACACCATAGTCGTACAGAATCATGAGTAAGCATGTAAAAGAAGTTCCCCTGAGAGTAACAGAGAAATAACTCCCTCCATCAGCGGCTCGGCTGCAGCTCCTGTCGTACTGAAGAGCAGACTTCAGGACAGTCTTCAGGGAGGCTCAGTGAACTCATGTACAGACAGAACCATGACAAGTGATGGGATAAGGGCTGTAAACACTGACAAGGACAAATATCAGACATCTTTAACTTACTTTAGCCTCATATATCATTACTCTATTGTTAAATTTAGCTTCTGTAATAATAGTGTCCTCTTTCTGTAATGCAATGTGCTTTAAAGTCTTTATACTTATTTTGGGATCACTTCTAATACTTTATCTCTCTTGGACAGTCCATAAAAAGTACATTTTCAACTTTAAACATCTTCCTGTAACTGTTTTTCATTAGCACACCTATTTCTTTTTCTATTTATTTATTTTGAAAAATGGGAACAGTACATATTGATGAACATTTACATGTGAATATGTGGGATTATAGCCAAATGGCTAATTTCCATCCCCGGTCCCATTGACAGGTTGATGTTAAACATAAAAGCAATAATGTTAAAAGTACAAACAACATGACTAAGATAGTGAAACACTGACAACATACACATAATATACATGAACAACGTACACAGACCAAAAACTAAGTGACCAATAGTAAAGGGACCAAAAAGATTAAAAAAGAGAATTGTAAAGTGCTAAAGTGTTAATTAAAGTGTCATGTGCTAAAGGTGTTTAAAGTGCCATTTGCTACAGTTCAGCTTGTTAAAGTGATGAGTGCGTAAGTGCGAGATTGAATTGAATTGCATGATGCCCATAGCACAGGATTGCACTGGCAGATGAGTGTCTAAAATTGCACATGGTTTGTAGACATAAATGTATTCCGTATACCTTTTAGTAACAAATTTGCAGACATGAATGAGAATATGTACGCCAGAACAAATTAAGAGTGGTACCCCATCTTAATCATCAGTCTACTTGACAATTTTAGTGCAGCTGATACTTTATCTCAAACACTTTGTTATATATTAGTATTAAATATTTTAATTTCCATGTCAGAATCTCTCGTTTGACTATTTTAACGGCCTCTGTTCAGTCTTTGGAGTCTGAATGTTGTCCATTATCTGACTGATATCATTATAAATGCTTGTTCAAGTATTAGTAAAGGTTTGACAGACTAATTGATTGAGTGTTCATCATCAGCCTCACTGACATTAATAACATAAAACTAGAGTTGACTACTATTCGGCCTGCTGACTGTAATCACATTAAATTAGTTTAACATTGTCCATAATTACTCATATCCTAACCCTGTAAACTGAATTATTTTGTTTTACATGAGCTGTTGTTGTTGTTGTTGTTTTAATGTTACTGCTGTCCCCTGTCTCTCTCTCTCTCCCTCCCTCTTCCTTGCTCGTTCTCTCTCTCCTTCCTTCTCCCTTGTTCTCTTTCTCTACCTCCTACTCCTCTCTCTCCCTCCCTACCTCTCTCTGTATTCCTCCCCAGCTCAGCAGCGGCTTGGTGGCTGTCCAGCATCAGTCTGGTCCTCTCCAAGGTTTCTGCCGGTTAAAAGGAAGTTTTTCCTCACCTCTGTTACTCATGTTAGATGAGATGGGCCAAATCCCATCTCAGGTTGGGTCTTGATAATTCATCAAACAATGAGCGTGGTCTAGACCTGCTCTTGTTCTCTGAAAAGCATCTTGGGATGACGACTGTTGAGAATCGGCGCTATATAAATAAAATTTGACTGAATATCTAATTCACAAATATCACAGAATAACTGATCCAGTCTTACTGAGTATTTGACACCCACATTAGTATAGATGTATTAATGGACTAAAACTTACTCAAACACAAACCTCCAGAATGGGACAGCAAACTAAAGCCAGTTTAATTCTGAGTTAATGTAAATTAATCTGATTAAGTTTCACATCTTAACTAATTTAGCAGATAAAACAGTAAATTAGCTCAAACTTAGACTGAGCTGAAGTGAGTTTGAAGTCTCAGAGTGTTGACTTTAAGTCCATCAGTGCTCTCCGACACCTGTAAATCAGTCTGTGATGGTCTCACCACCGTCTGCGGTAACAGGAGCTAAAGTTAGCAGAGTTCACCTGTCTGTAAGGTTAGCTCATTACAGCTGAAAACAGACCATCAGGAACACTTTACCTTCGTCTGCCCGCCGGTAATCATGTGAATGCACAGGGGGGTCAAAGTTTAATCGGTTAACCGTCGGTGGATCCTCTGTTTAGGGGCTCATGACCGGAGATATCCCGCCTGTTGACAGTTGAGGTTCTCCTCCTCGGCTGCAGCTTAGCAACTGAGCGACAAACAGACGACTTCCGCTGACGTCGACAAATCTACGTTTTTAAAAAAAACAAAACTTTATTGTTAAATGAAAACGATAATCAATAAAGTTATACTACGGAAGCATAACAAAGAAAAACCGGTCATTCTGAATTAACGAGATAATGAAATCAGAGTTATGAATACATTTTTTATCGATAAAAACATCTTACTCTTTTTTTCCAGAACGAAACAAATATTTTAAAAAAACAAAACATTTTTTTCTGAGATAATTATCACGTCGATTTAGAAAAACAGATATCGATTTTAAATTTACATAAAAACTATCTGATATCAGCTTTATTCGTCTGGTGGAGCAAAGATATATCTATAAAAAAGGCTAGATGACTCGAGGGGGAGTCGCTGCGTCCCTCCACGGCGGCCATCTTACTCCAGTATACCATTCTAGTACGCTCTATGGTAGCTGACAGAAGGTGAGTAATCTGCATGATCAAAAATACTCTTTACTCTCTGAAATCTCGACAGATTTACAAACGGTTTTCTTTATTAGAGACCTTAATAGCGTGGCTTTGAGTCAGAATGCTTGGACATTTTGAAATGGCAGATTTTCTTTGAGAAAAAAAAAAGACTTAATCATGAAGCGCAGTTGTTTCACAGCTATTTGCGTGCAAGGGCTAACTTTGAGTCACTTTGCCCGAGTTATCAAGGCTGAGACCACAATAGAGATTAAAATTTTTTATATGACAGCCTTATATATTTATTTATTTATTTATTTAGTCTAAGTGACAGTCTTTGTGGATGTGCATGTGTTTATCAGCTGTCTAATTTGGCTAACAGACTCGCTGTGAGTGAGACCAAGTACATATTACAAAGTTGACCCAGTAATTTTACATCAGTTGGAGAGGCACGAATGCTCTTTCGTTTCAACATAACCTGAGTTGCACATGATTTCCAGGCTGTTTGGTTTTTTTTAAAATATCTACAATGGCAACATGAGGCAGGTATTTATATTATAGCTATCCCTATAATAGAAATATTACTAAAATAACATACATGGCATGATAAAATGTTTTATATGAGAAGATTTGATATAACTACCTTGTGTGTGTAGGCCTATATCTATCCCTCTGCTTAATTTTTATTTTTGAAAATCCATGGTTAAAATCATTCTTGAGTATGCAGGAACATAACTAAAACTCCGAGGTTTGTTACAAACCAAACCGTTCGAAAATCGGTCAAAATTAATCAATCTATAGTTATTTAAATACCACATTCACCCTAGACTGTGGTCGAGCGTCCCGTAGCAAAATGGCCGCCATGCGCAGACGGCGGTCTCCATTGGCTAACGGCGTAAGTCATCTAGCGTTTCTATATATATCTATGTCTTGGACTGTCATTTCTGCACACTACCAGTGGATGGCGGTACGTTCAACAGACTACTCAGATGACAAACCCTAATTAACCGAAGAAGAAGAAGATCCAGGAAGCGGTTGTCAACATTGAGGTCCGGTTTGCATCCTCTTGGAGAAAATAACTGATAGTTTTGATTTGACACTCTTAAAACCGTGTTATGCCCGGACTAGATTATATTATACCGTCGTAAATGCCGCTGACAACCTGTCCGTAGGCAGCAGGAGAGGATTAGTTTAGTAGCAGTAGAAGAAGTCCAACATGGCGGCGGTAGACGTGGAGGATGAGAGCATTTTGGCGTCGATCTTTAAGGACCGGTTCCCAGACAGCTGGAGGGAGAACCCGGACTTCACGGCCTACCTGTCCGAGCTGAGCTCCTTCGGTGTGGAGAAGCTGAGCCGGGAGCCGGAGCGGCTGTCGGAGGAGCGGGCTCAGATCCTGCAGCAGACCCGGGAACTGGCCTTCTCCAACTACCAGACCTTCATCCGGACCGCGGACTGCACCGAGCACATCTACCGGGACTTCGGCCGGGTAGAGAGCAGCGTCTCCCGGCTGCTGGACAAGCTACCGAGCTTCGGGGAAAGATGCAAGTCAGTCAAGATGTGTTATATTTATATCTGATTCTACATTTATTCAGAATTACAGTCAGAGATTTGAGGGTTAATCCTGAAATTTAACTCCTTTAGACACAATTTTACTGCAGGTTGTAAACATGTCAGTAATCTCTTCTAAAGGAATGACTAATAAACAGTTTATAGCACTTTTAAAAACAGAAGTTTACAAAGTTCTTTGACGAACAGTCGTAAAAGAAAAGAAGCGTATGTCTCTGCTGCACGCCTTATCTCTCTATAGCACTTTACACACAACAGAATTGATCCAAAGTGCTTCACAACAACACAGAGGAAAAACAAAACAATAGAAAAAAAAAGACGAAGAAGAGCAGACTAAGTCACAGTAATAATAACGATAGCAATAAAAAATATTGTTTTCAGTACCATCACTATCATTATTCATTATAGAGATAATAAATAACAATAATAACAATAGCAGCGGCAATAATACAAACAATGATAGTGACACCACAGATCTACATGGGAAATGGCTGAGCTAAGAGAGTTAGGGACAGTAAAAAGCTAGGGAGTAAAAGTGGTTTTTAAGATGAGTCTTTAAAATCTCAGTGGTGGGAGGAAGAGAATTCCACAGTTCTGGGGCCGCGATAGAGAAAGCCCTGTCCCCATAACATTTGTGATATGGAGGCAAGACCATTCAACACTTTGTAAACAAACATTAGGATTTTAAACTCGATCCTGTAGCTAACAGGCAGCCAGTGAAGGGAGGCAAGAATGGGAGTAATGTTCTCCCTCTTCTTAGTTCTGGTTAAAACTCTGGCCGCTGCATTTTGCACTAGCTGGAGACGAGATAAACAAGACTGAGTGATACCAAAACATAATGCGTTACAACCTCTGGCAGGTCGTTCCAAAGTCGAGGAGCTCTGATGGACAAAGATCTACCTTTAGTTTTGAGCCTCGACTTTGGAACGACCAGGAGAGGCCTTCGCCCGAGGATCTGAGGCTGCGAGTCGGCTCATAAGGTATTGAAAGCTCTGAAATGTAGCTCGGAGGAAATTAAAGTTGTAGTTTAACGTAACAGGATATGGATATTAAATTTGTTATTTAAAGTTTTTCATATTCACAAATGTAAAACCCACTATTTGAAATAAATATGTTCCATTCACTGTGATTATCAATGTAAAAATAATTGAAAAAAGCTCTTTTAATCGCCGTATGGCTGACACTCACCCGCCTGCAGTAGTTTAGAAAAGATCATTCAGAAATCATAAAGCTCTTTGCTTATTATTTTTGTTTTTAAAGGTTGTCAAGAGGCATGAAACCTACTTTTTTGTATTTTATTCCCCAAAACTGAGGAGACAGTGTTAGAAAAACGGCGAATTATTTTTTTATTTGTGTTCAGAGGGTTCATGAAGGAGGCGGAGGAGATCGGGGCGAGCCGGCGAATGAACAGCCTCACATTAAACCGCCACACAGAGATCTTAGAGATCCTGGAGATCCCTCAGCTCATGGACACCTGTGTCCGTAATGGATACTATGAAGAGGCTTTAGAGCTGGCAGCTTATGTGAAGAGGCTGGAGAAGAAGCACTCGTCACTGCCCGTCATCCAGGTGAGTCCAAATGATACCTTCAAATGTCTGGATTAGTCTGACATCAGTCCACCGTCCAAAAAAAGTTTGTTTTGCTGTGAAGTTGACATCCCTTCAATCACGACTGATCGTTTCGTACGTCTGGTGTTTTCAGGGAATTGTTCGTGAAGTGCGTCAGTCGACTCAGCTGATGCTCAACCAGCTCCTGCAGCAGCTGCGCAGCAACTCTCAGCTCCCCGTCTGCCTGCGCGTCATCGGTTACCTGCGCAGGATGGACGTGTTCACGGAGGCGGAGCTTCGGGTGAAGTTCCTGCAGGCTCGTGGCACCTGGCTGAACTCCATCCTCACTGCCATCCCTGAAGACGACCCCTACTTCCACATCACCAAAACCATCGAGGCCTGCAGAGTCCACCTGTTTGACATCATCACCCAGTACAGAGCCATCTTCTCCGACGAAGACCCGCTGCTGCCCCCTGCAGGTGGACAGGTGGCGGTGAACGAGGCGGCCATCTTCCATGGCTGGGTGGTGCAGAAGGTGGCTGAGTTCTTGGAGACGCTGGACAGGGATCTTCAGCGGGGAGTGGGAGGCCGCCTGGACTCCCTACTGGGTCAGTGCATGTACTTCGGCCTCTCCTTCAGCAGGGTGGGGGCAGATTTCCGTGGGCAGCTGGCGCCGATGTTCCAGCGGGTGGCGGCGCAGACATTCCAGGGCGCTGTGCAGGAGGCGGTGGAGAAGTTCCAGGAGGACATGAACCTGTACACGCTCATCTCTCTGCCCTCTGTGCTCGGAGGGACCATCCCACCTGTGGCCCCCAGCACCCAGCCCGGCACTCTGCAGCCCCCAATGTCCCTGCTGGACTTCCAGCCACTGGCCTGTTTCCTCAACAACGTTCTGACGGCCTTCAACGACCTGCGGCTCTGCTGCCCCATCGGACTGGCTCAGGAGGTCACTAAATGTCTCGAAGACGCCGTCAAACTGGTGAGAAGCTTTTGTCCTTCTGTATATTTCAGGTTCTCAGAACTGCAGGTCTGTTTTTTCAGAGAGGTTTGATTTAACGCCGAGCTCAGGGAGATCACGGCTGGATTATCAGTCTTTTTTGTTGTCTTAGTTCCTGTTTATGAGGTTTTATTGAAACTATAATTCTTTGTTAAACTCCTAAAGGTATAAAACTTCTAACCAGACACACAGCAGTGCAGAAATATCAGATTACAGTGGTGTCTGAGGACAGTCTGTCACTATGTGAATGTTGTGAGTGGACGATGGTCTACAGAAAGGTCTGTAAGGTCTATATCTGTCTGTTTCGGTCCTGTTTCTCGTCAGGTGACCCGTCAGATCTTAGTGTTTCATCGGGCAGAGGAGTCGGCCTTCAGCAGCAGAGAGAAGGAGCTGTTTGTTCAGTTCTGCTCTGCATACGCTGAAGATCTTCTGCCGTTCCTAAACCGCTGTCTGCAGGTCCTGTTCCCCCCGGCTCAGCTGGCTCTCATCCTGGGTGAGGACGACTTCTGTTTGTTCAGTTCACTCAAAAAGTTCTCTTACATGTCTTACACACTTGTATGAATAGAAACCAGTAGGAGTAACGCAGTGCAGATTGTAGATTCTGAGTTTGTGTTTGTATGTAAAACATACAGGATGTGTGTTTAGAGCGTGACAGCAGTGTCGCGTATCGCAGCAAATAGGTTTCCATTCTAATCAATACAGCAAAGCGTTTTTGGCTTAACTCCTAAATATTGTGGTTGCAGTAATTATTTTAGCCTCTAGAGGGCACTCTGTGGGCGTGGTCCACATCTAAACCAGTTCTTCGTGTCTTTGCAGGACTTCCTGTGACTCAGCTGCACAAACACGGCAGCCTGGGCAGCATCGACCTCTCGGCGGTTCTGGAGCCTCTGGACTTTGTGCTTCCTGAGAGAGAGACGTTACCAGTAACGGCACCAGAACCAGAGTTTGACATCAACACTGAACTGGGCAGCCTGACCTTTGACCCACAGCTCACAGACACAATAACAGATCCTGATGTAAAAGTGGAGACAGAACCTCCTGACCCTGCAGAGGCTGGGTCTGGTCTCAGGGACTCTGATTCTGAACTGACAGAGGCCAAGTCCGAAGAGAAAGAGGAGGAGACGATCGTGGAGGAGGAGGAGGAGGAGGAGGAGGAGTTTTCTCTGGAGTGATGAGCCGATAATAAACTTCAGCGGTGTGAGGAGGACTGATTCATGTGTGTGGGGATTGTTCACTCTCTGGACTCTAAATCATATTTTCAAAGATGTTTTAAAAAAGTTACCCCTCCTTATTTCTGACTAAATCTCTTTTTTATTCCGGTGAATGTGAGTCTGATGGGATCTGCAGATTTAATTAAACAAACCAAACCTCAGCAGCCTTTCAGCTGAAATGTGTAGAGTTATTGTTTTTATATCTGCAAAGGACTGGAGCCGATAAAAGAGGCAAAAATTCAGGTCAGAAACTTTAACAGATTTTTCTTGTAAATTTTTTAAAGTCCAAATTCTTTTTTTTTCCAGTTTCTGTGATCAGAGTCAGAGTTCTACAATTTTAACTTAAATCACAGAAGTCTAAAGTAAACAGAAGACAAACAGAAGTCCATTATGTTTTTTAATTGTATTTTCTAAATCTTTATCATAAATTCTGACGCGGGGGAGGGTGGGAACAGCTTTGTTTACAAGAGCGGAGCGCTCTGAAAATTTAAAATGTTGACTACACAGAAATATCGTAATATTACCAAAGGTCATCAATAACTAATAACTATTGACTGATATTAAAAGATTTTTGTTGATACACCACAAAAAAGATGCTTCTTTAAGGGATTCTTGAAAAATACGGTAGACTTCAATCCGAATAATGAATTATCTCAGAATTCAAAGATGATTCACAGAAAATTTTCCAGAATTTTCTTCGTCTTTGAGGGTTTTAAGGAGGAAACTTTGATTCAGCCTGTGACTGAGTTTGTTAAACCTCGTTCTTGGACCGGGTTTAAAGAGAATCTGAATTATAAGGGACCACTAAAACAGGAGCTGTGAGTGTCAGTGAGTGATTCTGCAGCAGGAGGAGGAGTTTAAAAGTTTATTTGGTGGTCGTAGAGTTACATTAAATTAAACTGACTGAAACATGACAGCTGAGAGGAGAGATGCTGGTTTGGAACTATGAGGACTAACAGACTCAAACATGAGAAACCTCAGGATGATCCTTCAATTTAAGGTCAAACAAGTCCACTGACGTCATACTTGTGTCGCCCGACTGCTCTTCACTTCTTTTTCACAAACTTCTTGCGGGCGGCGTTGGGGTTGGCTCGCCTCCTGCCCGCCCCGCACTGGCTGTCTCTGAGGTGGAGGTTGGCGGCTCGGCTGTAGATGTCGTTCTCGCAGAAGGGCGAGGTCCCCGCCACGTAGTCCGGGTTGAAGACGTCTGTTTTCTGACGAGCTTTTTGGGAGAGTCTCTGCTGAGGGAAACGCTGATCCTCCACCAGGTGAGGGTTGTTCCCGTGTTTTCCTCCCTGAGGCAACGGCAGCGAGTGCTGAAACGACAGGAGCAGGTCAAAAACAGCCGACACACTTTTCTCCCCTTACTGTGGTCTTTGACGGGAACCTGAGATCTCATCTACAGACTCTGAAAAATTAAGGAACCACTCCTGATTTAACACCCGTACAGCGATAGAGAAGAGCGGTGCAGCGAGTGTGTTTTCAGCGTGTTTGTGTCTCTTACCCTCATCCCTCTCGGGTTCAGCACTTTGGGGTTTTTGGAAAAGTGCATCTGCTTGCTGCCGTCCTCGTTGACCGTCACCGCCACCTTCTTCAGAGTTCTGTTCCCACAGTGAGGACAGAAGACTCTGCTCATGTTGCTCGTCGTCCTGAAATTAGAAACACTCCACGTAAATGCTTCAGATTCGATCTTTCTTCATCCATTAATAGTAACAAAAGTTCATAAATGTGCAGCTTTAACAGCTGACGCTCAGAGTCGGGGTGAACTCACTTGAAGCAGGCGTGACACCTCAGGATGTAGTTTCTCGCCTGCTTGATCAGCATCCCGTTCACAGAGAGAACGTGAAGTCCGATCTGAATGAGAACGTTCTGGAAAGACAGAAAACATCAGCGACAGATTTTGTAAACAGAATGAAATTACAAAACTTTCTTTAGATGAAAGTTTATCAGACAAAATAATATGAATGTACAAAACTAAGACCAGGTTTAACTTCCTTCAATGAACTCCAGTCAGAAACCAGTATCCTGGACTTCACAGACCAGTACCGGGCCTCTTACCTGCATGGCGAAGTCGGTGGTCAGACATCCCACTTTGACATCAGCAGGAGCTGTCCAATCACCAGACTCCATCTTCACCTGCTGGATGTTACTTGGAGTGATCCAACCACCTCCATCATCATCATCGTCGTCATCATCATCACAGTCCTCCTGGTCCTCCTCTTCATCTTCAGGCTCGTTCTCTTTATCCTCATCGTCTGATTGGTTCTCTGTCGGCGGTGACCTCTTGACCTCGCTCTCTGATGTGGAGCTGCTGCCCTCGTTCTGCAGCACAAATGTAAATCATCCTGAGTGGGTGTGAAACTGAAACACGTGGAGTCCGTCTGAGTGTCTGTGAACTCACCAGTAGATCCAGCAGGCTGTCGTCGATGGTCGGGACGGGCTCTCTCCAGAAGAGGAAGCTGTTGAACTCCTCGCTGTCTGCAGTCGTCTCTGTGTCCGTCTGTATGACCTTCTGTTTCTCTGTTTGTGTTTCTGCCTGTTTTTGTTTGTTCTTTGAGTTCAGCACATTGACAGGATCCTGGAGACACAAGGAAAGGTTAGAGCTCAAAAAACACACCGCTCGCATGTCTGTGAGACACAGTAAAGGAGGTTTCTACTCCGGTGCAGTGTGATAAGTGATGGCAGGACTCCTTCTAGAGCTGCAGCCTGTTAGCTACAGTATGACTCTACAGTGATGGCGTCTCAGTGCGGGGTCTCTGTTTTTTATTCTGTCTGAGTTCAGACTCACCAGTAAGTCCAGCAGCTCACTGTCGAAGGACAGCAGCGGCGCTTTCCAGAAGTTAAAGCTGTTAAACTCGTCAGTATCCGCTGGTTTTGACGTCTCTGTTTGAGCTTCTGTTGGAGTCTCGCTGACGTCCAAACCGTCCACGGGTTTCTACAACAATGAAACACAAGTTAGTCGTTTTAGACCTGTCACTCATGAGTGACGAGAGAAACGATGACGAAGCCTCTTAGAGAGATTCACCTTGGAGGGGAAGTGAAATCCTGCAATGTTGACTGGAGCCTCTGGATGGCGCTGTGTGCTTTGAATATTCACCTAAAAGACAAAGCAAGCGTCACCCTTTAATGAAACTTCAGTCAGATGGCTGAAGAAGAACAACACGATCCTGCTGTGTAACTCTGTGTGCCTTCACTGAGCTACTGAGAGGTTTCTCCCCGAGGTTACCTACTTTGACCTCGGGCTCTTTCTTCAGGTGCTGAGAGCCGACATGTTCCAGTTCCAGCTGGTAGGTCAGAGCCAGGACCTTGATGTCGGTGGCTGACAGACTCGGGTAGTCTCCGGTCTTTTTGGAGAACTCTGTCACTGAGGTAAGAGACACAAAAACAAAGTCAGGTGGGACGGTAAAGCATACAACTCTGCTCCAGATCCGAGCTTCTTAAAATGCTTTGAAAGCCTACAGCTGATGAGGCGGGGTTGATTTTACTTGTGCAAAACTATCTTTAAAAAACCCTGAATATTCTCCTCAAATATTTCTCATTTTATGGAGCCGAAGTTTTTGTATTTACCCAGTTTGATGTGTTCAGGACGGGGCTCTTTAAAGTTCAGCTGGTACGGCAGGAAGGCCAGACTCTTCCTGGTGGGTTTGTCCCTGATCTCATCCACCACATCCTTCAGCGTGTAAATAGTCTTTCCAATATCCTGCAACACAAATAAACACAGAAGAGTGTTGTTGTGGAAGATCCAACATAAACTCAGGAAAACAATGCACAGGAGACAGGATGAGATCTAAAGAACAGCCTGGGTGTCTTTTATTGTACAGATGTAGAAATCAGTACAGATGACAAACAGACAAGAAAGCCCTGTGCCTATTTTCTTAACTAGAAATGTTCGAATGATACAGAAAGGCCTCTAACATTAAAATTGTGTTGTTGTTTTTTTCTCTTTTGATGTTATTCAAGCTCAATCTAAGGAAAATATTCTATAATTGTCTTTGATGATAAATAAGTGCCTTGTGTGTTTGTCTATAATTCAATAAATAAAAAAAAACTGTATGTCGTATTTCAACTTCTGTGAATGACTGACGGAAAATATTGGGGTTTTTTGTATGACACCGTAATCCTTAATTTTTATTATTATTACCATTATTATTCGTTTTCACGCTTTCCCAGTATAATCCCAGAATATTAGAAATAAAATAAATAAATAAATTATTGTCAGCTCTCTTTACTTGATAAACACAGATAACTACGATCAGTTGATTGGTGTGTCTTATTTTCATTATTATTACCATTATTATTAATTTTTACTCTTACCTAATATAATCCCAGAATACTAGAAATTAAATTAAATAAATAAATAAATTATTGACAGCTCTCTATACTTGATAAACACAGATAACTACGATCAGTTGGTCAAGTTAGTTACATATTTACTCTAACTGACTCGAATAAAAAAGACGCCTGTTTGTAACTTCTCTGATCAAATAATAATTCAGTGTTTCGGTCCATTATTCGGAGGTTCGGTCTCGCTGTCTGTGTGAAGCTTTGGGCCCAAAATAACAAGCTTCCGTTTACTCTTTAACAACCACCGAGAAGGTCCAAACGCGGACAGTCGGCACCGAACTGTTAAGAAAAGCTAAATTATGATTAAACGTGAATTAAATCTCACCTGGAGAGGAGCTCTCTTCAAAAACGCTCCAGCGTCTGCGACAACATGCTCCACCAGGGTAGGCGCCATGTTGGATGGGAGGCCAGCATGTGGAGCGACCAATCAGAAGAGCGGATGGTTAAAGGGCGCAGTCGGAAACATGACTACTACACACGGTAAACAAGATATTTCTATTATTTGAATGCTGCAATTTTGGTTATTAACCTATGGTGGTAGTCAGTTATTTACAACACTTTTTACGTGAAAAGTTTTTCTTAAAAAATGTCCTAATTACATCTTAGCTAACGTTAAATATGAAGTAGAGATATTTATCTGAAGAATGAATCAAGAATGTTTTCTTATAAATAATTAACCTTGACTAATGCGATTCACTAATGATATACAGCCTAATGAAACAGGTCACCAGTCACGCTCAAGTCAACAATTCACGGTTTCTATCGTGAATATTCCCGATATTTTGATTTTCCGGTTTTGTCATGACAGTGAACGCAACACAGCTCCCCCTCACATCACGTGACCTTTTGTTGACGGTAGAGGACGGGAAAAGATGGCGGCTCGCTGGAGTAGCGAGAATGTGGTGGTTGAGTTTCGGGATGCTCAGGTATTTCTGTCTCCAAACTCAGGTGTGACCAGAGTCCGAATAGCCCGGAGTGGAGGTCTCTGAGGAGAATTTGGCAAAAACAAAAGATTAGACCGAGTAAAAGTTTAACACACCGAGGCCGAAAAGTTAAGCTGTAACTGATGAAAACAGAAGAATATCGACTTTAGTTTACTCGAAATATTTAGTTAACGGAAAGGCGTAATCGATTAATGGTTTAGGTCAAGCTATAGGATACATGAAGCAACTCAATCCCCTTCATCCTCTGGTGGATTTGTGCTTTTCTGTCTTATTTTATTTTACTTAAAACAGAGGCGAAAATCACTCATTAAAGGTTTTGTAGACTATTTTACCTGGACTGACCTGAAATTTGTGATTGTCTAAGTTTAACATAGTTCCATAATAGAGCATGAAGCTAATGTGTACTGTACAATATTTATCAGCATAAAATGTCGAGTTTACCTAATAAAGGGACAATAGAAAATACGTATCCACAACAAAAATCTACAAACCAGTTCTACTAGGAAATAAAAACATGGTAGTCTTAGACGGATTACAGCCCCTGACCTTTGTAGTGAAGGGTTTTAGATCTGTGATTATTTTGGTTCAGTTGGTAATTTATTCCAGAGTTTAGAGCCTTTAAGAGAGAAAGCTGACTGTCCAAATATTGTTGATTACAAACTTAGTTTCTTACAGGGACTATTTTTCTACAGCTTTCATGAAAAGAGTCCTTTTTACATGACCTACTGAGTTTAAAAAAAAAAAACTTAACTAATGAATAATTTCATATATTTAAAATATTCACATTATTACAGACAAGGCGCATTTAGTGTTCTTCACAATAGAAATATCCAATAACTGGTACAACATACAAAGATACACGCTGTTGGTAAGTTCAGGAGTCTAGTGTATTTTTCCAAATTACATTCTTATACATTCAGACAAAAAGTTCAACAAAGTTCAGAAAACGCCACATGATCTGAGACACAGATTAAAGAGAGGACTCTTTTCCAGAATCCCAAATCGCATACTTCCATACTAAATGCTAAATTGAGTATACTAAGCTTACTATGTACTCAGTCGCGCAGCGGGCGAGTTTCAAGGGTGCAGTGCTGTCCCAAATTGCATACTGCTGCGCGGCGCACTCACCGGAAATTACAGACGAACAGAAACTAAAGAAATAATGACAATATGCTGCAGACAAACCTCCGTGGCTGATACTGCCTCTAGTCACAGGCTAGCAGCCTCACTGGTTGTATAGTCCATGAGCAGGCTCTGCTGCCCTGCTGGTTAGATCAAAATCACATTTTTCTTCTTTGTTTTCAGGCCACTGCCATGTCTGTGGACTGTCTGGGCTCACATGCTGTACTCTCTGGGTAAGTTTTACCGCCTTGAATGCACCAAAGTTTTAACCAGATTAATATGTGTCAATGTAGAGACAGCCAAGTCCAGACTGACCGAAGACAGGAACTCTGCATGAGCATAAAAGGCCAAATCATGTACATAAACTGCGTATTAATGATGGTAATTTGGTGTGATTTGTTAGAAAGGGACAAGATAATGAGTCAGGAAGTTTATAATGAACCAGGAGACACTCAACAACCTCTTGTGTCTCCTTGTTTTACTGGTTCTCAGGAGACGTTTCCTCTACCTGGTGAACCTCGAGGCTCCATCAGAACCGCCCAGGAAAATCGGCCGGCAGAGTAAATGGGACGTGGGGACGGTTCAGTGGAACCCTCACCGGTCAGAGTCTCACGTCTTTGCAGCCTCGGTGAGTTTGTAGGATCTCAGACAACCTTCAGTGGGAGCAAACACAAACACCTGAGTGTCACTGAGAGTGTTTGTGTGTGTGTGTGTGTGTTCTGCAGAGTAACCAGCGAGTGGATCTGTACTCATGGAGGGAAGGCTGTGGAGAAGTTCACACCTCACTGCAGGCTCACACCCGCGTCATCAGGTACTAACAGACCACCACGTTGTGTTCATGGACTCTCTGTGATCGTAACATAACCGTTGATAACTGTCGTGATGAGCTTCCCCTGACTCTCTGTGTTTGAACCTTCATGTCCTCAGCGATCTGGACTGGTCCTGGTTTGAACCCGAGTTCCTGGTCACCAGCTCTGTAGACACCTACATCTACATCTGGGACACACGGTGAGAAGACAAAGAGATTTTTGACGTTTAAGCAGCAGCTTTATCCGTCAGCTGAAGTCAGTCTGGTTCTGCTCTAAACGATCTGTTTGACTCCACAGAGACACTCGGAAACCTACGGTCGCTCTGTCTGCTGTGGGTGAGTACTGACATGTTTATTTTTCACTTCTGCTGATGTTTGTTCTGGTTTGAATCTTCTCTCTTTCGTCCACCACGGTAAACTCTTAAATTAACGCTCCTCTGCTGCTGTGTGATTCTACCAGCTGTACCAAAAAAAAATGACTCCCTGTATGTAAAAAAAGGACAATTTTGGAAAGTTAGACCTCTAATTTCAGATCAGATATTGTCAAAGATAATCAGCTTAAATTGATTGAAATGTTCATTTTGAGGATGTTAGAAAAAAGGAGGAAGAAACAAGTTTTTATACAATTGCAAACAGACAATGACGGTCAGTTCATTACAGTCTAGAAAGAGGAACATTTATTGGTCTTAGGTCACTTGCAGATTAGAGGCGCTCTCCAGGTGGTTTTTCTTCTTCTTCACAAATAAACAAGGAGGGAAACCATGAGGAGTCTTCACTCCTTTCTCCATCTCCTCATCTCGCTCTCTTGTTTCCAGCCGGGGCGTCCCAGGTGAAGTGGAACAGGAAAAACCAGTACCTGCTGGCGTCCAGTCATGATGGAGATGTTCGAATCTGGGATAAAAGAGTGAGTGTGAGACCCGTTTCTGATCTGACCCCCTCGAGACTGAGGCGGTTCTGTTTGTAAAAGTCTGATCCTGTCTGAGCAGAAGCCGAACACGGCGGTGGAGTACGTGGCAGCTCACCTGTCCAAGATCCACGGCCTCGACTGGCACCCGGACAACGAGTTTATCTTTGCCACATCGAGCCAGGACAACTCAGTGAGGGTGAGAAAAACAAGCGTCCCTGAACACATCGCTGACCATGACGTTTAAATCCAACCAGGATCCAAAAAAGAAAGAAAAACGTCGAGCAGCAAAAAGGAAATGGACTTTTAGTTGTTTTTGTGTCCAGCCCTGATTGTCTCGTTGTGTTTGTGTGTTTAGTTTTGGGATTACCGACAGCCCAGGAAGTATCTGAACATCCTGTCCTGTCAGGTGCCGGTGTGGAAGGCCCGGTACACGGTGAGTAACAGAGAGCGTGTCAGACTGACCTTTTAGCAGGGATACTGAGCTTCACTGACCGTCCAATCAGAGAACAAAATCACAGCCGTAGACGGAGATTTCATTCGTCGTTATTAAACGAGTATTTCCCGTTTGTGCGTGTCTGTTTCAGCCGTTCTTTAACGGTCTGGTCACAGTGATGGTTCCTCAGCTAAGGAGAGAAAACAGCCTGTTACTCTGGAGTACGCTCGACCTCAACAACCCCGTCCACGCCTTCGTAGGACACGATGACGTGGTGCTGGAGTTCCAGTGGAGGCCGCAGAAAGAAGGTGACATTTAGGAAGAGTGTACACGCATCCTGATAAGAAAAATTACAAGGGGACCAGGAAACTTGGGCTGATTTTTTTTTGTCCTTTGTAGGCTCAAAGGATTACCAGCTGGTCACCTGGTCTAGAGACCAGACTCTGAGGATCTGGAGAGTGGACCCTCAGCTGCAGAAGGTCGGTGTGGAGCCTCAGAGATGTCTCTTCTTGTCCTGCCTCCGATTCTGATGTCAGTGTGTTGTTGTGGTTGTGTAGCTGTGTGTCAGTGACATGGAGGACCTGATGGAGGGGATGTCTCTCACCGTGGAGTCGGAGAAGTCTCTGTCGTCACAGGAGCCTGAGAGTCAGCTGGGCGTTGGCCTGTCGGCGGACTCTCTGCTGGGTGAGGAAACTTCCTGTCTGATGAGCCGACCTTGAGCTGACCTTGTCTTTACAGTCAGTCAGCCGGACTCTCTCCTCTTGGTTTGACTCGCCCCTGTTGTTTTCTCCAGATCAGGACTCTGGAGGTCGTCCGGACTCGGTCGGGGGTTCAGGTCTGACTCAGACTCTGCAGCAGGAGTTCTCTCTGGTGAATCTGCAGATCAGAAACGTCAACGTTGAGGTGAGGCTGATATCTGCTTTATTCAGTCATCTGGTTCTCGGCGTCTGTGTGTCTGTGTGAAACTCGGCGTGTTTTTCCTCTGTTCAGATGGACGCGTTAAACCGCAGCTGCGTGGTGTCGGCTCACTTCGGCAGCCATCAGGTTCACCTGGTGGTGAAGTTTCCCGCTCAGTATCCCAACAACGCCGCACCATCCTTCCAGTTTGTCTCTCCGACGACCATCTCCTCCGCCATGAAGATCAAGATCCAGAAGGTACAGACGCTCCTGAATGCACCACAGAACCCGGTTTAGTTTGTCTGAATTGGACCTAAATTGGGCCGATGCTCACGGGTCTTTGTTTACTTCTCTTCACGATCAGATCCTGACCGACACGTCTCTGCAGAAGGTGAAGAGAAACCAGAACTGTCTGGAGCCGTGTGTCCGACAGCTGGTTTCCTGTCTGGAGTCGGACATGGTGGGTGAATGTTTTTACCGCCTCACGCTGATATTTCGACTCCATCCTCATTGTGTGTTTTTTTTCTCACAGACACAGGAGGACGGTCCAGCCTCTGGCCCCTTCGTCCTGTCCAATCCTGTCACCCCGGCGCTGCAGGCGTTTCCCCGAGTCACCAACACGTACGGCTCCTATCAGGTAACCACCACGCCGACTCTGCTGCACAGATTTATCCTCAGGAGATCATGATGTGCAGCAGAAGTTTGAGCTCCTGCAGTGAGTTCCTTTCAGTCTGTTCCTCCTTTATCTCCAGGACGCCAACATCCCGTTCCCTCGAACATCAGGCGCTCGGTTTTGCGGCACTGGCTGCCTTGTTTACTTCACCCGACCAATCACGATGCACCGCTCTGTCCCACCCACGGAACCCACCCCCAGGTAGGAAGACACAGAAGAGTTTAAGTCTGGATATTATCACTCGTACTCAAGCTTAGGCTAAGTAGATCCTGGACCTGTGTGTGTGTGTGTGTGTGTGTGTGTGTGTCTGTGTGTGCAGGTCCCTGTCAGCTCTGTCGGCCTATCACAGCGGAGTGCTGACCCCCATGAAGATCCGTTCAGAGTCTCAGAGCACCCTGAGGTTGTACAGCGGCAGCCCGACTCGCTCCGACAAAGACACCGTCTCAATTTCCTCCTTTTACTATAAAGAAAGGGTGAGACACACACACACACACACACACACACACACACACACACACACACACACACACACACACACACACACACACACACACACACAGGAGTGGAGTCTGCCATAAATACAGTAGAGTTTAAAAAACAAACACCTTGAGCTGCTCCCACATGATCTTGTCCTTCTTGTTCTGGTGAGTAGTTTAAAGGCAGCTGGGAATGTGGAGCGCTTTTCAACATCAGAAACTCTTACCAGGAACCCTCCAGGAACCAGGAACTAAATTTAATGACAGGGTAGTGGATCAACCTCTTTGAAAGTCCCTCCATCAGACAGTCTCAGGTCGTGGATTCACATCAGAGGAGGATCCTGTAGTTCATCTCAAACCACCTGATGATCAGATTCTGGACTCCGACACAGCCTCTAAATGTCCTCACAGACACCAGCTGATCAGAGCGAAGTCTTCTCCTACTTTTCATCACTTTCAGTTTTTTTCTTCAAACGATGTCAGTGCCCCGTCTCTCTCTCTCTCTCTCTTTCTCTCTCCTCTCTCTCTCCATCATGGGCCCCTCTTTGTTTGTTTGTTCTTTTTTTATATTATTCTTACTGTGTTTTTCTCTGGCCAATCACATGCCCCCATGCTGCTGCGGGCCACGCCTCCTTCCTATTCTCCTTCAATCAGAAGCTCCCAATCTCTGCCTCCCGTCGCTGGTCTGTCCAAACCCTCCATGATTGGCCGGTATTGAGCCTCTGTCCTTTATCGAACCGCTCATCCCTCCTCTGTTTCTCCTCCATCTCTCTGAGCTCTCCTCTTAGTTTCTCTTCTTGCAGTTTTAACAGTTTTTTGCATGCCACAGCTTCAACGTCAAAATAACCGTGTGTGTGTCCTCAGTTTGGATTTTGATGCAGGACCGTCAGTCGGATAAGTTTGTAGCTTCTGTCTGAGTTTCAGGGCGAGCTTTTACAGCGAGATCCTTTACAGTGAGAGTCTTGGACGTGTTTATCTCAGAGCTCTGCAGCTTATAGACTTTCATAAAAGGTTCGTCTACTAATGTATGCAAACTGAAACATATAATGCTTTCCTGTTTGCTCTAAAGCTGCAAACTAACATTTAACATCAACAGCAGGAGCTTTTCTGTGATTGCCAGAAGAACTCATGTCTGTGTGACTTTAATTCAAACATTTATTCTGACATAATTGAGCTTTGCAGGCGACTTACCAGTTAGTCTGTAATCTGGACGCTAACCGTGTGTTCACACCGCAAGAGACAGAGTCACGATGGAGGCTTTTGAGGCATGTGGGAAACCCTGAGGAAGCTGGGGATGTCTCAGAGGGACATCATTACCGGGACAATCTGGTTGTAAAGTAGCAGGAAAGAAAGGAGCCTGAGTAATCCCAAACACGCTGAAACTGTTTTTCCTCGTCCTCCATCAGCCGCTGTCTCGCAGTGTGAACACTCTCCGACAGTAATTTATCGTTCGGACCACTTTTAATCAAGTGGTGCTTTTTTTTTGTCTCCTCCGGGCCCACCGTCTCCCTCCTCCTCCTCCTCCTCCTCCCGTCCGTCCGTATGTCTCTATGTCCATCAGAAATCCAGGAGGTTCAAGACGAAGCGAGAAGACCACGGCAACCGACCCATCAAACTCGCCGGAAAGGTCATCATCCAGGAGATCTCCTGCCTGCTCCCCGTCCACAAGGCCTTAGGAGAGAGCTACATGTGAGAACGCAAACAAAACTGACAGTTCATAAAATACTCTGTAGGATCAACACGTTTATTTTCAAACTGAGTGACGTGACCCTAAAATGCAAACTCTGATCGTGTTACTTTAAAGCTGTCAGCTGCATGAAATTATTATCTTCTGTCCCGCTCAGCCTGAACATGAACGACATCCAGGACACGTGCCAGAAGAACGCAGCTGCGGCGCTTACGGTCGGACGCAGAGACGTAGCGAAGGTTTGGATTATATCATCCTGCAAATGAAACAGACAAGCAGCTGTGACTCTGAGCTGTAACTTCTTTTTATGAAGTTTCTCTATACAGCTGATAACACACCAGTCCATCATCTCTGTGTGTGATTTTGCAGGTGTGGGCTCTTGCATCTGCAGCAACTAATCAGGACCTGAGTCCAGATTCAGACCCGGACACAGAGACCCCCTGGGCTAGACACCCGTTTGGACGTCAACTCCTGGAGACCCTGTGAGTTTATCAGAGTTCTTTCTTTTCTTTGGAGGACACTGAACGGAGAGGGTAAAAATGGAGAGTGAAAACGGTGAAATATCAAAGTCTGTCTGGTGTGTGTTTGTGTCCAGCTTGGATCACTACAGTCAGATGAGCGACGTTCAGACTCTGGCCATGCTGTGCAGCGTGTTCAAAGCTCAGGCTTCACCTGCAGACTGTTACTCTCTGTACGGACATCATCCTCCGCGCTCCTCCATGTTCCCTCCACACTCCAGATATGTGAGTCGTTTATCCATCCTTCATAAAATCACTCAGATTTATTTTACAGATATTTTTTGCTCATTCCCTCCTTAACTCAGCCCAGCTACACGTCCAGCTCGGTCACCTCTGGTTCCTGCTCCAGCACCTCTGACTCCATCACAACAACCACCTGGAACACAGGTGAGACTCCACAGCACCACCCGCAGGCCGGCTGCTGAACTACATCACTGTCACCTCCTCTAATGTTCTTGTTGTTTGCAGGGAGAGACTCTGATCACGTCAACCCTTGGGGTGAGTCTTCTCCTGACGACTATCGCTATGGTAACCAGGGCTATACGGATCCACGGGAACGAGAGCGGGAGCAGCACGACATGAACAAAAGGTGATGTAGTGAAGGTGGATCTGAAGCTTTCAGCAGGATGATCTGGTTTGAAATAATTGTGTTTTCTCCTGCTGCAGACTGCTGGACCCGGCCAACATGCTGCAGTTTGACGACTTTAAGAAATGTTACGGAGAAATCCTGTACCGCTGGGGTCTGAGGGAGAAAAGAGCGGAGGTGCTGAAGTTCGCCTCCTGTCCTCCTGAACCTCACAGAGGCATCGGTGAGTTAGAAACTTCTCACTCACTGTGAAAAGTGAAAAAAGAAACCCCTCACAGCGGTTACAGTCTCACAAACCACAGGATAGAAGTCGTTTATCTTGTTTTGTTTGCTCTAAAAATGCGTCGCTGTAAGTTTTAGTTTGTTTCCTCACAGCAGCTTTAAAATGAACTGACTCTCTCTCAGTATGTAAACACCAGCAGAGTCTTCAGGGTTAAGAGCTGATAGATAATTATGATGCTGTCGTTCTCCCCTCCCCGTCTCTCTCTGCAGAGTTTGGCGTGTACTGCTGCCACTGTCGCAACCCGGCTCGAGGAACCCAGTGCGCCATGTGCAAACGTCTCACCTTCCAGTGCGCCATCTGTCACGTAGCGGTCCGCGGCTCCTCCAACTTCTGCCTGAGCTGTGGTCACGGAGGACACACCAGTCACATGATGGACTGGTTCCGCCGGCAGGACGAGTGTCCGGCTGGCTGCGGCTGCCACTGTCTGCTGCAGAGCACCTGCTAATACGACCTGTGTGCCCTGCTGGATAAAACCAACGCACCTCCGAGAGAGGAGGGAGGGGTCTGAAGAAGAGGAGGCACAGCTCCACGCACAGATACTCTCGTTGAAGGATAACCATGGTCCTCTGAGGCTGAAGAAACCTGATGACGGGGTTCCCATGAAGAGGAAGCGTTTTCTCGTTTCCTCCAGAAGAAATCTTGAGTTCCAAATCTGCGGTTTAGGCGTCTGTATCTCCAAGGACACGAGGTCGTTTGTTATTGTCGTTTTTGAGGCACGGCTCAAGATTTCAGGTTCATGTGGAGATTTTTAGAAAATCTAAAACCTCTCTCTCTAATCGGACTCTGACACTTGCTGCTTTCTTCAGTGTTTGACACTAACAATCATTTTTTAACTAGAACTTGTACTTTCTGTGAAATCACGGTGCCCTTAAGTGTCCCAAATCAGGAGGCCGTCGGTCTGATGAAACAGAGAAAATCAGTCCCTTTACCTCATGTAGAAGAAGCTTGAACGAGACGATTCTCAGAGGTGAAGAATCAAGTCCACCATCAGATCCGGGTCAGGCAGGTGTGGACTCGGTTCAGTGGTCGTCTGATGTTAGTTTACTGCCGTTTCAGATTCAAAGGGGCCTTAAATGAAACTCAGCGCTGCAGTTTTTTAATGTGAAGCAGAGAAAAGAAAGTGAACTCTGCAGAAGATGAAGTCTGTGTGAAAACGGGACGAATGTTCCTGATGTAAAATTATATTAGTAAAAATATGTTTGAATTCAAAGTATTTTATTGTCTTTTTTATTATAATGTCTGTTAATGTTGAATTTCCCACCAGCTGCTGCTCTCTGGATGACCTTTCACCACAGCGACACAGTCACATGACAGGTGGAGGCTGAGGTTGGTATCTTAAGGGCGATTTCAGTCGACAGAAGACACATTTTGTCAGCAGATCTGAGGTCTGACGTCTGGACACAGGAAACGGCTTTCCACACTCCTCACACTGAACAAGAGACACGTTTCTGTCAGAAATCAAACATCTGAACGTCTTTAAGGTCCTAAAATAAATCAAGATAGGAAACGTCCAAACTTCAATCTCTTATCAGGAATTTATCTGAACTAAAAATGTTTTAGTAACATGCAGTTTTTCATGCAGTTTCTACAAGGATGAAGAATTATCAGTCTTGCTACTAAAGGTCTAATTTTCTCGTGTTGGTCCTAAACAGGTTTTAGCACTGATGCTTGCTTCCCCTCTAACTGTCTAAAAACTTCGTCACAGTGGCTTTAAGTTGAACCAAAAGAGACCTGAAACCGCCTCGGCATCCTTTCTACCTTGAGGATGTAGAGTCCAGCTTCTTCAGCCCTCTTCTCTGCTACTTCTGGGATTTCTTCCATGTTTTCTATGTTCCACAGTCTGACGCTGCAGTCCTGCAGAGAACAAAGACAGCAGATGGAGGCCCAGAGTCCAGTAAGAACCTGCTTGTCGAGGTGTACAAGACCAAGAGTCGACAGTAAAAAAAACCTGCTGTGGAAGAAGCGAGGGATAGTTAACAAAATCCAGAGGAGTTCATCCCAAACATGCCCTCAATTCCTACATGAAAGTATGATGGGTGAGACGTTTTGGAGATCTTGCAGAATATTTCTTGTCGGGAGTTCAGAGTTTCCAACTGTATCCCAAAAGTCTTGCACAAAGTAAAGCAGTTTAAAACGTCTAAAAGTCAAATTAAATGCAGATAAGTAACACGGTCTGTGATCGCACAGAGAGCTCAGTACCTTGGAGGCAGAGGACACCAACTTCTTATCGGCGCTGACTGAAACATCTGTCACCCAATCCGTGTGTCCCTGTGAGAAAGACAAAAGTCATAAATACGTCACTTTGGTTTCTACTTTTATTCGACCTCATGGAAAAGCTGCCTGTGCAGACTCTCCACTCATTTCTAACTCCACCTTCATTTTAAAAGGCACATCACCTTGTTATTTATTCAATGCATTAAATACCCCTGAAGAAGCAGGTGCAGCGTGAGCGATCAAACATTGAGCCCTGGACTTATATCTTATTTTCTATCCTAACTTCCTTCATAGTCAGCTGAACAAAGCCTAGTGTGTAGTTACCTTCAGGCTGAGAATCCTGCAGAGGGTGTACCTATCCCAGAATGCCACAGTTCGATCATAGGAGCCAGACACGAGCAGGGTTTCTGTGCACATGAGGGAAAGCCGAGCCAAAAAGAAAGAATAAGAATCTTTCTTAAAATCTGGAGAGCCGCAGACTGTCCTCATGAACCAAACCAACTCTTCAGGACAGAGATTTGAGGGTATGCAGAGCTCTCACCGTCGGAGGAGAAGCAGCAGGAGCTGACGCTGCCTTCATGACCTTTCTGCAGTGACGTCCCACCGTGTGAACGAAACCCTCCTGTCTGCAAGTCCCACAGCTTCAAACTTTTATCCCACGATGCCGTGCAAAGGAAGCGCCCGTTATTGGTGAAGCAGCAGTCAGAGACAACGTTACTGTGGTTACTGTAGGAGAGACGTGGACAACAGCGACAACACAGGAAGTGAAGAGATAATTTAGCTGGTTTCAAATGTTTAAAAGTACAAAGAATGGAGGTTTGCTCACCTGCGGATGGACACTGTGGTTTTCCTGGTCTGCAGGTCCCACAGTTTGATGCCTCGGTCTGCAGACACTGTGGCCACTCGCTGTGTCTGAGGATCAAACCGACACCGTGTGATGGTAGAGTGGTGATGATCTGAGACGAAGAACAAACACTTTAGAAACTGCTTTTAAGTCCAAATACTGTAACCAGACTGAGGGGTCTTACCGATGACGTGGTGCAGCGTCTGTCCTTCAGCTGTGTCCATGATGTAAATGCTCCTCTGAGGATCTGCAGCACAGACGAGAAGCCGGCCGTCAGATGAGGAGTCGCAGGAGGTCAGCAGGCCGGAGAGTCTGCGCTTCCACTAGAACAATAACCCGACATGAATCAAAATGTTTGTACAAAGCTGCACTGTATCTCCTCGGTCATATAAATTCAATGAAGCCTGAACTTCTTACCAGAGTCTGTCCAGTCTCCAGGTCTGTGACCACCATCTTCTTATCCCAGGAGACTGTCACCATCCTTACAGACACAAAGAGTCCATTAATTATGAACACAAAGAGAGAAACGCCTCATCTTAAATCCAGACTGACCTGTTGCTGTTGGGGATCAGAGCGCACGCAGAGATGGTTTCACTGTGAAGACCATCAAACACCCTCAGAGGTCTGCCGCTCTTCACATCCTGCCAAGGTCAAAAACTCTACTGTGAGCATCTGCTGACCACAGAAACTTTTGAGGCAATAAATAATAGCTGTTATTTGATCACCTGCATGAACAGCCAAAAAGGACTGAGACAGACTCACTAAAACTTTACAGAAAAACAGTTTATTCATGAAAAAGATGTTTACCCAGAGGATGGCACTGCGGTCTGAGGAGCAGCTGAGGACACGGCTGTCATTGAAGCAAAGCTGGGCTTTATTAACAGCATCGCTGTGACCTCGAAACACCTTCACAGGAACCTGCAGACAGGAGAAAACATTAAAACAAGGCATAGTTAATGAATGAACACAGAGTATCTGCATGTCACCATAAAAGTACAAAGAAAATATTGCAAACTCCAATTAAGCTTTACAGCCTAATTACAGCAATTTGAGGAAAAGGATAATAGTAATAATAATAATAATTATAATAATAATAATAATAATGATAGTAATAATAATAATACATTTTATAAAACCAATGGAGAAAACAAAACAAAAAAGGAAAAGAAAAAATGTATATATGTATGTAAAAATAAAACAAACAAATGCAGGTGTTTACTAGTTAACATTTATATTTTTTACGACTCTCCTAATTAAAAATTTGCTTGTATTCGATCATAATTAAAAGGATCTGTTTTATACAAGAGTAAATACCATTCCAGTTTCAGTCGAAACAGTTTAATTCAAAAGAACATTTAAGTAAAAATATGTTTGAACATTCAAGTCCGTGAACGCACCGTGCCTAGCTAACAGTTAAGCTAACTTTTTTACCTGTGGTTCCCGCCTCCACTCTCCGCCTGCTTTCTCCTTCTTCTCCTCCTCCTCCTCCTTTTCTTCTCCAACCGAAAGCTCCTCAACTGACAGAGGGTCGTTGTTTTTCGTCGTCATTTTGGAAATTTTCGGTATAAACTTTAAAAGTCAAACAGCCCTCCGTTGCGAAAGTTACCATGGCAACAGTCACTCATTATGGTGCGTTCAGGAGATGTGGGACACCAGAAGATTTATGCCCGTCGAGTTTCCGAGGGGAGTTTGTCTATCTATCTATCTGTCTATGTATGTATGTATGTATGTATGTATGTATGTATGTATGTATGTATGTATGTATGTATCTATCTATCTATCTATCTATCATCCTGCATCTCTGCTTAACTTCTTTGTGCCCCACCAAAGTAACTCTCCTTTACTTTCCCAACAGCTTCAACAACAAATTAGAAGCATAAAAAGAGACAAAAACTCATCAGCATTAAAAGATAACAGTTTTATTATTCAAAACAAACAAAAACACATAACCTAGTGTGTGAAAGGAGCTGACAGAAGAGGTCTCTGTCTGACTCTGATGTGGTTTTGTTACTTGTGTCGGTTGTCCTCACAGAGGACACACTTACTGGTTCTTTACCAGGTCTGCTGTGATTTGATACTCTTCAATCTGGGGACAACAAACACGGAGAAATCAGTCTGAGGTCAGCTGCTTTAAACATAAAGACATATATATATATAAGGTACTAAAATCACTGAATACCAGATATACAGATGAGTAACATTGACCAGACTACCTCATCCTTTTATTTAAGGTCTTAAAACATAATAATAACAATAATAATAATGGTAATATCAACGTCTTCTTTGATGTTTCTGTCACATTTGTGAAGTCTCTGACCTTTTCAGCAGTTCTTCACTTGACACATGCTTCTCCTCTCCATCGCTGTCCTCCTCACTCCCCTCTGAGCTGCTCTCAGACGTCTCCTTCTTGCTCTTCTTCTGCTGCTTCACTTTGTGTTTGTGCTTCTTGTGTTTCTTCTTCTGCAGGAATATAAAGATGTTATTGAAGTCTACAGAGAGGAACCAAACAGCCTGAGGAAAGACACTTTGACTGACCTTTTTCTCCTTCTTGTGTTTGTGCTGCTTTTTGTTCTTGTGTTTCTTGTCTTTGCTCCTTTTGCTCGATTTCTCCTTCTCAGGGAGGGAGAAGATGGAGGTGGAGCCTCTAGTGGCTGAACAGGGAAACAACAGGTAGAGCCTATTAATAGTATCAATACTGTGGAGAACCTTATTAATGCCTTTGTGGATTTATATATTAATGCTGAAGAGACATGTTTGCAGACTCACCGAGAGCGGCTGAAGGAGGCGGCAGCTTTGGACCGAACTCTTCTTCTTCATGTGTCGAATTCTTAGTTGATGTCACGACTTTAAAGAAACACAAAAAAGGAAATATCTGAATTTAACGTCTACCTCAGGTAAAGGTGATAACAGACCTGATGCAGTTTTTGATTATTGGTGTAAAATAAGCTAATATATGATTAAACTGTTTTGTCTATAAGCCACTTTGGTCAAAATATAAAGTTCAGAGTCAGAATTATATTTATAGTTAAGACTGATGTTAAATTACTTTCTGACGATAATCTGGGCTGAACCTGGTGGATCTCACATGAACCTGATAAAACAAATACATGGTTAACTTGGTCTTGGTGGATCCTACCTGTCTGCTGGCTGGATGTGGTGTTGGATGTTGTTGTTGTTGTTGTTGTGGAGGAGGAGGTGGCAGAGGAGGAGGAGACAGCAGAGGAGGAGGAGGGGATTTTGAAGAGGTTCTGTGCTTGGACCTCATCCTCTTTTTTCTCCTTGACCTCCTCCTCCTCATCGCTCTCTCCCTCTGATGAAGACGAGGATTTTTCATCAGAGGAGCTGGCAAATATGGCCTTGAATAGATCCATGGGAGGCCTGCTCTCTTCTTCCTCCTCCTCTTCCTCTTGATCACCTTCTTTGGCTTTCTCCTGTTCTGCAGACTTTATAACAACAAGAGCAGGAGGTCAGATCTCCACAATGACCTGAAGGTTCACAGAGAGTTCAGTCTTGTGTTTTAGGACTCACCTCCTCCGCTCTGTCGTCTGGAGTTTGATGGTTGGTGTTGGTGGAGGAAGGTAAAGCCAGGATGGAGGTGTTTGTCTGTTTGGTCTCACTTTGATTCCTTGCGGCGCTGAGGAGCTCACTCAGTGGGTCGTCCTTCTTCTTCTCCTCTTTCTGCTCTGAGACGTCCCAGCGAGACTTCTTCCCGGACTCTGGAGCCTTTGGAGGAGCTGAGGAGGAAGAGGGGGAGGTTAACCCTCATGTCACACCTGATCAGATCAAAACAGGCTCCACTCTTCAACATGAAGCTTTGACTGCTTTTAGCATCATCAAACACAGACTCATAACGCTGTTTTAAAAGGAGGATAAAACACGTCTCAGCTTTCTGCTGAGTCCGTTCAGAGTCCTGATGTGGATCTGAGGAGACAAAACTTCATCATCCCTCTCACCCTCAACCAAAACTAACACTTTAGCCCTTTATTCTTATAACATATCAACTCTGTTTTTGTAAGATTAAGACTTCTCGTAACAATATGATTTTAGTCTCATAAAATACGTTTGTCCTTTTTATAATACTCTGACTTTTTTTGGATAATGACATTTTCTCACGACTTCAACTCATAACCACCTCATTATCCAAATCTTTAAAGTGGACCTAATATTCCGTAAGATATAATAAAACACATTTCCTCAAACTACCTGTTAGTACTACAACCAAAACATGAGTGTGAGGAGTCGTGTTGATCACCCAGGGTGGAGTAAACGAATATTTTTACAGTATCTTTTTGTCAGATGGTCATCGCTCACTCCTGTAAATAGTTGTGCAAACAGGATTGTTGTTATGAGAATACTGACACACCAAACTGCCTGAATGTGTGTTTACTTTATAGTTCACCGCTGTTTACATTTGGGGTGGGATTTTGTCATTATGATGGACGAAAAATTGCAGCTCTGTCCGGCTCATCAAAACACCAACACAGTGAATGAACGACGGGGAATAATCAGAGGCGTAGACCTGCGTTTGGTGTGTCGGCGCCGTAAGAGGAAGAGGATGTAACGAGTAAAAATTAAGATGTTATGTTTATTTTAGTACACCGAGAAAATGTTGGTTTGAAATCTCTGAATCTACAGATTCATATTTGGACTTTTTGGGTCACGTCAGTGTACTGAGCTACTCTAACTAGTTCAGACAAACTCACTGTTTGTGTTTTTTTGTAGTGTGGACATCATCCGGTCAGCTGACTGAAAGCTTGTCTGTTTTTTTTTTTTTTTGTGATTTTTGAAATTTTTTTTTTGCAGTAACTGATTTTATGTAAAACATGATGAAGTGCGATTCTTGCTGCAGAAAATACTTGGAGAAATGTGGAAGTACTGATTTGAAAAACTGCTTAGTACACAAAAACTAAATGTAGTAACTTTCCATCCCGACACAGATCCACTACAATATTTAAAAAAAAATGACAGAAATTTGAGGAACCGATGACGATTGTCCGATTTAACTTTTTAACACACAGAGGGAGTTTACCTGATGTGTCTCTGGTCTCAGTCACAGTCAGGAAGTTAAAGACCGAAAACTTGTCCCTCTTCACTTTCGGCATACCGACCGTACCGGATCTGTGAGATCAACAACAGTCAGAGTGATCTTGTTATTTGGCTGCTTATGAGAGCCAGACTGAACAGCAACACAAACATCCAATCAGGATCGGACAACAGAGTGACGTACCCGGGGTACGGGTCGGGGACGTTGAACCTCTTGCAGAGCAGTTTGTCAGGATGCCACTCAAACGTTTCTCTGGTTAGTTTTCCGAACATTTTCATCTGAACGGCAGCCTGTTTGTCGTCCACGTCACCCTGATAACAGAACAAAGAAACATGAAACAAAACCGACTCAATCTACGAAGAAAAAAGTCCCTCTTAAGTATCTCACAACTCATGTTCAGGTGCATTGTGGGAAATGTAGGACAATCCTTTCAAACAAACAAATGTAGACTTGTCCCCGTACCTCCTCGTCTCGGCTGACCTCCACACTGTCCTCGTCCTCCTCATGTTTTCCTCGAGTGAAGCGGGAGGAGAGAAAGGAGGAGCTGGGTCTGTACAGGATGGAGGCTCGGACAAACTCATCCCTTTCACGGCTGCGCTCCCACTCTGTCAGCCCCGGGTCCAAACTCTGCTCCAAGGCGTCTTAGACACACAGAGACAAGGTGGGAGTTTAATCTGGATCTAAATTTGACACCACATGAAGCCATAAGTCAACATATGTGCTGTGGATGATGTTGGAGGAAGTGTCTCACCTTTGTCTCCCTGTTTCAGCTGGTTCAGGTACATCTCATACCGGGCCTGTTTGCTGGGGTTCTTCTCGAACGGTTTGAAGGACTGGGAGGTGGTCTGGACTCCCCTCCAGGCTGCCAGAGCCTCCTCCTGCTGCTTGAGGTCAGATGAACCAGCTGCCTTTGCAGCCAATGATCCGGCCAATGTCACAGCTGATCGCAAGGCTTCCTGGGAAATTGGGGTTGGGGGTTTTGTGGAGGAAACACTGGAGGAGGTTCGCAGGTTTTGAAGTCGCTCCCTGTCCTCAGGCCTCAGCAGCTCCATGACTGAACTGGGTCCTGACCCAGATTGAAGACAAAAAGAGGGAGAAGATGGTTTTCTGTAGATTTATTAGATCAAACAAATCTTCAATCCCATTTCTGCCTGTCTGGATTATTCAGCAGTTTAAAGTTAAAGGAGTTTTTTTTTTTATATCCTTACTGAAAATTAAACAACTACTTTCTTTTCTCGATCTTAATCACTTTAATCTCCAAATCTCTGAATGTCATTCTGTATTTTCATTAGTCGATGATCAGCTGACAGTGACATTAATTTCTACCTTGCAGAGTATCTTCTCCCAGCAGCGCCCTCCTCTGGTCAGAGTCCAGCTGGTGACGCCCCCCCTGCTGAGGCTCCTCTTTGACCATGTGGCCCCTGGACGTCCTCAGAGCCTCAGCCAGAGCAGGACTGACACCAGCCAGAGTGGAAACATCAACTGGTGGACGGAAACGATGGACGGGACGATAGTCTCGAGGTAGATCAGGAGGAGGGAAGATCTACAGACGACACGATCATGTTACACGTCAGAACTTATCAGACATCACCTCTGCAACATCTTCAGTAAATATGAGACTTTTGAGTTTATGTTTGTGTGGACCTGCTCCTCAGCCTTCCTGCCTTTTTTTCATGTACATTGTATCTGTGCCTAACATGTAAATAACTCAGCGTTACCATTCAAGAGGCGGGGATTATTAACTGTACTGAAGCCGGTCAGCAGGGGGAGCCCTCCATCTTCAGGCTTCACAGTCAGTGAACACGTACAGCTTCTATTTTAACAAACAGTCTAAGGTCAGTAACAGGTGAGTAAAAGTTTAAAGACTCTCACAGTTTTTTCCTCGGGTGGTTTCTGGGCCAGAGTGAACCCCTCCAGGATTTTGCCGAGATAAGCAGCGTCTTTGTTTTTTTCTGGAACAAAAGAAATCAGGGTGAGTGTTTTCTTGTCCAAGACTCTTTAAAAACTCTCTTTTTCAATAAAGTATCTGTATGAAAATGTAAATTTTGTGAAGTTTAAACTTTGGTTTACACGATGGCTCGATCCTGACAGATCTGTTTTAAAAAACTGACTTTATTTAGGCTAATTCTTCATCTTCTATGACCTCACAAGGTTCTCATCTCTTTTTTGTTTTCTACTTTTTATGATCTGTTAAAAAAAATAAAGGTCGATATGTATCAGAGAGTAAAATACAGGAAGTGATGGATCTGAAATATCAGTTCACCTTGAAATCTATGAACTCCATCTTGAGCTAGAGAAGTCAGATTATGTAATCCTCAATTTTAGACCTAATCCTCTAGTTCAAAAATTCACAAACTTTCCAGAACTCTCCAGGTTTTTCCAGGTGGTGTTACCTCCTTTTTTCTTGTACTGCTGCGGAGCCGTCCAGCCGTACAGGCCGTCCCCAGGCTCCTCTCCTCCCAGCACTGTGTCATATCTGGACATGGAGTCTCGGTGATAAACATCTTCATCATCATCCTCCAGAGCCCCCACGCCAAACGCCTGCAGATCGAAGGTCACCAGTGGTCGCACGGCGTTAAAACACAAACCTTTTCTTCTTCTGTCAAAACTCAAAGCGTTCTGCTGCTCACCTGTCCGGCCACGCCTCCTCTCCGTGAGCCCCTCTGTGCTCCTCCAAACAGCTGACTCCTGCTCTCAGACTGCGGTCTGAAGAGGTTGATGTGTTCAGAAGCTCCCCCTCCCAGCAGCGCCAGGCTTGGGTCCAGGCCGCGGTACCCAAGCCCCTGAACCCCCTCCTTAGGATTGAAGTCTATTGGAATCACGTCTTTTGGTGCAAAGGTGACGTTTTCTGGAGCAAACTCTTCATCGTCATCATCACCGTCCTGCATAAAGAAGTGAGACATAAAACGTTTTTATATCTACAATAATGAGGAGTCTAACAGCACAGCAGACACAACCAATGGAAGAGAGGGGCGGGGTGAGAAGGAGCTCAATGGTGTTTAAAGAGACATGCACCAAGACCACGCTTAGAGAGGCAGCAACTGTGTCACCCACCTCTGAGTCCTCTGATCCAGCAGGGGGCAGAGCACAGCCGTACGGTCTGGCACCCCTGTCTGTCAACAGGAAATGAAAATTTTAAAGATACAGGAGTCAAGATACAAGAAAAAAGTGCACAAGATCTGATGAATAGACACATTTTTACAGATTTGAGAAAGGGAGGGAAAAAGGAAAAGCAAGCGTCTCTTTCAAAGATAAGAATATGAATGTTATTATGAATGCTCAAACTCAAAGTCACATTCTCGTACCGGTCTGCTGTCTGCGAGCTTTCCTCTTCACACGAGGCCCGACACCCTGACCCTCCTTCCAGCCCATCTTCCTCAGCAGCTCCACCCCGATGGACAACCTGAGAGACAAAACAAACACACCTTAGAGGGTGCTCAACCTCACCTTAACTACACTCACTCACTAGGGTGTCCCTTGTTACCTGGCAGGTGCGATGAGCTCCTCCAGCAGAGTGTCTCCAGGGATCAGCGCCGCCTGAGCGTTGACAGCTCTCGCTTTTTCTTGGACCGCATCTCTGCGACTGGACGAGAACTCCTGACTGGTGGTGATCTCTCTGGGAGCGATGCCGTGTTCGCTGAAGTCCTGATGCATGACGCAAAACAAACAAACAAACAACTTCAATTTATCATAATCAACCCTAAGAAAAAGAAATAAATATATCTGTAAATATATCAGTATTGGCCCAAATGTGTTAGAAAATATCTGCAAGAATCCGCCATCTGCATTCTTATTTGACAAAGTAAAGTCTGCGCCGCATGGACAGTTTACAGCGAATCACTCACCTCCTCATCCATAAAATCCTCTGGTCTAGCATTATGTTTCTCAGCTTTTTGCTGGCGTGAGGACTTAAAGGTTGACGGGGCCCAGCCTGCAGATTGGCACAGTAATTACAAGTTTTATAATGACAATAATAACACTTATTTTTTTTGAAAAATATAAAAACTGACATTCAAAGACAGATTAATAATGTAGTAGTAGAAATCAGGACATTTATATTCATGTTAAAATCTTTATACAGGTACAGTATGTTGAAGACAACAGGTGTTACAGTATAATATGTTGCAGCACTGACCTTCTTTAGAGCCAACAGTGTTGAAATAACCGGCTGAGAAGCCTCCAGTGAAGGCTCCATGAAACCTCTGATATCGACCTTTCTCATCCTTCACCGTCTGCTCATGTAGAGGGATGGGTTTCTTTAAAGGCTCATCTACAAATACAGGAAGATAACCACTGAGATGCACACTTCATTTCAAAGAGACAATAACAGTAGCCAAACAGTGGGAAACACTTCACTGATTGTCCTGAATCTGACGAATCTCTCAGTAAATACATCACACTTTGTAAATTTTAGTTTTATGATTATAAGTACTGTAAATTTTAACCATTAGCCAACATAACTTGACCTTTCTATTAAGTAGTTAGTTTGTATAAATGATAACTATAGCCGGATTATCATGCGGCAAATTCAGCTTTTATAGTGATATGAATACAATATCTACTAAGATGTCTTTGCGTCTGCTGTGAAAAATAAAATAAAATCAACAATAATTTGAATGAAGTTTGGTGAAACACCAGAGCTTGTTAGCTAGCTGCCGTTAGCTCTGTGGCCGTTGAAGACGTTAGGGTTAATTTCTCCAAAAAGGCAAAAGCACACCGGTTTGCAGTTAAACTTTAGTAAACTACAGAGGGTTTAAATGTCTTTACCTTCTTCCAGAGGCTCCAGAGGAGTCCCATAATTCACGAAATCCTCTTCACTGTCACTGTCGGACACCATGTTGTTTGTGTTACTACGGAAGCCGCAAAGGGAATAAAATTAGTAACCAAAAGCGAATGACTTGCAATTTAGTTAAGCGATTTTTCGAGAAAAGGCGACATCTCGTGACGGTGAGGGTGAACTGAGAGTTAGTGAAGTGTGTGTTTGTTAGTCTTCTTGACAGATTTAACCTCTAACGTTTTTTTTAAATGACAGAGAAAGATTTCCACAAAACAAGCGCTCAGGTGTAAATGAGTGGATCGGCCAGTCTCCAACAATAATAATCACAATTGAAACTGTTTATCATAAAATAAAGTTATTCAATGGTTCCTCTTTTAAAAAAAATGAGGTTGCATGTTTTATTTTTGAATATTGTACCTTTTTGACCCATTGATCCTTTTTGGTGATATTGAAATTTGTACTTTGGGCTGAACAAAACAAACATTAGGGAGATTTAGATGTCAACAGTTCAGGTCGGATCTGTTTGTCATTTGTTTTCTTTGAGCTTGAATCACTCTGGACCTCCTCGGTGATCCATAAAAATATAAAACCGACTCAAACCAAACGCCCACCCTCACACTCTGCTCAACAAATCTGAGACCCCCTGCAACTCTCAGAAATAACAGATCCTCCCTCCTCTTCGTAACACGAGCAAGTGCTAAACTTTGAGGGGTTTAAACTAACTGGACCTGGACAAAGCTGGATTGAGCTCAGGATGGGAACAAAGGGTCAGTTTGGTGCTGTGAGGCATAAACCGCTGAAAAAAATACAAGCTTGTATAGCTGGAAAACTAGGACAAAGTCAGAGAAAGAGGATACATAACCATGATTTAGACTGAGCCAGATTAGAGCCAAAACACGGAGTTAAATGAAAGCCAAAATAAATCATGGATACAGATCATTGAAGAAGGTCCGATTAGAGCAAGAGGATATCCAGAATAAAAGCGAAAAGTCATCCAGCACAGAGCCTGTAAATAGCCATGATTTTGGCAGAAGTTGGACAAAAGCGAGGGCCAGATTGAAGCCAACAGGTAGCTCATACACATCCACAACAAAGACTGAAACTGAGGGTTTTCCAGGACTGTACAAGCCGAAAGATAACAAAAAGATTTATGAGATTTCTGGGCAAGAAGATCACCAGAACTGAGATGAAATAGAGAGAAAAGAAAGACAGATAAGAGCCAAAAACTTGAAGTATAAAAATATATTAGCACAAGAGAGGAGGCTTGAAGAACCAGATGATACCAGAGAAGGCCAAAAGAATTGGAGAAACCAAAGTAACCAGAAGGCGGCCTGGACTGCATGTAGCTCTGCGGGAGCTTTGTAGGAGCTCTGCAGGGGGGTGCTTCAGGACTCAGCTGGAGGTCCACCTCAGGGAAAGAAGATCCTGGCCGGGTGAAGTCCAACTGGCTCAGAGTGAAAGAAAGTTCTCTCTTTTAATGCTGTAAATAAAAAAAAACAAAAAACGGTCATTGGACCGAGTCAGAGAGAGTCATATTGAAGTAGTTTGAGCTTCACGCGGCCTGAACTCCATCTGTCAGCACAGTTTGGAGAGAAAACGGGTGATGCTCTCTCTAAAATCAGTGTGTGTGTGTGTGAGTGTGTGTTGGGGAACAGCAGCGGCTGAGCGACTGACATCATCATGACATCAGCAGGGTGCGTTTTAAACTGCACCCCCCCCTCCTTAGGGTGGAGGGAAAAAGCTGAAGAAACACAACATTAGAAAACTAACAAAGTTAAACTTATAAGATAATAAACATGAGGTCAGAGAGGAAAGGTCACACACACACACGCACGCACGCACGCACGCACGCACACACACACACACACAATGTTTAGACAGCAAAATATTGTTTGTATTAAATCGTTAAATAGTCAAACTTTAAGTCTTAATCTGGACTGTAAATCCATCAAAAGAAAGTGACTTTAAAACACAAACACACTTTATTTTAGGGCTGCAGGATATGGTCAAAAAGTCATGCTGTGATTGCACCATGTTTCATGATAAGAGTGCATAGTAACATTATGATTTTGATCAACAAAGCAACTATAAAGACTTGGGTTTGCAAAAATATAGATAAGAATGGATCAAAAACCCCAAACAACAAAGAAAACTGAAGCAACGTTTTGGCCCGGTATTATGAGAAGACAAGAACCTATCAGAACCTTCTGTCAGTCTGGGTATGCACTTGGCTTCAGTGCAGTTTGGTGCCGCACACCATGATATTTTATATAGCTTGACTCTAATTGTGCAAAATTTAAAATGTATTAAAGTGAAATCCATAACCAAAGTTTTATATTACGGCAAAGAAATCACATCACAATCAATCGACTTGCGACACTCAGCTGATCACAAAATGTAAAAAATTGAGGTAATATCAGACCATGGTTTATTTTTAATTTTATGAAACATAAAGATGAGGAGAAAAGGGAATGAAAACTATGACAGAATGAATAAAGATTAAAATAATGAGACTGCACTTCTGTGTTTGACCACCAGGTGTCACTCTGTGCTCACTGTTCACAGCTCTAAAGTTCTGTAACCCGCTCCATCTGCAGTTACTTTTCTTACTTTTCATAAATGCATATTCTTGTTTTTTCAGTCGTCCTTTGAGCTTAAAGTCATTGTCACCTTTTTTGTTTTTGGAGTGAATTTTTTTCTCACCTGTTATTGATCCATTAGCGACTCCGAGATTTGCAGCAGAAGCTCTGAGCTCAAAATCCAGACAGTCTGATGCAACAAACACACAACTTAACATGCTGAAAGAGAGTTTGAGACATTGTTGATGCTGAAAACTTTGGCTTTTGATGCTGGAGTTTGGTTATATTTTTGTGTTTTAAAGTTGGTGAGGAGTGTTTCTTAAAACAGAGTTGTTTATGTTTTAACAGATCGAACACCGCTCCCCTTACCTGCATGCAAATACACAAATCCATCATCTATAAACTGAGGGAAGGAGGGAGGAGAATGAGATGTAAAGAAAAGTCTGTAAAAAGATATATGTGGGAAATAAAGTTAGAGAGGGAAGGAAGCACTGGTGCTAAAAGGATACAGCCCAATTACATCAATTACATCCTGTGACCCCTCAGGATTTCCCTGCGCTCTCAGTTTTCTGTCCTTTCAAATAAAGAGAAGGCCAGGGGTTCAAGATGATGGAAAAGGAGGGAGGAGTACAGATATAAGGAAGACTGAATGAAGGAAACAAGAGGTAGAAAAAAGGGAGAAGAGGCGAGGAAGGAAAGAGCAACCTCGGGAGGATGTATATGTAAAAATTAAGAGGGCAGGTGAAGAGGAGGCTTGAGAGGAAATAAGGAAATAGGAAAGGAAGAGTCGAGACAGGAAGTTTAAAATGTGAATAAACACTGAATGTAAACATCTCTACTCTGTGTAATCTCCTTATAGAACAATAATCCAACATGCTGTTTCAGTTATACCGCTGTATTAATCTTGTGCATCCCACCCAATCTGCAATGCATTTGCTGTTTGTGTTTTGTCATGTCATTTTTTCAGGCTGTGCACATTCAGTCACATTCTTAGATTCTGCTTTCTCGCCTCCATCCAAGATGCTGCAGCTTCCACTTCTGCACCTCTGGAGGTTCTCTATGCATCCCTAGGACTGAAGAGTTTTTAACGCACCACTGAAGACCTAAAACCTGTTCACAAATGCCTCGATGGTGTTGCCATCAGTCTCAGGACTAGGATTTATGGTGGACATGTTTTCCTGCTGGTGACTTTCCAGAGTTCTGGCCATAAAGAAAAACAAGTGTCAGTAACCCTGTGATCTAGCCTATTAGAGAAAAATTGACCGAGACCAGATTCCTCATTATGTGGCACTTAGTTTTCAGTGATTATTTCCATCTGTAAAACCAGAACAAACACCAGAGTCTCTCACGGCAGCGTAAATATCAGTTTTTAGACTGTGAGTTCCTTCATGCACAGCACTTGAGTCGCCTTTCTGCAGTCTTTCCTGCTCTAAAGGTAAAGTTTGGTTCTGGTATCTTGCAGTTTGTGCTTTGGCAAACTCAACAGCTATTTTGAGCATTTTCCCACCGGACATCTTCAGTCTGTCGTAGCTATCAGACACCTCAAGTTCTCCAAAGGTTGCATGAATGAGCAGAAAGCAGGAACGGTCTAAACTGCTGTCATTGTTTCACAAGACAAAACATGAATAAGCATTAATTTTAATTTCTTCCATGCACACGCTTATCATGCTCTTCACACTGTCCTCCATCGGCCTTATTTTCTGCAGATAATCCAGCATCACCTGCCTCTCCTGACTGAATCTCCTTCTTTTTCTGCTGTATTACAATAGCTGCACTGTCCTGCTAGATGTCTCTCCATGATGCAAAATGTTCTGTTCGGATTAATGTGCCCAGGACTCAGTATTTAATTTCCTCTGCCACTTCAACCTCCTCTCCAGAACCAGAACAAGTACTTTGAGTCGTGAAAATGTGTCCAACACAGATGATCTCCTGCTGAGGGGTACATGTGTGAACAGTATGATGCTAAAAACTGTCCAGAGAGTTACTGGAGTTCATGTTGGTGAAGATCAGCACATAGATGTTCATCCTAATGTAGCCTGGAAGTTGTTCAAAAATCGATTTATTGCCTCAGTCTGACTGAAACTAGACTTTTAAAAAACATGAAAACAAGTCGATCGATTTACGTGCCGATCCTCACCTATGGTTATGAACTTTGGGTAATGACCGAAAGAACAAGATAGCGGATACAGGCGGCCGAAATGGGTTTCCTTCGCAGGGTGGCCAGGGTCAACCATATCTCTGACCTGGCCTGGGAGCGCCTGGGAATCCCCTCGGAGGAGCTGGTGGAAGTGGCTGGGGTGAGGGCTGTCTGGGCTTCCCTCCTGAAGCTGCTGCCTCTGTGACTCAGACACGGATAAACGGAAGAAAACGACAACGTTAACGAAAACAAGCTAGTCTGAGCGTACGTATAAAAGGTGCTGTAAAGCTGACACTGCTTCAGTCATTCAACATAAAACCTGTTCGTCTTTTGCTAATGCTTTTGTCGATTGTTTTGTTGCATGACACAGAGGGTCGACCTGGAAATGGTCCAGTAATAATGAGCTGAAAGGAGGCGTATCACTGTCTACGCTGGCAAAGGATTTAGAGCAGCAGTCCAGTTAAAATGTTGAATCAACTGTGCATGTAAGAGTACTAAATGTCAGTGATTAGCCTGAGTTTGGAAAGAATGGAAAAAAAAAAAACTGTAAATGAAAGGATGAGAGGAGCATCGAAGAGCAAGATCTGAAGGTAAAATAGGATCAGAGTTCCAGTGGCACAAAGCTGGCTCTCTATAAGCCCAGCTGGCTCATCAGAGACCAGATAGTGTTGAACGTTTCAGTTTCAAACAGGCTTTAAAAACTCTGTCTTTTCAGAGATTATTATCTTACAGTGTCCTCTGTGATCAGTTGAGATTCCTGACTAAGATAATATGCACACAGAAACAACAAAAAACCCCAAAGTTACAATAATAAAAAAAAGTTGAAAAGAGCCTCTGCGTTCAGCTCATTGTGCATATATAGAGCATCATGGATATCTTAATGTAGTCAGCTGATATCATCTAATACAGTTGGAAAACTGTGATCAAAAACCATAAAATGGACGCCGTCTGCCTCCTCGCTGGGTTATGCCTCTGGGAGAACAGCACCCTCTGGTGACGGGCTGCAGTATAGGTCATAATTTGCAATGTTTACATGTAGTTACAGTCAGACTGGTTTGTGCCCAAGTCCTCTTTTTTCTGTACAGCTCCATTTTTAAAAGTTATTTGGGGGTTCATGTTTTCTATGATTGACACCTGATACAGCCTATGGGTGTACGAAGATTGTGTTGCTGTTTGAGCCGAGCGTCATCACAGCGACTCTCGGCAACTCTTCTGCCGAATATGTACAACGCTACTGCACAAGTGGTGTTTCCAGGAAGTGAAGAAAATCCTGGAAATACAAAGAGCAATTCGGCGTCAAATTCGTATAATGATGGAAGGCGGAGCCAAGTTGTCAAAAGTAAATACAGTCTTTGCGTTGAACTGTATCCTTCAAAAATCTGGTCTGTGATTCAGGTGATTAATAAACAAAAATATTTATCCTTGAAGTCATTTTTTTAGTTTTACAGCATCAAAACTTTTGCAAAGTATTTCACAAATCCAAAAAACTTTGTTGCAGTAACTAAACACTTCCTCAAATCCTTAAGACAACAGATGAGGGTTTTTCTAACCTCTGAACTCTTTTGGTCATAACTTTGATAACTTTGTTTTAGTTTTTTTCAGTATCTATAAGAGATAAAAGTTCAT